GTAAAGTGGTTCCAGGGCTGTCACTAAGGGCCATAAACCAGACTTTAAATTGGCTACTTTGAGCCCAATACTTTTCTATTTTGAGAGGAAACGAAAGGATAATTTATTAAAACATAAACAACTTACCACCCTTTCAATGTCCCACTCACTAATTTCATTTACTCTCTAATAACTTGCAATTTCAGTGACAGCCTTGTGCATCTAACTTTTACATCATCAGTTTATGAAAATGATTTGTTATTTGGATTTTTTTGTTAAATTTGACTGTGAACACTTCTGGGAGTGAAAGGACTAAGGCAAGAAACCATCAATGATATACATGTATTAGGCTTTCAGTCTTTTTATTTCTTATCTAAAATTGTTTAAGCTTTTAATTTGAATTATGCTAAATTATACTAAATATTTTCATTTTGGAAGAGACCATTATTTTTGACCCACCTTTACATTAATATTATTTGTGTGTTAGAGTTGCTGTTTTTTATCAAAATTTGACTTCATCAGTTTTTTGCAGTGATGCTACCAAATAGGTAACAGTTTCTATTTTTACTACACTTGGGATTGCATTTTTTTTAATTTTGACACTTGTTTCAAGGCATTTGATACAAACATTGATACAAGAACATGTGTTAAAGTTTCTGTTCAACTTGTTTTTTAAAAAAAGAATGAAGTTTTCAACTTTACATATAGTTGTGCATTTCAAGAAAAAAGCCTTCAATATTTCAAGCAAGAATTAAATTATAAGACAAGGTATTCAAAGATTCTGCCTTAGGAATGAAGTTTTCAATATTAGTGGTAACTGATGTTATTTTGTAACAAGGTTTTCAATTTTGCATTTGTCTCTTACAGTTAGACTTAAAGAGATGATAGAACAAGATTTTAAATGTTTCTGTTAACTTGTCTTTAAGATAAGAATGAAGTTTTCAATTTTACATATAGTTGTGCATTTCTAGAAAAAAGGTTTAAATATTTCAAGCAAGAATTAAATTATAAGACAATTTATTCAAAGCTTCTGCTGTAGGAATGAAGTTTTCAATTTTACTTTATTTTAAGTGGTAACTGATGTTATTATTGTAGCAAGGTTTTCAATTTTGCATTTGTCTGTTACAGTTAGACTTAAAGAGATGATAGAACAAGATTTTAAATGTTTCCGCTACAGTATGAAAATTGATTTAAGTACAAATGGTGACATATAAGAAAATGATTTTTGAACAAATAAAACAGAATTTGATTGAATACAGCAGATTGATTGATTTAACTGGCTCCTTTCCTTCCCAACGTTGTATTTTCTCATTTTATTTTCCCTCTAGGGTTTAAAATAATTATGCAAAGAAGAAAATAGCAGAAAATGTAATCATGTCTGTTGTTGAGCTTTGCCTTCCAGCCAATACATGAGCATGTTGCAACTTTACACCAGTTATACATTTAAATCTGGCTTACTAAGATGCCTAAACGCTTTATTTAGATGTAAAGGTAGCGTAAATGTGGAGTTTATACCAGCTATACGTATTATGTCTGTTGTCGCGCTTTTTCTGCAAGACAAGAGCATGTTAACTTTACATCACAGTACATATAAATCTGGCCTAAAGATGCCTATACACTTTATTTAGATCTATGTAAAGGTGGCGTAAATGTGAAGTTTATTCAAGCTTTACGCTGGCTTTTAGTCCACTTACAGGTGTTTCTTTACTCCAGCTTTACGCAAAAGTGTAAATGTAGCGTAAAGCTTAACTTTACGTAATGTAAAGGTCGTGTAAAGGTGTGTAAATCCAAACTTTACACCAGCTTTACGCTCACATTATGCTAACTTAAATTTGCCTTTTCATGCTGTGAGTGTTGTTTAGTAAAATCCAACTGATGATCTATTATCAATGCTTCGTTCTGATTGGTTGAGCTACTACTACGCTATAAGTTATAGCCCACTAATAGCTAAAAGCGCCGGCTTTTTGGCGACAAAAAAGGACGAAAGTCTAGTTTTAACCAGCCAAGGTTGTTTAAGTTTGTTAGTTGGTTTTTACTAAAACAATTATTCCTCTCGCCCTCATGGCCTCCGAGTCAATAGCCTATTCGACCTTCGGCTTCATGGGCTATTGGTAGTCTTTACACTAGAGCCTAAATAAGCTAAGAAATATTTCAAGACAAGCAAATTTTACTTACTTCAAGTAAAATAAGGCTTCACACACAACCGATTATTTTTTACTTCAGGTTAACTTAAGGCTATTTTCCCCACACAACATAGTTAAGATCACCTTTCTCAAAGCTCAAGAAACCGCAAGTCACTTAAGTCGGTTTTAAGGATGGTTTTCAAGTCGCTTGCAACTTTCTTGAATCGTTTCAACTTTCTGACTTTAATGAGATGTAAAGTAAAGTTACGTGAGATTTTAATTAGGCCTTCACACAAGAATTTTTGGTTAAGTAAAACTTAGCAGCTCTTAAGTCTTACTTAACAGCCTAGTGTAAAGACAACCATTGACTCAGAGCCCATTCGGGATCGAGGAATAATTGGTTGTCTTTTCGATCTGCATAATACTTTAGATCATTCTCAGCCTCGTCCAATAATTGCTAAATGTTTTTAAGAACAGGTGCCGTTCAGTAGTCATAACTTAGCGGGTAATTGCTATATACAAGGATAAATAAGCTTTTCCACTCCCAATAAGAAACGATGGAAGCACGTAGCAAAGGTAATTAAGCTAACTTTTAATTTAGTATTAACCAATAAATAAACAGGCTTGTGCAGGCAATTGGTTTTTAGAAACGAAAGCAAAAGTTGCATTGAAATTCTACCGCTCTTCATGACATAACGGTCAACCCTTTAACTGAACAGCTGCTAAGTAAAATGTACTTTTATATCATGATGGTAGACTTTAGACTTCCCGTTTTTTAAGCATATATTTGACAGTTCTTTCACCAACTTCGATAGAGCAAGAAGAGGAAAAACGCAGGATTAGAATTCACAAAGCCACTTCCCAGGTATTTGCAAAATCGGTAAAAAACTGTTTCTTTTTATTTGAATACCTAAGTCGTGCGAAAACAAAAAAGATAAGTTGGATGCATGAAGCGGAAGGTTACGGAAGGGATCGATGTTTAAAACGGAGTCATCCATGAGGAAAAAGCAAAAAATAATATTCCACCTCGACAAAAGCTATGTGACATAAAAACGTTCATTTTAAGGAGCTGTTGAGTCAAAGACCAAAACAATTAACCAAGCAATGTAGAGGAACTTCAAGTTCTATATCACTCGAAAATAAAATTCATATCTTCACGCCACCGTGTAATATCCTCTGTATATTACAACAAAAAGACTCGAAAAACGTAAATATCGATAACCGATGCTATATAAGATCTTTATGATTAAAAAATGTCTCAAAATCCTCTTTTTTTAACTGTAGGAAGCAATGGACTTTATCCACAGGGAACAAGGCCCAGCCGAGATCGCCGTAACAACAGTGCAATCGTTACTCGTTATTGTAAATATCACTGGAAACTCTTTCGTTTGTCTCATCATAGTAAAGAACAAAGACATGAGGTAAGTACCGGTATACCTATACCGTCCGCAACATTTACACGTTTTTTTACAAGAAAAATAGCCCGTAAACTTCTCACTCCAGAGCATTATAAGAGCAACAAAAGCAAAAAGTGAAAAGACAAAGTAAATATTGTTTTCGACGTTTTAGGATGCATTTCCTAATTAACCTTGAATATGGGGGTCGAACTAATGGGCTTGCAGGTTGAAATTGCATAATCTTCCCTCAAGAAGTTTTTGGCGCGCGATCCGCAAGTCACCCACAGCTCATCAGTGTTCCTTTTTTGATCTTTATACAGTTGACTCTAGATAACTCGAACCCTCCCTAACTTGCGCGAGCCTAGCGCAAACTCGAACCATAGTCGATTTCCTCTCGATGTACGGATTCATACTTCAACTGTAATATTACCCTCGGTTACTCGAACCCTCGATAACTCGAACCTCCCGCTAACTCGAAGTAATTTTTGTTTTCCTTCAAGTCACCTCTACATAATTTTACCCTCGATAACTCTAACCACGTTTTAAGCCCGTGAGAAGGCGGAAAATAAAAATAGTGTACTGAAGTCCGAAACATTGAATTTATTTCAAAACAATTATGTCAATTCTTTGTCTTCACATTTTTGTCACTCCACTGGTTAATTCAAATTCAGTGTCTATCCATGTATCTTCCTTTTTCAAAATATCAATCTAATAATAATAATAATAATAATGGTGTATTAACAGTGTATCCACCTAGTGGCTCTTCGCCTGTTAAAAACTACAATATAAAAAACGAAAAACTATAATATACTACAAAAAAAATTGAATTGAAATCTACAATACAAAAAGCAAAAATATCGGACTATAAAAGGATATTGTATAAAAATAAAAATGTTATAAAGATTAGTAATAGTAATACAACCCTATATACAATTTACAAACTATTTACAAATGTTATTTAATAGATAGGCATTAACTTCCCTACAATATAAATTTGAAATCGCAACAGTTTCTAATATTTGCCGGAAGGACATTAAATAACTTGGCAGCAGAGTCTTGAAAAGTGCCCCTCTCCATTGGTATAGTAACTGCTTCGAGCCCCCGAGTCACTCGAACTTTTCTCAATTTCCCTAGAGGGTTCGAATTATCGGGAGTCGACTGTTTTTAGAAATATTTAGTCTAATCCATATCAAATATTCCGATTTTGGAAAGTTTGTATTAGAACTCCTATATGAGAATGCGCACCCGCATATCGCGCTCGCTCACAGATTATCGAGCTCAAGAGGGGCTTCTCTCAGTCTACATATGATCAGTACACCGTGGTCCTCTTTCTTCTACCGTCCTCTAGCCTAAACTCACTATTATCATGTTTCTTTAAATACCCTTTTCCGAGGGGAACTAACTAAGACAGCTTTTCTGGTTTCCCCAAGGACATCAATAAACTATCTTCTTATGAACCTCGCCATCGCAGACATGACTCGCCATTTTTACTACCAAAAATATGTTTTTGTGCACACTTTCACTCATCCTGATGGAGTTACTGGAAACGTTTTTACTGCTGACCGGAGGAAATGTTGCCTGGATTTTCAGTTTTTACACTTGTTGCCGTAGCAACCGAACGCTACTTTGCTTCCCTTTGAAAAAAAAGGGACGTTTAGTGCTCGTAGAATCCTTTTTTTGTATTGAATTGGAGTACACCATGTAAAACGAATGAACTCTTTCTTCTGGAGTTAGCGTAAGAGGTTCATTGACTTTGTCGTTGACACCTTTTGCGTCATCATAGCACACAGCCTTGATAACCAAAACGCTTTTACACAAAGATAAAAGTTAGTTTTCATAACATTTAGAAGTTTCTCTTGGTTTTAGATATACTATGACAGGAAAGTGGAATTTGCAATACTAGCAACCGAACGCTACTTTGCTGCACTTCATCCCTTTGAAAAAAAAGGGGACGTTTAGTGCTCGTAGAATAAAGGTATGCTTATCTTTTTTGTATTGAATTGCGAGTACACCATGTAAAACGAATGAACTCTTTCTTCTGGAGTTAGCGTAAGAGGTTCATTGACTTTGTCTACAGTTGACACCTTTTGCGTCATCATAAAAGTTAGTTTTCATAACATTTAGAAGTTTCTCTTGGTATCGTGACTAGTAGATATACTATGACAGGAAAGTGGAATAAAGATTGCAATACTTTCAATGCATAATAATCCACATGATTGAGCCAGGCAAGAACCCATTTCCTGGCCGATGGAAAGCCCCTGGTAAAATTTGTGCAGCGGTTGCAAAAACGTAGTGTAGGAAACAGAGAAAAGTTAGATGAAACGCAAAATTTGAAAGTTGGTGTTACCGGGTATTACTTATACTGATATAAACGGACATCACAAGGCAAAGAAACGCGTGGCTGGGGCAAACCTTACCTTGGGGAAGCAAAAGTGCTAATTAACATTTGTAGACTGGTACAACATGTCATGAAACATTGTAATTTTGTATACATATTTCAGATGACCATCGCTTGCTCTTGGATCTTTGGGATCGTCATCACTTTTCCAATGTTCCTAGCAAGGAACTTTGACAAGGAACTTGATTGGTGCGTTTATACTTGGTCTGAAGAATGGATGGGTAAAGCCTATAGCATGGTTTGGTTTCTGTTTACAGGATTTTTCCCCGTTACTTTCATGATCGTTCTATACTCCCAAGTCGTGTACACTATGTGGTTCACACGTTCAAAGCCAAGAGGACGTCAGCATTGTGTGCAACAGGTTCGAAACTAAAATAAAAACAAAATGCTATATACCAATTATTTATTCCTGCAAGAAAAAGTTCTCTTTAATTTTGGCCATGCAAAAATTCCTTTATTGATCAATCTTGTTTGGTCAAGATAGTTGGATATTGGCCACGGTCTTTTATGAGTTTTTAGGGACCTTAAGATACTCTGGACACGGCCGAGGAGGATGTCAACCGGAAGTGAAATGTTCAATTCTTGGAACTAATTACCGTATTTATTCGAATAAGCGCCCAACCTCGAATTAGCGCCCACCTCGAATAAGCGCCCATCCTAAAGGCAGAAAAAGTTCATAAGCGCCCACCCCACCCCACCTCCTCCTATTCCCAGTCAAACTCAAATAAGCGCCCACTCCCACCCCAACCCCCTTCCTCTCCCAACCCTCAAAAAATCGAATAAGTGCTAATAAGAGACTTCCCCGAAGACGGAGTTTTCTTCAGAGTATTTTGCAGAAACCTAGCTCTTTTACATCTTCGCGTTTGGTTATTACCATTTATTGTTTTGTTGCATCATGATAAACATGCTACACTTGCTTAAATGGCAAAAAATGTAATAAGCGCCCAGCCTCGAATAAGCGCCCACCTCGAATAAGCGCCCACTCTCAAGGTCCAAAAATTTAATAAGCGCCCAGGGCGGTTAATAGAATAAATACGGTAGCATAATGCCTAGTTTGGCCGCCTCCTTAAACTGTGAGTTGGTTTCTTGTTTTCAGTGCAGAAATTGCTTTTTTAATGTGGTGTTTCCTCAAGATTGACTCTTATATTTTTGCTATCAAGCCTTTTGGGTTCAGTGTTTTGGCGGCAAATGAGAATGAAAGCGCAGAGTCTTTCGATACAAATGTAACGCTATAACTGCTTATTTTTAAGGGGACGACGTTCTTGATTTAGGATAGTATTTGAAAAATTTAAGAGACGAGAAGAACAAAAATTGTTGGAAAACAAAAATCTAGGCTTGTAATAAACTCGGCGAAAACTGAGATCTTGAACAAGACGCCATCATGGTCCATTTATTAACTTTTAGAATTTCATTTTGTTCACTTTCAGTTCAGCGATGAAGATCAAAATGATCAAAAGCACGGGGTTGGCCCCGTGATGGGCAAATGCCCGACCCCCGGGCCACGCAAAATTTGCTAATGTCGGGACTGACATGGTAGGCAAATGTTCCGCAGGGGCCCGGGGAAGAGGGCTGGGCGCAGCAGGATTTGTCTGATGCATAATCAAGCAAAAAAGAACTTGGCCAATATCCAACCATTTTGACCTCCCGCTTGGTCAATAACGCATGTGTGTAGGTTTACGTCACTACAGTCATTTAGTATATAAGTGATTTACCTACACTCCTAGCTGCTGGTCCGTATACTCACCCGCACCAGGGTTTATTCTGTTCCACAAACAACAAGTTGAAATTTTTAATTTTTGTTTTCAGGGTGTACTGAAAGTACGCAAGCGGGTCACGTTGACGGTCATAACAGTCAGTATCATATTTGGAGTAACCTGGCTTACAGACACGTTTAACTGGGTCCTCTACTATTATAAGCCTTCCTTCAATCAGTTGACATACGCAGCAACTTCCATTTTGATCCTGTTCAATTCTGCTATCAATCCTATTTTGTATGCTTTGATAAATCAGCGATGCAAAGAGAAAATCAAAGGAATATTAAGTTGCAAGTGCCGTCCAGAACCAAACGGGATGTTTTCTGTTAAAAATCATGAGAAAGTGGAAATAGCCGTTATCTCCTTTCACCAAAGCCAATTAACGGACAAACGTAGCTGAAGGAGTGATTTCTGTTAATTTAATCTATTTAAAGAGTTTGTTTTAATATGTATTTAAAAAGTGGCCGTAACAATAGCAACTGGTTGGTTAATTAGAAGCCAACCTTTTACCTTTGAGATAGAGAAAAGGGCCTGAGTCAGTGTTGGCGGGAAGTGCCGTGTTTGCTGGCAGACTAGGCAGTGAGGGTCAATAGGGACCCTACGAAACCACGACGACGACGGCAAAGGGAACGTCAAAAAACAATAGGTTTAATGAGCAAAACAACAACTCTGCACGTGCATTCCACTTTTTGTACATTTCTTTGCCTTCACTGCACAACTACGACGTAAAATAGCCAAATTTTAAGTTTGCTTGGGAACGGGAACGGCAAGGCGATAAATTCTACCATCTCTGTCCGAATTTGAGCGCGTTCCCCTCTCTTCAGCTCCAGCTAAAATCCCCTTCTTTTAAGTAACAGGGCGAATTATAGGATAAACGCGAAAAAGTTTAAAATGATACGAAGTCTGTTTTTCAGCAACGTTTTCATGGACGTCGCCGTTGTCGGATCGTAAGATCTCTATTAATCGAGCCAAAAAGTCATCAAGAACATGGCATACAAAGTAAAATGGGACTTTTGTTTACGGTTATCAACTCTACAACATACCATACACGTGTATTAGATTGAACCGGAGAACGTTTTGAACCGTTGCAAAGCGCAAAGCTAAGTAGGAATAATACTTGCAATAGTAAACTAAAAGAAATGTTCATGATCTAAAAGGTCAATTAGATATCGGTTTGGACAATGAACAGCCTTATCCGGGGAGGAAAATCCTTGGAAAGAGTTGTCTGATAAAAATCTACAAGGATTACAAGCTTTGGCGTCCTTTCACATTGAGTGATTGACACTTTTATAATATGTCCTGCTTTGTGTAAGATTAGAGACCTTTAGATTCTAGGACGAGAACGACTACGAGTACGAGATTTCACTTAACGTTTTTTCGCGTATTCTTGAATAATAGACACCCCGGACAGCTTCATTGTACATTTTTTTTACCAAACAAAATAGCGCGCACTGTTATCTTGATTATAGGAGGATAAGCTATCTCCTCGCCGCAAAATATTAACACCTATAACACTTTATAACTTGTGTCCGCTAACACGACATTCTGGCTAAAACTCGCAGTAGAATGAAGACGACTATCATGTTTTGCCGCCAAGATGACGCTGGTTCACGAGAAAATCTCGTACTCGTACTCGCACTCGTCTTAGAATCTAAAGTTCCTTATTAATGTTGTTACTGAGAAGAAAGAAACTGATATTGAGAGTACTACTTCGTGACAGGAACAATTAAAACGTTGAAATAGCCATCCTCGCCCTTCCAATTCAACCAAGTCAATAATACAAATATTGCACCAGATATCTGATGATTGAAGCGTCTATGGGTGAATTATTGCGTGTATATTGTCTATGTTGTCATTGTACTGTTTTGCACCCATGTATACTGTGTCCATGCTGTGTCTAATATTAAAAAACTAAAACCCTTCAATTCGGTTATACCAGTCGTAACATAAAGATAGAACCTGGCGCAACGTCACAGTGCCCACAAATGACGTTATTGGTGTTAATTCAATCAAAAAACAGCTTAGTTCAGTTCGTACTATACTACTACTGATATGTTTAGGTTTAGACTTATCAGATAGAGTGTTTTTACGTAACGTCACGGCGGCCATATTGGTGTCCCAAAACAATGAAATGGTGGCAGTGTTGGTATCCCAAACCGTTCCTGTGGGGTTGAACTCTTTTCTTATGCAAACACTTTCTTTTGTTCTAATAAATTTGCATAGATGATGGCCGCGTGAGTGAAAACGCTCCATAAATTTAAAAAAAGGTAAACGTGCAGCGAGTTATGGATACAAAAAGAAGTTATCGTCACACTAAAAAGAACATTTTTTGCTACCCGACAGAGAAAAAAAATCATTGCAACAAACAGCATTTTGGCACGAGGTAAAAGTAGTGTGTTGCCCACCGACCCCCTTTTTACACTGTACTTTAGTTTAGTGACAAAATGCAACGCCCGTTCCAAAAAAAAAAAACCAGTTAAAAAGTAATATACAGTCCTGCCGATGTAAGAATTTCATTCTCAAACAAGCGTCAGGTCTGGATCCGCCACTGCTGTGTGTGTGATATGTCAGTACATGTGCTCCATGGAATAAAAGGTGCTATGTATTTCTTTTACGATGTGTTGCACTAGTTGTCGTCGATTAGTGCCAAACGATCCTGCTAGCACAGCCTTTCTGACTTGCACGATTTTGGAGTCTTCGAGAAAAAACTCTGCATGACTTGAGTAAGGTCTTAATTGAGAATATTTTTTCTTCTCCTGGGATACACTTTTTGAACCCAGGCCCAAAAGTCCTACGCTTGGTAAAGATCAGGGCTCACTTGTGACCAGGAATTTATCAAAAAGTGGACACTATGGACTAGTGCGGACGTTTGGGCATTGGCGACTTCAAAGGCTAGGCAGAGCCAGCCTCGTTCCCAGTCGTCCTCGGCGATTTCGGATGTGACGTCACCTGTCAAACTTGTCGCAAAAATTCGCGCTATCGCACTCTGTTCCAAGCCTCCTCTGGTAACTCGGATAGCGCGAACTGACCTGGGTGCTAAGATGCTAAGGTTTTTCACGACTTCAGCTCTTACACAGAGGTTTTTTTTCTACACGATATACTACATTAAGGCTAAAAACTGCAACATAAAGCAACTATTGATCATTCTGCTGGAAGATACCAAATCCTATGGAGGGAGAAAGGAACGTTGCTCTACACTTGGGTAGTCTTTGTACTTCGCCTTAAAATTCTACTTGAGTATTCTACTAAGATTTTCTACTCAGTTTTTGCTCATTTTTGAGCCAGCTTTGTTAGTGCTGAAATATCACACTTAAGTAAAATCCAACTAATGATCTATTATGAATGCTGCGTTCTGATTGGTTGAGCTACTGCGACGCTATACGTTATAGCCCACTAATAGCTAAAAGCGCTGGTTTTTTGGCGGCAAAAAAGGACTAAAGACTAGTTTTAACCAGCTAAGGTTGTTTTGTCTCGATATTATTGACCAACTAGTTAGGATAAATAAGCTTTTCCACTCCTTAAGAAACGATGGAACCACTTTTTAGAAACGAAAGCAAAAATTACATTGAAATTCTATCGCTGTTCATGACAGAACGGTCAGCCCTTTATCTGAACAGCTGCTGAGTTTATATCATGATGATAGACTTTAGACTTTTTTAAGCATATGTTTGACAGTTCTTCCACCAGCTTCGATAGAGCAAGCAGAGGAAAAACGCAGGATTAGAATTCACAAAGCCACTTTCCAGGTATTTGCAAAATCGGTAAAAACTGTTTCTTTTTATTTGAATACCTAAGTCATGCGAAAAAAAAGATTAATTATGATAATAAAGCTGGGTGCATGAAGAGGAAGGTTAGGAAGGGATCGATGTGTAAAACAGAGTCATCCATGAGGAAAAAGCTAAAAATAATATTCCACCTCCACAAAAGCTATGTGACATAAAAAGGAGTATGTAGCAATGTAGAGGAACTTCAAGTTCTATGTCACTCGAAAATAAAATTCATATCTTCGCGCCACCGTGTAATATCCTCTATATATTACAATAAAAACACTCGAAAAACGTAAATATTGATAACCTGATCCTCTATAAGATCTTCATGAGTAAAAAATGTCTCAAAATCCGCCTTTTTTTTAACTGTAGGAAGCAATGGACTTTATCTACAGGGAGCAAGGCCCATGCAGCCGAGATCGCCGTAACAACAGTGCAATCGTTACTCGTTATTGTAAATATCACTGGAAACTCTTTTGTTTGTCTCATCATAATAAAGAACAAAGACATGAGGTAAGTACCGGTATACCTATACTGTCCGCAACATTTACACGTTTTTTTACAAGAAAAATAGCCCGTAAACTTCTCACTCCAGAGCATTATAAGAGCAACAAAAGCAAAAAGTGAAAAGACAAAGTAAATATTGTTTTCGACGTTTTAGGATGCATTTCCTAATTAACCTTGAATGTGGGGGTCGAACCAATGGGCTTGCAGGTTGAATTTGCATAATCTCCCCTCAAGAAGTTTTTGGCGCGCGATCCGCAAGTGACTCACAGCTCATCAGTGTTCCCCCTTCTTTTTTAATCTTTATACAGTTGACTCCAGATAACTCGAACCCTCGCTAACTTGCGCAAACCTCGCGCAAACTCGAACTTTAGTCGATTTCCTCTCGATTTCTGGATTCATAATTCCACTATAATATTACCCTTGGTTACCGTAAATGATCTAATAAACGCCCCCTCTCTAATGAACGCCTCCTATCTTATTAACGCCCCCCTAAGCTGACAAGTTTGTATTAAACGCCCCTCTCTAACAAACGCCCCCTGTCTAATAAACGCCCCCCTTCCCTGAAAACCACACATAAACTGGAAACAGATGTACAATACAATCAATCAATTTATTTGCCTTCTTGCTTAATTAACACCGGTGTGCGAGTTGCGCCTTGCTCAATTTCCAGTTCAAAGTGAGGATAGCGTTCTTTAATGTTCTTGATCCCATTTAAAGCAATACCTAACTCAGACATAGAAGAGGCCGGCGATGAAAATACCATGGTGCTAGACGAGGACTCGGATGTTGACATTGAACTATAAGAACTACCAGTAGGGTACCCTTTTCCGCCACTTTGTATGTACCATATACCGTTATGGATTTGTAGACGGTTTAGACTTATCAGCGGACGGACTTGATAGTCTGCTAAAGCTCTGTCATTTAGATTATTATAATACCGTATTTAGGTTACCATGTTACAGTTATTAGAATAAACGCCTCTCTCTTTTAAACGCCTCCCCCTCCTTGGACCCTTGAAATTTAATAAACGCCCGCGGCGTTTATTAGATCATTTACGGTATTCGAACCCTCGATGACTCGAACCTCCCGCTAACTCCAAGTAGTTTTTGTTTTCCATCAAGTCACCTCTACATAATTTTACCCTCGATAACTCTAACCACGTTTTAAGCCCGTGACAAGTCCAAAAATAAATTAAACAGTGTACTGAAGTCCGAAACATTGAATTTATTTCAAAACAATCATGTCAATTCTTTGTCTTTACATTTTTGTCACTCCACTGGTTAATTCAAATTCAGTGTCTGTCCCTGTATCTTAATCAAGCTTTCTTGCTTAATTCCTTTTTCAAAATATCAATCTATATCTCTTGCTGCCCTGAAGAGAAGTGAGCATGATACTTGAATTCCCACCACATCCATTTGCTTATGTGCTTGTGTCGGGCTATCTAGTTTGCTTCTAACCCCCGAGTAACAAGAACTTTTTTTCGATTTCCCTCGAGGGTTCGAGTTATCGGGAGTCGACTGTTTTTAGAAATATTTAGTCTAATCCATATCAAATATTCCGATTTCAGAAAGTTCGTCTTAGAACTCCTATATCAGAATGCGCACTCGCACATCGCGCTCGCTCACAGATTATCGAGCTCAAGAGGGGCTGCTCGCAGTCTACATATGATCAGGACACCGTGGTCCTCTTTCTTCCGCTGTCCTCTTGCCTAAACTCACTATTATCATGCTTCTTTAAATACCCTTTTCCGAGGGGAACTAACTACGACAATTTTCTGGTTTCCCCAATGATATCAATAAACTATCTTCTTACGAACCTCGCCATCGCAGACATGACTGTGGCCACATTTTTGGCGCCTCGATATATTTTTATCCACACCTTCATTCACCCTGATGGAGTTGCTGGGAATATTCTCTGCCGGCTACTAACAGGAGGAAACTTCGCCTGGGTCGGAGCTGGCGCATCCGTATTTACCCTTGTCACCATAGCAACTGAACGCTATTTTGCTGTGATGTATCCTTTTGAAAACAAAGGAAAGCTTAGCAGTCGTAAACTTAAGGTGAGTAAATGCAATGTGATGTAAGGCGAGTGATTTTATTTCAATTTAGTTTTTACACTCTTACAAAAATATCAATTCAAGTCTTTTCAAGAAAGACAGCTGAGGAGTCAAAGTTATCGAATAAATAGACCGAACAATTTATTATCCGCATCCTGAAGCTAAATAGCAACTCAAGAACATTTATAAATGAAAACCATTAGATCATAAAGGGTATTTTTCTTCAAAAACTTATACAGCAATGTGTTTGAAATAAATTTGCTCCTCCATTATTTTATATTGAATAATAATGAACATGAACTGTTCTGGAGAATATTTTAGTGGTTGTCCTGTGACATATTTCAAGTGCATGCGCAGTTTTGTTCTAGCGAGCACGAGGTTTTTGCTTTTCTGCCAGCTCATCACATTTTTGGAGCAAGCAGGATGAAATTAAATTGTTGATGTTTTGTTTATTTTTCTCGTGGTTTTTATGGACTTTCGACCGACCAATTATCCTGGCGAACATCTGGTAGCAGAGCGAGGTTCTTCTTTAAGTGGATTTGACGCAATTTACCAGGATTTGTAACCGAACACTGAACGAACACGAGATGGCCGAACGATTGAGAAAGGACAAAGCGAAGTACAAAGGCGCCTATACAAGAACCAAAACAAAATTGATGATGACTTTAGAGGGAGGAATGTATTCGAAAATGCAGGTGATGGAACGTTTGGATCTTCTTTCTGCCGCTTTTGAGGATGTAGTTCGTGCAGTCGAGAGTTTAGAAGCACATTATGAGACTGTTGGCGACTCATCGAGACTTACCGCCGTAGCGCTTGAACTAGAAGCTGTGGAGGAAGATTTCAACGAGATCGAACGAATTGTTAGAGGATGTTTGAATAGCAGCCCCAGTCAGAGCGGTGCCTTGAGCGTTTCCGGAACAACACCCACGGGACAGTCTCCCATTAAAGAACAATCCGAACGACTGGAACAAGAAATTAAAATGCGAGAACAAGAGATCACGAAAGTGTTACATGACCTGGAGAAAACGTTCGCCGAACGGAAGAAACAACTTGAGCAGCAATCGTTGTCTACAGAACAGCAACGAAAGGAACCATTTCAGGGAGGTGAGTCAGCTAGAGTTCAGGACAATGTAAATGCTAGTGTGAAGAGATCAGAAGAACAGGAACAAAATAGTGATCCGAGAATTCAGTTGACAACACCATTCCAGCAATGTGCTTCATCCGTCTCAGATTTAAACACATCAACCTCTGTTAACTTTAGTGGAGCAGCTGCTTTTTATCCCTCGAGTAGTTTTGTTCATTCATCGACTCCAATTGTTTCCCAGTCGTCAATGTCTTGTTCTCCTCCAGTGGGGGACCAACCCCTTCAGCAGCCGCCATTGAATTCCCGTGTGAACTCAACCCAGACCACACTTGTTGGGTCTTCTACAATACGTCCTTCAGCGTTTTCTTCGAATCAGTTACGTGCACCGGCAGCCCAAGGTCATACTCCTTTGCAGCCTTCGTCATGTGGTAGCCAAGTACAGTTTTCAACGCCTATTGCTGGTCAGCCATTTAGTTCTAGTTATGACCAGATCAGTATCGACTCCATGGCAGCTCTGAAACGAGTGAGTATTCCCAGGTTTGCAGGCAACAAGAAAAATTATGAAGCTTGGAAAGCAGCCTTCTATTCATGCGTTGACCAGGCAAGAGCCTCACCGCAATACAAATTGCTACGGCTGCATGAGTGCTTGCAAGGAGAGGCCCTTAAAGTTATTGAAAATCTGGGACACTCTGCGGCAGCCTATGAAGCAGCCAAGTCTCGACTCGAACGGAAGTATGGCGGAAAACGCAGGGCACTTACATTACGACTTGAAGAACTGGATGCCTTTAAGCAGATAAGAGAGGGAATGAAAAAGGATCTTGAGCTTTTTGCTGAGTTACTGGATGCAGTAGTAGTGAACCTTACAGATGCTAATCAGGAAGCAGAGCTTGGTAGTGGCTCTCTTTACATCTCACTGCAACGCAAGTTTAACAAGAATCTTCTGGCCAAGTACAAACAGTGGGTCTGTGACAATCATAGAACGGAGGGTGTAAAGACACTAAGGGAGTTTATTGATAGAGAGTCTGAGTTTTTAACCACAGCTTCTGAGACAATAGCAGGTGTTCTAAGTGGATCCAAGAAGGAGAGAGCACTGTTTGCCAAAGAAGATTTTGACCCTAAGAAGAAACATTCAAGAAAGTGTAAAGTATGCAAGGAGTCCCACAGCCTGTGGACCTGTGAGAGTTTTAAGAAGATGACAGTAAATGAAAGGTGGAACATTGCTAAAGAGCAGAAACTGTGTTTTAGATGTCTCAGTGACGGCCACAGAGGAGACGCATGCCTCAGGAGTAGGGTCTGTGGGATAAAAGGGTGTCGCTCTCATCACCATCGTTTGCTTCACGAAGACCCAAAGAAAGAAGAGAAAGCCGAAGCAGCAGATGGATCAAATGCAGCCGGAGCCAATGCCACCATTGAAGGGGAGTCAAGTGAGAGAACCCATACAGCTACTACTGGAAAAGGAACTGTACCCTCGTCAGAGTTTGTAGCCTTAAGAACTGTTCCTGTCTATGTGACCAATGGTAAACGAAGACTGAAGGTGAACGCTCTACTTGATGATGCCAGCAGTAAGACGTACTTAAACAGTGACACTGCGGCTGAACTGGGTCTCGAAGGCAGACCACACGAACTTACAGTTAATGTACTGAATGATAACCAGCAAATTTTGGACACCACAGTTGTAGAATTCATGATCAGCAGTTGTGAAGGAAAAGTGTCCAAACTAGCGTCTGCCTATACAACTGAAAGAGTCACAGGGAACATGCAAGTGGTGGACTGGAGCAAATACAAACACAAATGGAAGCACCTAGAGGGCATAAAATTCCCTCAAGTGGGACCCAGACCTATAGTAGACCTACTAATTGGTGTGGACCAAGCTGACTTGCTGTACTCATTGAGAGATGTGAGAGGAGAGCCTGGAGAACCCATAGCTAGGCTTACTCCGCTTGGGTGGACTTGCATTGGTAATCCTGAGGTGCCGGTAGAAAGAACTCAGACAAGCTTCACCTTTTTTCTGAATGATTCACACGAGCTGAACAGTCTTGTTCGCCGCTACTGGGACATAGAAGAACCTAAGGAAACTCTGATTGTCAATCCAGAAGAGAAGTTCGCAAGAGACACAGTTTCAAGGTCCTTAACATTCGCTGACGGTCACTACTCAGTTGGGATGCCGTGGAAAAAAGACAGACCTTTATTATCTGACAACTACAGCATGGCTTTGCATCGTCTGCACTGCACTGAGAAGAAATTGAAGCGGTCCCCGGAACTTGGTGAAGCTTACAAAGCAGTGGTTCAGTCCTATCAAGACAAAGGATACATTCATAGAGTTTCTCGTGATGAAGTTAAGCCTGATCAAGTCTGGTACTTACCCCATTTCCCTGTGCTGAGGCCAGATAAATCAACAACCAAGACCCGTATAGTCTTTGATGCCTCTGCAAAATTTAATGACTTGTCCTTAAATGACATTGTGCTTCAGGGACCTAAACTTCAGAGTGACTTATTTGCAGTGTTACTCCGTTTTCGCCGTGACCCTGTGGCTTTGATGTGCGATATCAAAGAAATGTATCTACAAATCAAGTTGAAACCTGAAGATCAGCCTTATCACCGTTTTTTGTGGCGGAACCTAGAGACAGACAGAGAGCCTGATGTGTTTGAGTTTGACCGTGTTGTATTTGGTGTGAATTCATCTCCTTTTCAAGCACAGTTCGTGGCGCAAGAACATGCCAGGAAACACCAGTCTGTATTTCCCTTAGCAGCTGAAACAGTGTTAAAGAGTACATACATGGATGATAGCATGGACTCAGTACCTGATGTGAAAACCGCAGTAGAATTGTACAGTCAGCTGTCACAGTTATGGAAGTCTGCCGGAATGTATGCTAGAAAGTGGTTGTCAAATGTGCCTGAAGTGCTGCAGTTTATTCCCTCTTCAGACTGTGCTTCAGAAGTTGATCTTGATCGAGGTGAACTACCACCCGTCAAAACCTTGGGAGTCCTATGGTGCCCTATGGAAGATGTATTTAAATTTCAAGTTAATCAGCCCGCCGAGAAGCATGAACACTCCAAACGCAGCTTTCTAAAGAAGATAGCAACCTTGTTTGACCCTCTTGGCTTGTTATCCCCATATACAGTGCGTGCTAAGGTTCTACTCCAAGAGATGTGGGCAAGCGGCGTGGACTGGGACGAGCCGGTGAACGAGAACCTGTCAATGAAGGCTTCGAGGTGGTTCAAAGAACTCTCAGCACTAGTCAACATTCAGATTCCCCGATGTTTAAGAACTACTAAAGCAGTAAAGGAAGTAGCCTTACACACCTTTGTGGATGCTTCTCAAGAAGCATATGGTGCAGTTACTTACACTCGATACCTCTATGAGGATGGAACTGTTAGCTGTCGCCTTGCTGCGTCCAGATCACGTGTTGCACCTTTGCAAGCTATCAGCATACCTCGACTCGAGTTAATGGCTGCTGTTGTAGGACTCAAGCTGAATCAAGCCGTTGGCCAGGCACTTGGCATCAAGAAAGAAGAGTGGACCTTTTGGTCTGACAGCATGGATGTATTGTACTGGATTCGGGGACAGAGCAGGAAGTTCAAACCATTTGTGGCAAATCGTGTAGGGGAAATCCAAGCCTTGACAAATCCAGAACAGTGGAGGCATGTTCCAACAAAACAGAATCCAGCTGATCTGCTAACAAGAGGCCTTAGTGTCTCAGCTCTCAGTGAGGAAGAAAGATGGTGGAAAGGACCGTTGTTCCTTAAGTACGACCACACCCAGTGGCCGCCAACAAGAACTGAAAGAGAGAAAGAAGCCGATGTTGAACTCCGGCAAATATGCCAGGCAAAAGAACAAATAAAAGAACAATCATTCCTTTCACTTCCCAACGAAGACCGGCTGAACCCACAAAGATACTCAAGTTGGACTAAACTCACAAGAATCGCGGCTTGGGTAAACCGTTTCCTAGAGAACTGCCGTTCGCCAGTTGCGGTTCGTAGACAAGACAAAATACAACCTGATGAAGTTTTCTCCGCGGGAACAAGAATTATCCGGCAAGCTCAGCAGGAAGTATTTAAAGAAGAAGTGCGAGCAGTACAAACTGGAAAAGAACTGCCAAGTGGAAGTAAATTGCAGCCCCTGAAACCTATTATCGACGAAGATGGAATTCTCCGATGTGATGGACGACTTCGCTATGCAGAATTCTTACCATGGGAGAGTCGTTATCCGATCATACTCCCGCGCAATCACTGGGTGACAAGACTCATAGTCAAGCATCAGCATGAGCAGAGCCATCATGGGGGAACCAATCAAGTGTTATCAGAACTTTCAACCCACTATTGGATAATTTCAGCAAGAGAGGTGATTAAAGAGTCGGAGAAAGAATGCATGCAGTGTAGAAGAAGAAAGGCTAGCCCAGCCAAACAGATTATGGCTCCGTTACCAGAACTGAGAACCCGGATGTCGTTGCGAGCTTTCAGCCAAACTTCTGTCGACTTTGGTGGTCCATTCATTACTAAGCAAGGAAGAGGAAAGGCGCGTCAGAAGAGATACCTTTGCCTATTCACCTGTCTTGCAACACGAGCTGTTCATCTCGAAGTAGCTTTCAGCCTGGACACGGACTCATTTCTAAATGCATTCTTCCGTATGGTGTCCCGACGTGGCCAGCCCAAAGACGTTGTATGTGACAATGGCACTAATTTCGTTGGTGGAAGTAACGAGCTAAAAGAATTGGAAGCCTTGGACCACAAGAAGATTCAGGATGCTACGACAAGTTATGGAATCAAGTGGCATTTTAACCCCCCTCTTGCCCCACACTTCAGTGGTGTACATGAAGTTATGATCAAAGCTGCGAAGAAAGCTATTTATGCCATCCTTAGCTCTGCAGACATCACCGATGAGGAACTTTTAAGTGCAGTTGTAGGAGCAGAAGGGTTAATTAACTCCAGGCCACTAACTTACCAGTCAAGCAGCCCAACCGACCTGACCCCTTTGACTCCTAATCATTTTTTACATGGTCAGTTAGGAGACAGATTTGCACCCGATAGTGTTGACACTGAAGTATTCCATCCAAGAAAGAGATGGCGTCGCGTCCAGGAACTTGTACGTCATTTTTGGCATAGATGGTTGCATGAATGGATTCCCAGTCTGAGTGTACGGAAAAAGTGGCGCAGGGAGCAAGTTGACCTAAAAGTAGGAGACGTTGTCATTGTCATGTCCCCGGATACACCAAGAGGAAAATGGCCTTTAGGAAGGATTGTAAGGGTGTTCCCTGGAAAAGACAGCAAAGTGCGTGTTGTTGATGTTCAAGTTGGAAAGACTGTGCTACGGAGACCAATTGTGAAACTTTGCCCATTAGAGCAATGTTGAACTTTAAGTGACATTATTAAGACAAATGCTTTTGAACATTTCATATCTTTCAGAACAAATTTATTTTGCCTAAGTTTTGTTGATATTTTCATATCAAGAAAGGGGAGGATGTTCTGGAGAATATTTTAGTGGTTGTCCTGTGACATATTTCAAGTGCATGCGCAGTTTTGTTCTAGCGAGCACGAGGTTTTTGCTTTTCTGCCAGCTCATCACATTTTTGGAGCAAGCAAGATGAAATTAAATTGTTGATGTTTTGTTTATTTTTCTCGTGGTTTTTATGGACTTTCGACCGACCAATTATCCTGGCGAACATGAACTTTAATTCTAATAAATGTTCATCCTAATTAATTTGTCATTCAACCGAAACAATTAAAAATATGATATGTCACAATCTACAGAAGCCATAGAAAGGTTTTCAGTCTAAAACGAACAAAAAAGCCGTCGGCGGCCAGTAAAAACCTGTTTAAAATGAATGCAAGGAAAATATATTTTTTTTTGCACCAAGAGACAATGACTTTCCATTGAGACATTGAGACAAGTCAAAAACGGGACTTACCAATTCGTAGTTCCTTAAAAATTTCTAGAGCTCACTATATGTCGCGTTACGGACGGATTTATTGACACTGTCCTCGGAATTTATAATTATAACTGTGTAAATTTCCTTTCGAATAATAGCGGCATCCTGGAGGTACCCCAAGGCAATTGTGTATCGTTTTCATAATGCATTTCGATATTTATAGCCCACCAACCTCCGTTGCTTCGGTTGTTTCTGTCCTGCGTTCTGGATAAAAGGAAAACTTCCAAACACCTATATAAAACATCAACCAGCACCGGCGACCCAAGCTGGGTGCATAAATTACCGCGGGTTTTGATACTGTTTTGCATATTACCAACGATTAAAGACTTTGTATGAGAAGTTCAATATAGTTGTTAAAACGTAGAAATATAGGCATGAATATAGAAATAAATTGTACTTACGTAGACTTGCGCCTGTTGTTGCTTTTCATGTGTAACCTTGGCTCAATTCAAGGCCATTTTATACAGTTTTGCAGCTCGTTCTTTGTTCGGTGTTGTTTTCCTACATAAAGCGAAGCAAGGCAGGTGACTGTGTGCAGTCTTAACTCACAAATCTCTCCCGCATCAAAGAACCGGGCACTGATTCACCATGAAACCGTCAAATCCTTGAGGTATGGTCAGTCTCTTATCTCTTCCCTCAGTCATGGGTATTGCGATGTGTTTTTTGTGGGAAATGTTTTGAAAGTTTATGGTTCTGGGCAATCTGACGTGCGCTCAGGAACCTCAATGACTACGTGTTACGTGTTGAACGCAAACATGGACTCAGGGGAACCGAGTAGTCAAAATTGCATGACAAAATATGGATCTTCCTACACTCAGATAGTCTACTGATTGCGCGTGAGCGGTGTTTGGATTAGCGTATTTAAAATGTTCACGTTCACCACGCAACACGTAGTCATCGAGTTTCCTGAGCTCACGTCAGATTGCCCTGAGTCAAAAACTTTCAAAAACATTTCCCACAAAAAAACACATCACAACACCTATGACCAGGGGAAGAGATAGGAAACTCACTTGGCCTAAAAGGATTTGGCATTTTGACGGTGAATCAGTGCGCGGTTCTTTGATGAGGGAGAGATTTGTGAGTTGAGACTCCACACAGTCACCTGCCTTGCTTTGAAGGAAAACAACACCGAACAAACAACAAGCCGCAAAACTGTATGAAATGGTCATGAATTGAGCCCAGGTTAAACAGGAAAAGCAACAACAGGCCCAAGTTTACGTAAGTACAATTTATTTCTCTATTTATGCCTATATTTCTAGGTTTTAACAACTATTATATTGAATTTCTCATATAAAACAAAAATCTCAAATCGTCGGTAATATGCAAAACAGTATTGAAACTCGTGGTAATTTATTCACCTAGCTTGGGCCTCCTCTGCAACCAGTAACAGTAAAATACAATACTCCAGGGACATTTTCTAAGCCATGTCTTCAAAACTTTCAAAGGACGTGTTTTTTGTCAGGTCAAAACTTCTTGCTCGTCAATGCATAGTTAGTAGAAGAGACTGGTTATGAAAGATGTAGTTTATGTTGGAAGCTCTCTGACTGTGCACAATCCTTTGTTCACAAATTGTGACTGAATAAATCAATGGGATATTTCTATTGGTCAGTAAGTTCAAAAGGATGGGAATGTTATTGAACGTTGTGCACGGTCAGGTCCGTAAATGAGACTGGTTATGAGAGCCGGCAAACGGTCAGGTCCGTGAGCTAAAAGGAGTCTAACGAGATTCATATTAATCATTCAACTTTAAGAACTATGGTCAAGGTTCAAGGTCGAAGTTTTAAACCTGACAACACTGCCGTCCTGTTTTAAACATCACTTACAGCAAGGAGCCTAAAAATGTGACCGCTTTTGATTTATTCACATTCTTTCGTACAGATTTAATCCAATCAGAAGCCAGCTGGAAACTGTCTTCGACTACTGATTGGTTAATGTCTGCATAAAAGAATGTGAGTTATATTAATTAAAGGCCGGGTCACACTTTTGGGCTCCTTCTTGCTGTAAAAGACATGCGCATGCGGCAACTAGAATGAATGGTCATCGTGTTTGTTTTTTTGAGGAAAAACAACGTTGTTTGCCTGTCTTTATCCCCTTACAAAAATTAAACTGTTTCCTTTTATTTTGAAGGCGATCATTTCCTCTTCTTGGATATTTGGCATCATCCTCAGTCTTCCACAATTCATCGTTAAGAAATTTGACAAGAAACTCAACTGGTGCGTTTATACTTGGTCTGAAGAATGGATGGGTAATGTGTATACTACAGCTTGGCTTTTGTTCACTTCATTTCTTCCAGTCACTTGGATGATTGTTCTATACTCCCGAGTCGTTTGCACGTTATGGGTCAATGATAACTCGCAAAAGGGGCCCCAACAGGTTCGAACATGTTATGCTTTTCTTTAAGACCCCGTCCACACGTATCGGGATATTTTTGAAAAGGGAGATTTTTCTCTCCGCATCCACACGTAGCGTATTCGAACCGTTTTCGCCCACTGTACACGAAAACGCTAAAACGATTGAAATGCAATAGCATCCAAATATTGAGCACGCGTCATGCTAGAAGTTTATGATGTATCATATGATTGTATTTGAAAACTTACGTTGTCGTCCGTCCACAAGTAAACCAAAAGCCGGCGTCAGTTCAAAAATCTCCACTCTGGAGAGCGTTTTTGAAAAGATGCATTTTCGGTGATCGTTTTCATCGGATACACGTGTGGATGGTATTCCAAACCGGAGAAAAAATTATTCGTTTCCAAATAAAAACTGATACATGTGGACGGGGCCAATCTTAAATGCCAAAATACCAGTAGCCTGCATGACAGGCGCTTTATGAGCCAAGCGGGGCGAACGCGATATTTCGCACGTAGCGCGACACGAGCGCGAAGCACGAGACAGCTCCGAGCGAAATATCGCGTTCGCCCCGCTTGGCTCATAAAGCGCCTGTCATGCAGGCTAAAATACCAGTTGAGGTAGTCATTTTCATTCAGTGGTTTGCATATATGCTCGATTCTGCGTGTAAACACTACAATTCCAAAAGGAGCGCTTGTTGTTTGATTAGTTTGGGTCTCTTGCTTTGCGTACTCTGATCAGGAAACCAGAAGACCCCACCCAGTGTTTGCATGTGGTAATTATAATACCTTGGAAATGGCAATGATTTGGTATAAGATAAAATTGGACGTGAGAAAACATTACTTAACTGTACACACAGAAAATTAAAATACAATAACTAACTCAATGAACAAATTAAACATAATAACTTAAGGCCTGTTTACATGGAGGTGAGGTAACCCGGTTATGTGGGGTAGCCCTCCTGTGTTTGTAATCTCTCATTTTAATTTAATCACGTTTACATGATAGGTGGGGTAACCCGCCGTATGTTACCTCACCTTTCAAGGGGCCCCCATCTCCATGTAAACAGGCCCTTTGTGGACATAATAAAAATCCAAGATGGCGGCTGTTGGGGATAATAGTGTTATTTACTATGACGTCATTAGGGAATCAACAACCTGGTCTACGGCGAGAAAAACAATCAAAACCAATACTTTTGACAACAGAGCTTTTGCACATCCTTTTTAAAGTTTGAAACATTTTTAGAACGTTTCGCCACTTATCCGTAAAGATTACAATCATCACACCCCAAAAAATGTTGATAGTCCCTAACCGGAAAATTGAGCAGGCGAACATTGGCGAGCAGTAAATTCGAAAGTTTTAAGTTAATTGAAAAAGAAGTTAAGAGCCGACGACAAATATTGGTTCCTTTCTCGCCTCATCACTGGGTCAACTTCCAGTCTTTTGGCGTCTTTCAGTGACGAAATTAAAGAAAAATGCAAGTCGTCCACCTTATCATTACTTTTACTTTCAGGGTGTGTTGAGGGTACGCAAGCGAGTCACATTGATGGTCATAACTGTGTGTGCCATTTTTGGAGTAACCTGGCTCACCAACTCTTCTAATTACCTCCTCCACCATTTTCTCAAATATTCTTTTCTGACTTACGCCTCAGCTTCCCTTATGATCATGTTCAACTCGGCGATCAACCCAGTTTTGTATGCATTGATGAGTCAACGATTCAGAAATAAAATGAAACAAATAATGCGTTGCACGTACCGCTCAGGAAAGATCAGGAAACGTTCTACGGGCGGTCACGAAATTCAAGGAGAGCGTGGAAACAGTCAGGTTCCCACTTAGTAAAATTAAAAAGATCCCACTAGCATAGAGTAATGTAAACTGAAATACATATGGTAGCTTTATTTTAAGGGAACAAGCTCTAGTCCTCGTGGGAAAAAACGCACACGAGCCAGAGCCCAAGAACGGCCGGAGCTTATCACGGTTTCCTTAGCATGAAGCCTACCTAATAGTACTGTTACTCCTCCCTGGACGGGATGCTACAGCGATGATGCTAGTCCATCGCCGGGGTAATAGTTCTCGAAGAATTTGCTTTACCGGTGTTAAAGTTTTTTGTCAGTCTGTGGACGTAAATAAAACGTTCAGAATGCATCTTTACTTGTCACGAAGCTGTGGTTTTATTATTTACAGGTAATTTATTCTCTAGCGTTGTGTCCCCCGCTTGCAACAGGCCCTTAGGGTGGCTCGATAGGGTTTTTGAGGATCGATGCCTTCCAAGTTTGAGCATAAACTACGTCGCCATTCAGACAAATCGGCTATTGGAGAAAAACGTTCCCGTAAGCGATCTTGGAAGAACAGTTCCCAGTGCCGAGAAATACGGCTGCAAGTAAAATAGGTAATGGCGTTATTTCGTTGCTATGACAATTCCGTTGTCGTTGCAACCCTTATCATAACAAATCTTTTTCTTTCGCTGTGGTCGTAATTTTTCCAAATGTTTGTTAACGGCGACGCAGTTTATGCTCAAACTTGGGAGGTACTAACCCTGAAAAATCCTATCGAGCCACGTTAATTTAACCTTTTCAACCTTGCATTTTATTTAATTTTCGATGTAAGAAAAGGGAAATTAGGAGGAATAAACCACATTCTGTTCGTCTGCTTCCGACGTGACAACGATTGGATTTTAATTTTAAAGTTCCATATATACAATATATACACAAGATATTCTTAGTTTCATGCAAACATTTTAACTCGTCAGGGGCACCAAGCGACTTTTTTCTGTAAAATAACTGTTCGAAGGAGCAAATATTGCCTAAATTTTTTTCTTTCTGGATAACCGTTCCATTCGTCTAAAATATTCGGACATTTTCTGATAGCTTAACTACGATTTTCGGAGGTTGTGTTAGTCACATTTTAATGCCAAGATATTGCGATTGTTGTTAAAAAAAGGTCTCCTAAAACGTTCGGTGTAAAGACAAAACGTCCCCTAAAATTTTCTAATGAAAGCAAGGCTACTTCATGTCCTCGTACTTTCGACCGGACCCTTAAGGGTAGCTAACACTTTCGGATGAGACGAAAAAGCCACCTAAAACTTTCGAGACGACCAAAGTTCGCCTAAGACATCCGAACAGATAAAACCCAAACAGGTTTCTAAAGCACAGAGAAAACCATTTGAGACACTCCTGGCGTACTTGGAAACATTCGTTCGTTGGGTGCTCCTGACTTGTTATATATATTTTAGATAATTACACTATCAAACAACCAATGCATTGCTGAATGCATTTCTTTATAAATATGATCCTTTACCCACTTTACTATTGAGCTATTTAACAATCATGTTTGTCATTTCCTTTAACTCCTTTTCCAGTTGGTTGAAATAAAAACTGGAAATCAATTTTAAGCCTAATAAAAGACTGATATCAAAACGTGCAATCAGTACCAACCAATCATCATTTGATTACTTGGGGCCTCTTCATACATTAAAGCCCGATTTTCCGAGATCGTGCCTTGACCTGTTTCCTTTGTTAAAAAAATTCCATAATAGAAGGTGGGCTAGCCAACATACTCTTTCTAGCTACAAGACACATTCTCTGACCAGCTTAAGAAATTCGTAGTTTGACTGGCTAAAGAATTACAGACTGGCCCGTTGTAGCTCGGTTGACAGGGCACATATGAAGAGACCCTGTTAGTAATAATACTGAATTTCATTTCATTATTTTTAGTTTTTACTCATTGCCAAAATTAGAGTGTAAAATAGCCTCTTTGATTCGCGAAATAGAAAAATGTATTGGAAATGGAAAATTATAACTCAACACTTAAGTAGCCAAGACTCGTAACTATATGTTCAAAAAAAAAAAGACTAAATAAATAGTGCGTTATGTTATTATGATAACAAACCAGTTTTATGTCATAGAGTAACATAGCAAGATAGATTGTCATATTTTACACAATTTATATTTTTTTAGGAGACTGGTGCTCCTAATTGTGGTTACAATGTTTATACAATCTAATAGCAATAAAAAAAATGTACACTTTCAAGCCTAACCAAGTGTTTTTTCATCTTTGTTTCTTGATACCTTGTGCCATTTTACGGCCATAAAGAGACAAATGATACTGAAACCTTGTAGTGTATCGGCTTTTTCCAAGCGTAGTATTAAGTCTCCTTTAGCTTTCGTCGTCTCAACGAAAACCCAAAGGTACAATCAGAAGCCCATAAACAGGGATTAAGATCAAGTCGTAAACTTGGTTTTGGCTTTGCACAGATTGTTTCCAAGCACAAACCGTTCCAGTTTGATTTAATCCGCATACAGGAAACTATTTCAATTGACGTAACTCCTTTCAGTTCTCCTTATGGGCAGTCACATCTAAGCGATTGTCAAAATAGAAATTTACAACCTTGTAATTCTAGTTCACCTCATACCGCAGGTGTAGCCCTCGCCTTGGCTCAAGTCTAGAATGACAGCCTGTTTGAATTGGCATCGAGGCATAGGTGATTCCCTTGAATGAACTCAAGTTTCTGAGGCAAAAAGACAAAGATAATTCTGATCATCAGCCTGTTATAGATCTGGATCTATCTTCATGTGGAAGCTGTCTCTTGAGGATTGCCTTGGGGGGTCTTCGAGCTTTTGCCACCTTTTAAGAACTGGCGATCCCTGGGATGTGCGGAACTGACTACGGCGAAGTGACGGGGATCGTCTCAATGAAGCAACTAGGGAGGAGGCAGACCCTGTGCTGCTACTTTTGAATCCCGGAAGAGATAAGAGAGGGGAATCTGTAGGGATGCCATTTGGAACTTTTGGCAGGCGACGAGGCTTGTAAACAGGCTTCTTTGAAGCATCCAAAAGCCAATAAGTCGGCACGTTTCCTTTTCCCTAGTAAACAATAACAAGGATTCAAAAACCAAATAAGAGCAAAGCTTTCTACATGGTAGGCAACATTCAAATCAAGTGAAATCCCCACAAAAATGATAGGTCTATCTCCTAATCTCCATTCTGCGTTATCCACTTAAAGTGGAACCGCGAGCTGCAAGAGAGTGTTTTCACTTCAAAGTTTCCAACATTCTGACGTCTTTTCTATGGTCGATTAAGGAACAGACCATGGAAAATCGTTGTCGATTTGTTCTTTACAAAAACACTAACAGTTTTTGACGTCCATTTTTGTTGAAGTTTCTTGGAAAATCGCGCGCGGTAGAAAAGGAAAAAATTGTGCCCCCATCAAATCATTTCCAACGGGTCTTTACCATCATCCACCAATCAGCGGGCGAGAAATCATGCAGTTGTTGTAAAAATTACCTGGACTAGACTAGACTAGACTAGTAACGTGCAGTTACTAAACTTACCTTAAGATAAACCTCGCCTCTGCTCTCAACAACAAAGCCTCCTATGGCTTCCAGTATTCTCTTCGTAACTTCGCTTATGTGGATTCTTAAAGCTAAAAGTTAATTGGCAAAGAAAAAGGTAATAACCAACTAGAAATAAGTTAAATTCTGTGCTGTATAAAAGAAAAAAGGCTCTATTGGCTTGCAAACAGATAACGCACGCAGGAGCCGACCTGACGCACGACATTACTCTATCTCAGTCCCCTTCATTGTGGGTTTGCTATTCTGACAGACAAGGACACAAATTCAGTGACTATTTCTTACGAGAAACGAGCAAATCGCTGGCAAATTCCCTTTGTTTTACTGTCAGTAATAATGATTGTTATTATTATAAATTTAATTTTTATTAACGTGATTAATAAGAAGAACAGCAATACAAGAAGAAATCATCATCATCGTCATTATTGCTATCTTATAGCTGCTGATGATGTTTTGAAAAGTAGTACAAGATGAAAGAAGGTTAGAAGAAGAAAGCCTAATTGAACTCCAACCTTCCCCATTCGATTCCATTCTTGACGCAGTGTTCACAGTATCACCAAAAAGGCAGTACCGGGGCATCGTTATACCAACCACACCGGCTACAACAGGACCTAGGAGGAAAAAAATCATTAAATTGGTAATCAGTAGACCTCGAATAGAATAGTCATAGAATAGAATAGTCATGGAATTGATTGTTCATAGGAAATTAACAAAAAAGAACGAATAAGGTTTTCTGGATCACTTTTAAAAACTCGCTTCCTTTTTGGTGATTTTTTTTTTTTTTCATACTTTCATTTACAACTGCCTAAGTTGCGTGTAAAACTGCAATTATCTTTCGTGTTTTAATGCCCCTTTCGTGCATTTATTATCGATATTATATATTATTATCATTATCATTATTATTTTTATTATTATCATTACTGATTTGTCAGCTGGAAAAACAGTAATGAATTCATAACATTTTTCAGTAAAAGACACCGTTCTTCAGTAATGCTTTGACACTTTTTTTGCTCCTACATTTTTATTGCCAAAAGGTTTGGTGATATCTTAGGTGAAATGATGCTTAATATCACCTGATTAATAAGACCAAAAATTCTAATTTTTATGGATATAATTACAGTGCAGCCTCATATCAAAATTATTAGACGGTGGTATATAAAAATGTAATAAACTGACTTATGATGTACATAATTACAGACAACGAAGAATTAATTACCACTGTGTATTCCAACGCGTAGCTTGAGTTTGTAGTCACTTTTGTGTCGAACTGTAAAGTCTTTCTTCACAGCGTCGACCAGATGTAACGCCATGCGCGCTATCTCTCCTGCGTGATTGTGCCCATTTCTGATTGGTAGACCTGATACCACCATGTATGCGTCACCAATTGTCTCCACCTGCCGGGCAGAAGGAGCGCACTAGAGTACAAGCAAACAACGGCACGAAATTGGAGGTTGAACGAGCCCTACGTTTAACGTTTATCGCGAAGTTTATGCTTTTTTGCCATGTTTTAATGTATTAAAATTTAAAATATGAAAAAATATGGACATTGAAGTCAATTTTGTCACAAGGACTAGCATTGGATAGGTATTTATTATTTTGAAGAAATTTTGCATTTATATTCGCGCTATAATTTAGGTATGACGAGCAGGCTTTGCTCATCAGTTTCTACATCCAGAATCCCTCCCTCCATCACAAAAAACCAGCCCATTTTATTGTGACATTGCAAAAATAAGTAGCATTATCCCGTTAAGCAGCGGAAAAAAAACAAACAAACAAGCTGAGTTTAAAATTGATCGCAGCAGTCGCTTTGTGGATTAGATGTTTACGTTGTCATTTAAAACAAAATCACATTTTAACGCCGATATGATGTGTCCTTACCCCTGAGTTTTAATTTGTGTTTAACAATTCAAATTAATGCCTAACATTTTCATTAATTACAAGTCGAAAATTTAACCGACACATTTTATAATACTAATACACAATATTACTTATATAAAAACGATTTCAGGGTTGAACAACATTTTATAAGTAATAAAATTTATCACAGCTATTTACAATTTAAAATGAACAATTGTAATCTTTAATCACAGCTACATAATACGCTAACTAAAAACAATTGTATTTTTCAGTTTTAATGGGATAAGATGTTAAGTAATTAATTTGCCTATAGCAGCCAAAACTCAGCATTAATTTCTTCCCAAATTATTACAGTTATTAAACCATGCAGCTTGCGTTATCAAGCATCATGCTTTAAGCTTTAGTTCTGTCCAACCTCCTTAACATAAAGCAATAAATAAAACGTGATACTGGGAAAACAATTCGTTTGGTCCAGAAATGACCATGCTACCTTTCATTTGGACGCATGAACCTACCTGTCAAGTTTTGTTGTGTGAAGTTTCAGTTTAATCAGAGATGGCGTAGAGAACGCGCAAAAATATATGAAGACCGAACCCAGACATGGTTGCGGCGGGTGCTCTATGAACCTTACTTTATATCACCAGTTGAACGACTGGTTGATTGATCATTCATCTTGACATGAACTCCGTCAAAGATAATGAAAAAAAATAAGAGTCTCTGCATGTAAGGTCCTTCTTATCTCAAGCTGACCTCCTTTCCAATTCTCTACTTTATTCTGTGTTAAGCGGTAGTAGTGGTCCCTTGCAACCAATAAAAAGTTCAGAGAGGAAAAGGAAAAACTGTTTACCATCATTTTATCATATAAGGCAATAATTAATAAATCTTACCTTGTATACATCGTATTCACTGATTATATCGTCAAATAAGGTGTATAAGTCATTTAGTAGAGTCACGACCTGTAGACATTGTTAAGAAAATGAAATGTTTCGTTGATGTATTAAAAATACTTGTTTCGCATATGCTAAGGGCTTCCTAAAAACGTACCGTGGCCACCAAAATAAAGCAAACGATCAGCGAGATCGACAAAGAAATAACTAGTAGAAATATTAAAAATGGCAATAACTAAGATAAATACGATGGAAATGATAATGATGATGACCGACAATGAGAACTAAGGCGATTGAGAGGATAAGGATTAAGGTAGGAGAACGAAAAGCGACGAAAATGATGATGATGATGATGATGATGATGATGATGATGACGATGATTGCGATGATGACGATGAGAAAAAAGATGATGATGATGATGATGATGATGATGATGATGTCGATGAGAAAAAAGATAATGATGATGATGATGATGATGATGGTGATGATGATCATGATGATGACGATGAGGACGATGATGGTGATAATGATGATGATGATGATGATGAAAATGAGAAAAAAGATGATGGTGATGATGATAATGATGATGATGATGATGATGACGATGACGACGATGATGGTGATGATGATGATGATGAGGAGGATGATGATGAGGAGGATGATGATGAGGATGAGGATGACGACGGGGATGATATAGAAGCGAGATGGAGAGAAAGTGCAAAGGGAGGAGGACAATGACCAAGATTTTCATTGCCCACTACTTGGAAACTTAACAACGTAGGTAGACTTCATAAGTTAAATGGCTCCATACAGGCGTAATATACTCACTTGAAGGGGAGTACTCTCTGCCGAGAGTTCGGTAAAACCCACAATATCACTGAAATAAATTGAAACTTCATGGAAACTCTCCGCTTCAACTGCTTTGCCTCTTTTGAGCTGTTCTGCCACCGGTCTGGAAGAAAAGTTTAGAATAATGATGATCAACAATGTTAAAAAAAATGTACTAATTCGTATCAAACATTAACCTTTCAAGGCGCCCCTAGTGTTATTGGAATGGCTCTTCGGCTTTTAATGCTTACAATTACTTGACCAATCAGGTCAATAACCAGATTTTAAGACCATCGACTGATGTGATACAAGTCCCTTTAACTCTAAAGATGACTACTGCACAGGTTATCGAAACGTCAGTCACTGTCAACAACAGTCCTATTCAGGACTACGGTGATCACCAGGACGTTCATATTCCACCTACTTACGAAATGACTCCAGGTTCAAACCTTTTACGTTTTAAAATTAAGTAAGACGAAGGCTAGCCGGCTTAGCAGTCAGTTTTTTGGTGTGTTTTTCGTGTTTCGTTAAGTAAGAGGTCAAAAGAGAAAAAAGAACACAGATTAGTTCTCTCTGCCTTCTTTCTCTCACTCCTCCCCCATCGCTTTCTCCTTTGAACTCTATTTAGCTTTCGCGCGGCTCGGCATCTTACTTTACGAACCACATACGAAAACACGCCAAAAAATTGTCTCCAACGCAGACTAGATGAACGCACCTTGGGAGCATCCTTTCCAAAAGAGCGTCTGTCTTTTTCTTCTCCTCAATTAACTGTCCAGTTCTTTCGATCACGAGCTCCTCCAAATTATCTGCATACTTCTCCATCATGTACACCACATTGTCAAAAATGTTTGTCTTCCTATAAAGAAAACCGAAACGAAGAAGGTACTCGCCTTTTGCGCGCGAATGAATCACTCTTTCTTACAGGTCGGATGCATTAAGTCTCTTTGACTCTTCCTACTCAGTTGGGTGTTTAGTCTCGTTTGGTGACAATTGTTTATTGAGTGCAAAAAGAAATAACAAAAACGAAAGAAATGTCTCTGATGTCATTTACAGGAAGTTAACAAGGTTGGTTTAAGAAGCGTTCTTTAAATTACTAGTCGCAGTAAGAGTAACAGTAGCGTAGTTTTTTTCCTATAAATACTGAAGCGCATTTTTCCTTTTGATTGTTATGTAAATGTGAATGTTGTTCACAGTAAATGTTCTCTATTAGATAAAAATAATGCTTAATGACAATATTTGTAATAAATCATATTACTAAAAGGAAGAACGGGGAACGGAACTGATGTGCACGCGAACGTAAAAAGTGGAAAGTGGAAAATGGGAAAAACGAGAAAGCGGAAATTGGGAAATAACAGCTGATACCCTAACCTTATTAGTAACTTCCGTCACATTCTTTCTTTTGTCCCCATGTTTTCATTACCCGTTCCCTGTCCTCGGTCCCTGGGGTCGTTCTCCGATCCCTGTTCCGTGTTCCTCGTTTTAGTAACATCATTCCGTCTACACTTTCTAACGGTAACTTACATTCCGTTGTTGGTTAAGATCTTGTTCATGATCTTTTTGATCTCGTGGAAGTCCGGCCGTAAATCTGGGCTCTCCTCCCAACACTGTTTCATTAGTTCACGCAGCTCTTCAACTCCAGTTATCAGCTCTGATACCGTTGGACGGAAAGGCGGAAATTCTCCATTCTGTACCTTGTCCACGATTTCTATAAGGTGTAATAGCAGCAGGAATGGATTAGCCTTTGTTTACCCAAATCAATGCTCTCTGTAGTCTGCGTCGGAAACGTAATCTAACTCTGACTAGTAACGTTTGTGAAGCCGTTGTCGGTGCAAGGACCTCAGATAGTAGTAGTGAGGTCGCGAAAACAAGGTTAAGGGAAAAATAAGACGCGCACGACCTCTGCACATTGGTATCTTGGAGCCTGGAACAGGCTAACGAAACCACGGCGCCGAGATCCTTGTTCTGAGCCCCCAGCGGACTCGAATTGACCAATCGAGCAGTGGCCTTTATACAAGCCCAATCATGGCGCGTATTCAAATCCTGGTACACAGCCTGAGGCCCAGAACAAGGATCTCGAAGCTGGCTCCCAGACGGACTTAACCAGAGGTTTCGTCTGAGGCGCAGGTTAGGCTCAGAATCCCAACTGTAGTACCCAGTTTCTTCTATTAACCATTAATTTTCCCTGCAAAAACATGTTTTCGTTTCAGTTCTTATTAAAACAAGATCTAATATACCAAAAAAACTTCCCAACTGCTATCTTTGTTCTTTTGTATTGTTATTGCAATTACAGGGATGTACACGGGGTAATGTAGACTCCAGTGTTCTTTCATTTCACAACAAACGTTGTCCACCTTCTCGCCACCCAGATGCATCAATCGGTAATCGTGAACTGGATTCTTGTAATTAGAACTTTAAAGTTCAAGATCGGTGTAGCACTTTGTAAAAACACAGAAATTGTTTAAAATGTAAATGCCAAATTGTTGTTTTCAATGTCTAAACGTTTCGGCCCTTTTGTTGTAGCTGCGACGTCGTGTTGCGAATTAAAACCAAAGGGAACACGCCCGTGCTCAAGACTGTTAAAGGAAATGAAAGTCGCTGTTATGATCACGCGGCTGATAGGTCCCACCTTCATAAATAAGGCGCAACTCCTACCTTTTCCTTTTCTCGTTAATGCGGTGCAGCTTAAATCCACGCAACTCAACATCATTGATAGACTTGTTTAGAATTGGGGAAAACTCTGGAGCACTTAATATCTCAGGACCCATTTACCTGGGTGCTTTAGAACTCAACGACTGAAAGCACCTTAAACTTTCAACCATTACGTAGGTAACCGATTTTTCGTTTATGGGTTACACAAAATAAACGTAATTTACAAGATAAGAACCACAACAACTAATCCATAAGGAAATTTACTGATACCTTTCGGGTCCATATAACTTGAGCTGTAGGGTCCTTCGCGGGTGTGAAATTCTTGTAGGATGATAGCAAAGCTGTAAACGTCACCCTTTTGGGTCCCTCTGATTGGTCGATTTGGGAGTCGAAGAATCTCTGGCGCTACCCATAGAAGATCTAAAACAGGATGAAAAATAAATACGATAAAATTAATAATAGTCGAGGATAGATAGAGATATTCAGCAAACTAACTTGTGAAAGCGTGCTCCGGAAATGGAATTCAAAAACGTTTGTAGAAGTTGACCAAGGTTCGTTGACTTTGGCGGAGGAGCATTTAAATGAAGGCGATAATGTGACATCGCTGACCATGATTGAAATCTGGAGTAATGATGAAATTGATGATGACGATGATGATGATGGTAACATTACAATAAAAATTACTTTTAAGAAATTGCATGGCCTATTGTTCTGCGAAGCATTTGCAAAGTTAACAGGAAGATTTGATCTCGAACCTTCGGGTCTTTCATGCACTACTCAATGGCATTCGTGATTGCGATCTAATATTTCACATTTACCTCTGTAATACGCATGCTCAGATGGGTAAATTTTCGCTTGTTTGTCCCTAAACGTTGGGAGTCCGTAATCAGCAATCTTAAGTACCCAGCGGTTATCCACCATGCAGTTGGAAGATTTGAGGTCTCCATGTGACTTGATGTCAGTGCTCTGGAGATAAGACATACCCTGCAAACAAAAAAGGCCGGGTGAATAAACTCTTCAACTTTTGTTATTTCACTTGAAACTCAGAAAAGCATGAACACCAGAAATATGATCTTCGATCTTTTGATTGGTCATAACACAATAAGCAATCCTGAAATATTTAGGAGTTGACGATTTTCTGAGTTGACAGTAACAAATAGGGACGATTTCTCAGAGAAAAAAATAGCTTCTCTCGGCTAATGTAACGGCAACAAAAAAATTAGGCTTCCAGCCTTCCAAAGTTGTGAATGTATTGAGCTCGCCTGTCATGGGAAGTTACGGGTTTCTCGATACGGCAACATATCACATCACTTACAGAGCCTATACTTGATTAGTTTACTTTTCAGGTAGGAACACTCGAACTGTTATATTCTCATGAGTCAAAGTCATTCCAAAATGAGTCCTAGAACGTAGATTTCGAACCCGTTAACGGTTGCAGACGGATAAGAAATATAAATGAGAGATATTGTAGTCATACGCATATTTACCTTATTATAGTTAAAAAGTTTACAACCTACCTTTACTATATCCGACACAAGAGACGCAATAAACATGTGATCCAACTTAACATCATCGTTTTCTAAAATATCCTGCAAATCATAAAATCAGTAGTTACCTAAAACACGCTTTAGACCTTTATAATATATTTAGTGGTAGAAAGTATCATCACACATCACTCAGTTCCTCACCTGAAGACTTCTTCCTTTGGAGCAGTATTGTGAAACAATGCAAATGTTAGGAGAGTCAACACAGGCGCCAATAAATGGATTCAGATTATCATGCCTAATGTCCCGCATCTAAAAAGGGACACACACACACAGAAAAGCATTTATTGCTCTGAAAAGCATAAGGACAATATATGAGAATCAAAACGTTTACTGCCTTAAAGGAGCTGTGTCACGAAATTCAGCCAAATTACGGAAATTACAAAATACCCGTTAAATTAAGAGAAACATAAAAATAACCGCTTAAAACTTTAAAGGAAGGTTGAAATGACATACCAGAAACAACAGATGCCAGGGATGGGCAAAACTGAAGAAGACTGAAACGGATTGAAATTAGGGTTTTTGAAAACTGTTCATGCAGCTTAACAGGTTTTCAAAGTTGATTCCCTGCTGCTTGCAACTTCAAAAATAATGCTCAGGAGACGTATTTGTTCGTCTCGGATCTCTGATTTTGTCATTTACCTGTAATTTCTTTGCTTACTTTAAGTTCCATACCGATTGAGGGCGAGTAATTGGCAAAATTAAACAAAATGAACTGGACTGCCGTGACACAGCCCCTTTAAGAGAACACCAAATGTTTTTATTGCAGGGTTTGGCTTGAAACATTTAGCTTAGACAACAAAGGTAAGCTGCATTCCAACATAGGAGGAATGATTGTACGTTTCCGGGAAACTGCCCACCCACCCCTCCCCTAGGCCAACATTAACATTTAGTTAGGGGTATAGTTGGCAGACGAGGACGAAAAATCGATCCAATTATTTTCTGAAGCGCATCCCACTGTAGCATTTTCTAATCTCCCTAATCTTTATCTTCTTTAAAACTAAGATGGGTAGTGAAAAGTGCTTAACGCTCGCGAAATCGCCTTCCCCCCAGTTATCCTCCGGCATCCCCTTATCACAGAAAATGGAAATAAAGGCTGAGTACGATTTGTAGAACCACTATCGTAGATATTGAGATTTAAGCCGACTAAAGCGTGCTCTCAAAGTACTTACATCTGTTCAAAATTCGCGTTAAAAAGGTAGCAAATTTCAAAGCCTTTGCTGTTACTTCATTTGAGATGCCCAGAATGAATAGAGTTAATAACAAGATTCGTGTAAATTCTTTTCGGTAAGACGTATCTCACATAGTTTTTATGATTGATTACCTGTTTGAGTTCCATCAACACAGTTCTTGTCAGGTCAACACTTTTCTTGGCCAACCGTTTAACCGCCACCAAATTTCCCTGCGCCAAAACAGACAGGGAAAACTTACTTATAGAAAATTACAGCATTACTCCAGATTTCTATGAGTTAAGGTCTCGGTAAAGGAAAACGAGGTGCCCACAGAAAAAAATTCTAGTCGCGCGAGTATTTTCGCTACAAAGGCAAGTTATATATCAAATTAAAGCTAAAAGACTAAATTACCTTATGAAAGATTTTATTTCATCGAATTTCAAAAGGCGCTTAAGTTTTTTGCTCTCGAACTCAGAGGTATCGAGTTTACTGCTGAAGCTCCAACCCTTTCGCGTTGTTAAATATTCACTTCCTTTTTATTGCATCTGATTGACAGATAAAAGACCTAAAAAAGGGTGTGAGGAAATTTGCATATGTCTCGTATTAGCGGAATTATTGCATTTCAAACTAAAAAGTCGAATCTCGAGCGCGATTTACGCAAAGAAACTAGCATAAAATGAGTTACAAAGGAAAATCAGAAAATTCCTCACACCCTTTTTGAGTCTATATCATTATCCATCATATCTGAAAGTTTCAAAGCGATAGCTTAAAACCTCTACCGACTGGAGGTCGGAGAATTTTGATTTTTGCGTCTAAAATAGAGTGCATGAGAGAAAATCAGCTCTAAAGATTTAGCGCGAGGTCCACGCTTGGCTGGTTAGCTCAGAAAAGGCTCATTTTAGAAGGGTTAAAAAGCACTTTCTGATTTTCTTTTTCTTCCAAAATAAAATTTAGGACCCACTCATGCCAAAAATCCCAAAAAAACAAAATCGAGCAATGTACTAAAATTTTCATTTACCGAGACCTTAAATAAATTGGGTATGTTAGAGACCCATCTGATTCTTGACCTGTGAGGAAAGCTTTCTTTTTAAATCAATGTGGGTTAAGATTTGAGATTCGTCATGGTCAGTGAAATGGAATTCAATAATAAAGAATGACTAGTAAAAGCCAATTATATATGGTTCTAAAATAACCTTTACACTTGCCAAATAACATTTATTTTTTGAACAAAGACAAGTCCTTTTTATTCAATCTGCTTACTAACCGATGGTGGACAATGAACCTTATACTGGTAGGTTTACTGACGAATTGAATAAGCGTACTAATTTTGACAATTATTAGAGCTGGTACGATTTCATTTTGATGCACGTTTAACAGTGATTATAATCAAGAAAGGAATCAAGATAAAAACTTATACAATTACCTTGTAAACTGCAATAGCCGTGTAGTTATTGTAAAGCTCCCCATCGTCATCAAGAAGAGGCGCTAACATATCGGGATCAGGATCTTTTTGCTTCATGAAAAGTAAATAATGTTATAAGATGATATAATTAAACTTATGAACGAGTTGATTTTCAGAACATATATATATATATAAAAAGTCTGTGCGGTATTTTATTTATGAATTCACTAGCGAAACTTTTGTCCGTCTCCTTATGCTAAGGAAGCGTGCACCGCGAGAGTCTATCTGCTGACTAAGGGTTGGTTGGGGAAGGATGGGGGCGCTACACAAAACAACACGCCTCCTTCCACCCCGTGAGCCTAATAGGCACAAATTTTTGCCCTGAATTTTTAAGATAGACTATAATTATATTAAGTAATAGAGACGGGTTACGAAAATGAAACACGATCTTTTTCACTGTGTAGATGAGAGGCACAGACTGATTATAATGAGACCACCGTGGTCAAGATAGCTTCTATCCGAGGAAGTACCCTTGTTCCGGTCGCATTTGTGGTCTTCCCTTGCGCAAATTTCAATTCTGTTTATTACGGCAGTTGTTACACAAACCAAGTTATTACATGAACACAAACACTACTTCTGAACACTTCTGAACTAATTAATTCACCCAACATACAATAACGCCTGAGTTCCGAGGCTCTCTTAAAAAGGAACGAGAGAGCGCGTAGCAAGAGGTCATTATTTCCTAGATGACCAAGGAACCTAGACATTATCTGATTTAACTTAGCTCTTTCATTGCTTTAGATGTGAGGTCGATATTGTGGTCACTGAGGTGGAAGAGGAGCAACAAAACCACCTCTGGTCTCCTGCGCAAACAATAGCCTGTTTTTCCACTGGTTGAAAATTAAAAATAACGTTTTCAAAACAATGGAAAGGTGATATAAAACAGGATAATACTCCCTTGGATTGATACTTAACCTGTATTAGCAGACATAGTAATCAATCGGTTGAACGGTCGCTATCAATTTTTTCTCAATTTCTTACCAGGTTGCTTCCAAAGGAAGTAACGGAGTTTCTCTTCCTCTCAAAACTGAGCGCATTGTAGTCGATCTTCCACAGTAGACGTTTGAGTTCCCGCTCCAATCTGTACTGCCTACAAAAGGGAGCCGCACAGAAATCTCAAAATCTCTTTATTTAGTGTTCAACCTATTATCTGTTTTTTTATATATATGTATATATGTAATTAGTAACTTTGCTTTGTTGTTCGCCAGTTCAACTTGAAAGAACTTTACATGTGGTATCCAAGGTCTTCCTTTTCCTTCTTGAAGATAACACGAGTCCCAGCGTCTGATTAAGGATCGGTTCACTGTAGAGCTGCAACAGAACGTCCTTCCTTACAATAAGATAGTATGTGCGAGAAGATGAAGTCAGAAAATGATCCTCGCGAAACGGTCACATGATACCTGCTCAAGGCGTGACTTAAAATGGCAAGGAATTATCTATAATTCCAAAATATAATAAAAAAAAACCCTGATCTTGCACATTTAAGGCATTTGAGCTGCATCCTAGAATACTGCTTCTCAGGTGGGGACTCACCTGTAAATATTCAATAGCAGTAGAAGGGCCAACAGGCCCAGTGCACCAGATACACCAGCTATGATTTTAGTTTTTACATCTGCAGCGAAAAGGAAACACACACAAATTTCAGTTAACTTCCCGAAGGTTTTACTGGAACACTGTGCTTGCCTTTTCTCGACAAGAACTAGAATGAAATTTTCCCTTTTAAATCTGCTGAAGGCATTCAGTTCAGCGGGAATACAGTCGAACCTCCACTAACAGCCACCTCTCTAAAACAGCCACTTTTTTGGCTCACAGTCCATACATTGATTCTTGTTTAAGGCCCAGTCCACACATATCCGGAATTTTGAATCCGTAACTTTTTCTGTCAGGATCAAAAAATTTCCACGTCCACAAGTATCCGTAATCAAATCGAATTAACCCCCCACACGTATCCGAGACGTATCCGGATTAACTCTTGTACCCAGGACGCCTCTGGGAATATTGACAAGAGAGCATGCGTCGTAAAGAGCGCGAAATTTGCATCTTGCTCTGCCTTGAGAGAACCTGGGAACGATGTTTCCATCTTGAATACATTATTCATGGTAAAGAACTGGACTCGACCTTGTTACGTCACTGGATAAAAAAAAATCCGGATTTAGCGTCCACTCGATTCCGGATTCATAGCGAATTCAAACATTTCCCGTTCTGGAGAGGGGATTCGTATGCCGGATGCACCGGATAAGTGTGGAGGGAAGCAGTATACGGAAAGAAAAAGTTGCCGATTCAAAAATATCCGGATACGTGTGAACTGGGCTTTAACCTCTCTATAACCGCCACTTTTTTGTGACCCCAATATGGCCGTTGTGGAGAGCTTCAACTGTAAAACAAACTTGTTAATGAACGTTTTAAATTAGATGTCTCCTAATAAAAATCGTGAATGCCCAAACTTTGTTATGGGAATTTGTAGGTCTTATTTGCTTGTTCTGTGACTGAATCCAGTTCTTATGTTTCAATTTTATCTGATAAATTTCATTTTTTTTCGTTTTTGGTACCAGATGAGTTTGAAACAAAGAAAAACATAATTTAAACCAGGAATAAAATTTAACCACGACGTAGATCAAGTTAATTCGAAAATGAAACAGACGTGACGTACTTTTGATTACTCAGTATACGCTCTCGCCACATAGCTAACAAAAAAGTTACCTTCTCCTATTGGTTCTATACAAAGCTCTCCATGAAAACCACACTCAGGAGAGTCCCGTGGGGGTCCGGTTCGACCCCCGGGCCATTTGATAGTAACGCCTGGCCGTGGAACATAGACTTGTTCACCTTCCTTAGTTGCATTGTCAAACTTGATTTGAAAATCACCTACTGGAATCATCTCGTGGCTTGAGTTGTTTCCTAACAAACAACAAAAACAAACAACAGGCAATTTCATTGAACTGAATGAAGATTTTCAGTGTTCTCTCGTAAACGGTTGATAAACCGTCCATACTATGCAACACCTATTGGGTAAGGGCTATCGACACTAAAATTGGTACGCGCTCGCTGTACAATGAACGAAAAACTGCTCTGGGTCTCCGGCTGACTTAAGGGTGCTTACCACATGTCAGAACTGGCCGCAGGACAGAACAGTCCAGTCGTAGAGATCGTGAATTCCACTAATAATCAGGACTACCAAGCCAGATCAAAGCAGAGATGCGTTTTTAGCAAACATTCCTAGAGAATTAATATTTATTTCAAATCGATGCACGTCCTTGGTTAAGCCCTACGTGGCACAAAGAACTGAAAGAACACTTGCATACCTACTAGCTGCATGTCAAGCAGGGTCAGGTTAAACTCAGCATCACCATTGCTGTCAAAGTGAATTTTGTAACCAAGTATGCCTAAAAAACAAACAACTGAACCATTAACCCTTTCAGTGCCAAGTATGGACAAGGGCAAAATTCAACAAAAATCCACAAATTTCGTTTTGTAAAATTTTGGAAACAAATAGCACCATTTGAAAGTACAGGAAGAGAGGTTTCATTTGAATGGTCACATCACAGGATTTTGTCCACAGACTCAAAAGTTAGAACTACCTCAGGGACTTCAACATTCACTCTGGCAGTGAAAGGGTTAAAGAAATGTACTGGCTTTCTAACAATGATCAAATGATTAAACTGAAACAGGTCCCTCTCAAAAAACAAAGGACCGTCAAAATATTTTATATTCCTCAAAAACTCATTAACAATTCATAAAGAAAAAACAAGAGAAATTAATGTTTAATAAGTGTCTTTATATCTCTGATAAAGACACGGCTAAACTTTACGTCCAGTTTTTTAGACCAAAATAACCTTAAATCTAAGAATGAGTTGATATATATCAAAGATTTTAAAGTCGTTCAAACAATTCGTGTATTTAAACCTGATAAAACACTCCCGCTCGCTTTTTAAACAGTACACAATTTATGTCCTTTAAATTTACGAATAGAGAGTATGCACAAAGGGCAGTAATTCCAAGTATAAACAATTTTGGCTTCTGTCCGTGTTAACATCGACATCAACGATACCTATATTTCAATTATAGTTTTACATATATAAAAGCTTCTCAATCTCAGGGTGAATGATAGGCGTCTTTTAAAATAGGTGGCTCTAACTTTTCAAGTATTGGGACGAAATGATAACATTCAAATGCCGTGATTCTCTTCAGCTGCATTTTCATACGGAACTCTTTATTTTTCAGCCTTTAACAGAATGAGACTTCATCATACCAGTTTTTTTTTTTCAATATTTCTACCTGTTTGCCTGGCGTTCTGAATCATGGTTCTGTCTAATCGTTCATTTCTTTATCAACAGCTGTTCGTGATACTCAGTTGCCGTATGGACCAACAGGAGTTTCAAGCTATCTGATAGCGGGAAGTAGGTTACAATCTACAATAATTCACTTAAAAGCTTCTGTCTGCTTTTAGTCCTAAATCTCACTTACTGTCATACTGAATATCTTGCATCTTTTTTGCAATGATTTCACCCGTTACAGTCTGATTCATCAGCATTGTTTTGTTCAGAGCAATCGCGTACTGGTATACAGCATCATATAGATATGCTCCAAACACAGGTGGCTGCAGGAAGGGGAAAAGCGTTAGTTAGTCTCGACTACTCTTATTTAAGGTACCTTAAGATTTGACAAAAAACGTTACTAAAAATCTTTCTTCGCGTCGCTTCGAACATTTTCTCGATTCAGCCAACTCGTTGGGTCTTTTTTTAACGTTGAGAAATTATGCTGGAGCCGGAAGAGAGAGGATCACGTCCGAGCTCAGAAAGATACATTAATATTTATCGCCTTGCCGTTCACGTACGTTCCAAAAGGACTTGAAATGGTATCAATTCACGCCACAGTAGTAGCAGGCAAAAAAATTGACAAAAAATCGTGATGCCTTTGAAGAGTTGTTGTTTTGCTCACTACACCTATTGTGTTTTTTGATATTCCTATTGCCATCGTAGTTTCATAAGGTCCCTATTGATTCATTTTACTAGTCTCCAATTTAGTTTCGCGGTTACGAGACACTAGTCAGCAACGTTTATGTTGCGGTAATCCAATTTTAATTGTTTCGGTTCGACGGTAGCACGGCAGGTTATTCAGACGTCGTGCCAGAGACAAATTCAGGATTTACTGATACCTCGTAACAATTCTCCTCCTAACTCCCCGTTGCAACAGTTAACGAATGAGGCTGAGCATCTTTGTTTATATCCGTCGAGGCCGCAGGCCGAGGCGGATAACACCCTCCGAGATCTCCATAATGCTTCATATGAAAAAGCCAAAATCAATAACTGTTTTATTACATTCAAAATATACCTAGTTTAAAAACATAGCTAAAACATGCTTACCTCCATCGATCCATCGATGTTCAGTTCATCTTCGATAGTTTACGTTTAGGTTTGTCCAGCTCCGCAAATATTCTCCAAATAATGTCGCCCTTCGATTGTCTTCTTGTTGTTCTTGCCATGTTTTTAGCTATTTTTTCGCCCAGTTCTTATTCTTGAAACAACAAGTTTACACTGTTGCTTCTCGGTTAACGGTGCCTTAACCTGCGAAAACGCTGCATTTTTGACGTCATTTACCCGTTAAAGTCAAAATTCTTCCAAATTTGGTCATCAGTAACTGGTTATGGTGAATTAAACGTGTGCTTTTAGCCAGTCAGAATCGGGGAAATATTTTGAATGAATAATAATATGATTTATGAATTTTGTTAGATAAGGTTTGAATCGCTGCCGTGCCAACATTGTCGAACTTAATTGCTTGCCGAACTTCAACGCCGTGCTTCTGCCGAGCTTTTGTCGAACTTAATTCCTGAATTTAGTTCGGCACGCCAGAAGCAGACGTCTGAACTGGGCCTTAGTGTAACGCTTGCTAATGTTCACGTTGTTCGTGATAGGGAATGTAACATTGTGCTCTTCAATTCTTTCTTGAACTTGCCTAGCAAAACTGGGAAACAAGTTGCAAGAAAACTGCTAAACCAATGCAAACCATCAAAATGAATTCTTATGTAATGTAAGGGTCAGATTCGACAATGAGTTTCTGGTATTCATTGAGTTACCGATACAGTCAGTGAGGAGTCTTTACTATCGATCTATCATATGTTAATGCCTCTTACCCAAACAATCAGCCCTTTAATTATGGAGTTGAACTTGAGTGCCCAGGCTAGCTGAAGTCTCTGAGGCGGCTCAGGTGTGCAGTGGCAGTGTCTGGGACTTGGTGACTTTCTTTTGTCCACGATTGTCATTTCTTTTGTTACGTTGTGAATTAGATTTTGCAGGGAACACGGATCTCATACGTAGAGAGACTCTGGTCTTCCTAATTTATTTTTTTAGAGCAAAGTCAAAAACACTCGCGACCGTTGACCTTGTCGCCAACTTTAACGACTTAGGTCACGTCGCTTGTTTGTCAAAGCAAAACGCTAAACTCACGTGGTTACATTCCTGAGCGTTTCGTAGGCTAAGACCAAAAATGGCGTTCTCTGTCAACCAAAAAAGACGAATTTTCGTTCGCGGAAAGTCAATCGATGGAACTCCCTTTGGTTGCAGCTTTTTATGGCTTTATAACTCAGAAGTACGAACAACAAAGTAAGCAATTTAAAAGGTATGTGACCACGCAAGTTCACCTTTTTCGCTTGACAAACCAAGCCACGTGAGCTAAGTCGTTAACGTCTGGCACAAAAATCAACTGTCATGGTATCTTTGTCTACCTGTTTCGGTAGTACAAACTGTCAGGAAATGCATTAAGTACATTCTAACTAAATAAGGCCCTGGTCATAGCTTGTAAAATCAATATCTTACCTTGGTTTTATTAGCGGGAAACTTTTTATTATCCGTCCACAGATATCCAGTGTACACTAAGCTATTGAAGGGCTCATCCCGAGAACGAATTTTTAACTCCTCAGTAAAATTCATGTAGCTTTTCGATGAAGGACTTTTGATAGCCAAGACAAAAGCAGCTTGGAATGCATCCTTTACGTGATGATAACGATTAAGAGTGTCTTTGTAACTGCTGAAAAACCACTTAAAGGGCAGATTAGAGTAAACCCCTACTTGTGCTTGATCCAGTTCGAAAATTATGAAAACGTAATCGCCATTGATCATCTTTTCGTCGTATGCGTGCAGCATCCCTTCCCGAGCTATGTGGAGATCGGTTACAAATACTACAACTGAAAAGAAAAAAAGATTAAAAAATGACTTAAATCAGTTCATGTGATGATTTAAACACAAACACTCCAAGAAGCAACTTCTTCTATGATCGGTAAAACGCTTTTTTAAAACGCATGGCATATTAGAATCCATTTCTTTTTGTTTTTGTCGTTTTGTATTTTTCTAAAGACAAGAATTAACATTGTCCTCGAAGAGCTCAACAATGGGCGCGTTCGATTGGGAAATCCGGATTTAGATTTTCAAAATCTAAATCCGGATTTCCCAATCGAACCCGAAATCCGAAAACGGATTTCACCCTCAGGGTGGATTTCAATTAAGAAATCCAAATCCGGATTTTTTGGATTTCCCTTTTTGTCGTTCGATTGGGAAATCCGAAAAAAGGAACAGCGGTCTTGTATGCGCACGCATAATTAGCACAAGATAGTCCGCTGCTCACGAGAACAGTTTAGCAAATCCTTTTTCGGATTTCCCAATCGAACGACAAAAAGGGAAATCCAAAAAAATCCGGATTTGGATTTCTTAATTGAAATCCACCCTGAGGACGGACTTATCGGAGGTGAAATCCGTTTTCAGATTTCGCTTTCGATTGGGAAATCCGGATTTAGATTTTGAAATCCGGATTAAGATTTTGAAAATCTTAATCCGGATTTCCCAACCGAACGCGCCCAATGTCTTTTTTTTTCCTTATTACGTATTAATTTTTCTACAGTCACGTAATCTCAAAAGATCACGCCATATTCGCCTATACAAATTAAAAACATTCCCTATTACGTCAAATACGCATACGTTCATTCACAGATGAAAAGTGCATGTGGAAATTTCCTGTGTAAAATTTACTATCGTCAAAACCTCATTAATAAATCATAAAGAAAATACAGTGGCAATTAAAAAAAGAAATAAAAAATCGACAAGAAATTAACGTAATACAATTAATAAAACCACATTTTTGTCATTTAAAAGAAATAAGTCTTTAAATGGGATAAACTACAACTTTCTCGACAAAAGTAAAAAAACAACAGCAATAACAAACTAGAATAAGGTTCACTTAAGGAAAGAGAATAAATGGTAAGAAAGGTTTGAGTTAATATACAGTATTCGCAGATCGTGTTTTAAAATGTCATAAACACTCCTGCTTGTTTTATAAACTAAAAGTATCATATAGACATACTCCGAGCTTCCTGTTTGATTTTTTTCATGATATCTCTGTAATAATCAGTGTGATTTCCCGGGTTATATTGCGATGTCGCATGAGCCAGTAGTTCCAGAGCCACGGTTATTCCACTCGCCCTCAAACGTTTCACCATGTTATTCTTCATTTCTATCCACTTTGTTACGTTTTCGTAAATAATTGCCACTCTTTTCCAGTCAAAATAATTTAGCAGCGACAGCAGACTTGGAGTGAGTTTAGTATCCACGGCAAACGTACGAGTGAAGGTTGGATACAGCTTTTTGAACGAAAGCTCTGGATTACTACACATCTATTGATTTGAAAGTGAAGGATAAAATAAAACAAAAAAAACAAAAAATTCATTAGTTCTTTACCGATATGATGTTACCGATTTATCCAATGATCGAGCAAATTTGGCCGTGTTTATGCTAGAGACATTAAACGCATTTAACGCGGTTTCATGAGACTTGAAAGTCGTGTGGTGTAAAAACAGAACAACCTCATTGAAAAAACCCACAGACTTTTGAGAAAAATAATAAAATGATAAAAAAGACTAAACACTGATTCGTCCCAGTCGAAAGTCTCGTTTTTTTGTTTTTTTACTTGACGCATTTAACGCCTGAGACGTTAGCGTCGTCTGTTAAGTCACAACGCCGTTAACAGAAGACGCTGATGTTTTATAATACGGGTTTGAACTAGCTAGTTAATTTGAAATCGGCTTCTCGATGGTTTGAGATGAAAGTTCAAAGATCTGTAAAACAAATATGGGTTTTTTATGACAGTTTCCCCGATTTGCCGCAGAGAATTTAAAAATATTCCCTTCATACAAAAATCCCTGGCAACTCTAAAGGAAGCACACTTTTTATGATTAACAACTGGGATCCAAGACATAATTTTGTTCTAGAGTAGCGTCAAGGGTTTTAAAAGAGGCATGCCCCGCTAGTAAAGCCTCAAATCATCCGGGATTACACATCCTTTCTGGCTACACCTGGTGTTAAGCTTCAATTCTGTCCAAGATAATAAATAATGAACACTTCATTTACTATGTCATGATACGCTCGTAATATATTGAAGAATAAAACAAAACAAGAAATTCAAGGTAAAACTTGTGCATTAATTCAAGGCTCCTATTGTTACGACTGTCAACATGGTCAATTTAAAATATGTTTTTTGCAGTGTTCTGCCCGACGATTGGTTAATTGAAAGCCAGGCTAGTAGTTTGAATTTTGAACAACCGGTTTTCATTGACACAACAATAATAATAATAAAAATAAAATTGGAGAAGGGCCATTTTTGCCTGCTTTGAAGACACGATGGTCCAACCTGAAAAAAAATAGCACTAAATTTTATATTCCTTTTTTTTGTTTTAGCTTATCTGCTCAGTTCACATATTAAGGGTACAGTTTTATTGTCTGAATTTCATGTAATAAAACCACGGTGGTCTATATTTTCGGGGATCCCTTTCTAGCTAGAGTGACCATAATCGATGGCAAAGCGATTATGGTAATGTCCTCCAATATCAATTTTCATACCGCAAGTGTCGTAAATTACAGTTTAATGAAAGGCGGATCTAATCAAAAGAAAAACAAAAAGTTGCATGCGAAAAATCTGCGCTTGGGATTTTACTCGATTGGTTTCCCGATAGGATTTCGTCCAAACATGTAAAAATTAAAATTAACAAACATTTCTGCAAAATTGCTTCTGAGAATGAAAAGCCTAAAGGAACTCACATACGGTACTGATCACACTCCGGTTATAATTATGGTATAAATAAAGTGACGGAGCTACTTACATACGAAATCATGGTCTTGTTAAACGAGGCGGCCATCCTCGCAGAAGTGTTACAGCTACATCCCGGACCTATGAAAGCTGATACTCCCTGCGTCAGTTGATACACAATCGCTTGTAGAGTCTTTTCCTCCTCGCAGTCTGTGTCATTCCAGATGAACGTGACGTTCTGACCAGGCAACAAGTCAGATCTTCGGTTTATATCATCGACGGCAATGCTCATGGCAGATGCGTAGTATTCTCCGCGATGAAAAGAGTTGCCAAGACGATTGGTGCGTTTAAATGGGATCAGAAGGCCAAGTTTGACTTCCTCCGAGCTCGGCGAAGGAATATGGAGAATGAACGCGTAAAATATAAACAATCCTAGAGTTCGTAGAGCCATTTGAACGTCTTTTGTTAATCGCAAGTGAACATGATATCAACCTTGAAATATCGCCGAGCTGGCGGAACTGATAACCTCACGGATTGGCCTAGAATATAAATCAGTTAAATTTCAAGTTTCTGGAAATTAACTGTTATTGTAGTATCGCGGTAAATTACTAGCAAAAAACGTTCAACGTAGGGATTATGTCGACGAGATGATTGTGATTTTTTTTTTCCTCCTGTCCAAAATTAGGAATTTACTATCCTGGTTTGAATTTTCTTAAATTCGCTTTCTTTTAAAGCAACCGCTTCTGATCTTTGCCTGAAAAAAGTGAGAAATAGGTAAAATTCAATGAAAGGAAAAAGATGAAAGGGCAAATTAGAGCCGTACAATTGAAGAAAAATATTGCGCACATTAAACATTCCGCTCCCGGTAAGAAGTATGTTAATTATGTTAATTAGGTTCAACGCGCTCGCCTGCCGACTTCAAGGTTCTTTATTGCTGCAGCTATCATGCATGTAAATAGATATTAAGTCAGAGCAATGACTAAAAAATCATACCGGAAAAAGCACCATTAAATAAACTTCCTACTGAAGAACTATACCTATGAAAGTACCATGAAAACATATTTCCATTGAGATGATAAGATAAAAAATAACCCGAGGTGACTGAATATTGCTGATGTGGTATCGACTAGTTGATAACTTTTGAATTAGTATTTTCTACAAGCAGATGGTAAGAGGAAAAGCATACAGACAAACAAAGGATAAGCCAAACCGTTGTATATATTTTCAGAGTAAAAAGTTCACAAAGAGAGACTTCCTTCATGACGGAAAGCAAATTTACCTACAGTACAAAATGTACTGCATGGATCAGCAAACGCAGCAGGAACGCAGTCGAAGATCGGGGGACTTTTTTCTTTTCGCAGTTATATTTCAGAGAGTGCGTCACCTATGTTGTGAAAAAACAACACACACTTTCTTTTTCTTAAAGAATATTTGGCAAGGGTGGAAATTATAGGCACCTACGTTCTAGATAAACTCCCAAATGAGTTTTTTAAAACGTTTAATTGAAAAATGGCTAAGCGGTCTTAACAAAAATGAGAGAAACAAGTACAATAATTTAGGTAATGGAGATAAACAGACTAGTATTTATATTTTTAGATAACCGGAACAATAGTTATAATTATAAATGGACAAATTTTGCACTTGTCTGCCGGTTTTATATTCCATTGCACGATATGTTGAACGACTGAAATATTAAAATGTTGTCGTCACACAAGGTTTAAAAAAAGGAGAAGAAGCTGTTAACCGTTGTATGAGATTCGTCTACCTGTAATATTTTTGCAAAAGTTAAAGTAGTGAATGAAGAACTGTTTCGTGCAAACTCTTTAACGACGAATTACAAAAAGCAGACTTTCTATTTTTTGGGTCTTTGACAGTATGGGTAATGAGCTTCCGTTGCAAATTTTATTCACATCATCCTCAACACATGTATTCAAAGAGGCTGAACTGCTGCATATGAAAAGCGATAGGACGGTGGAGACGTTCACTGAGATGTAGACGTACTTGTTTAGTATCATCTCCATCGGTCTTTCTATTGGTAATTTATAATGGTTGTAATTTTCTCACGAAACGGAACATAAGGATCGATACTTCAAGATCGAGACTTCAATCCCCTAATTTTACTCAATAGCTGCATAGCAGACTTAATTCATTATTAATTTTTCTGCCTGTAATTTAACAAGAGTAGATGAAATTCGCTGAATAAAATAAAACAAAGAAAGAAGAAGAAAAATCTCGAGATTTAAATTGCTGAAACTGCAATAACAATTACATTCCAAATCTACCAACACTAAAAAATAGAGAAACTGCATCATTCTATAGTTCTCAAATTAAGTTACCGACAAACACAACACGCAGTACCCAGTCGATCGTTACGTCCGATTTGGCCTGGTCATGTTAAATTACTACGATAAAAAAAAAATCTCAAATAAAATAAAAAACCTTTGCTGCAACTTAAGTTTTAGAAGCTATATACGAAAAAGAAAATTGTTTTGCCAAAGCCATTTCCCTTAAAGGCGGTGAAAAGATAAATAGATTAATAAATTCATAAATAAATTCACTTAGTAAACTATTTGGCGAGGAGGGCCTGAAGGCAGTCAGTGGTGCTATTGGTTTGATTTGTTTGGTTTCTGTTTTGTTTTCATTTTTGGCAAAAAAGAGGTTTGCATTTCTTTAAACTGAGGTGAGGATGGTGATTCTTTGTCCTTCAAAATTTTGTAAATCTTTACGAAACTTAAACGAGCATGCTGTCCTGACATCAGCGCAGGAAAACGTTTTGTCGAGTGTCAAAGATAAGTGATGTGCCGGCTTCTCTTCTTGATAATGATAATGAATAGTGAAATTTAAAATGATGTGCAAAGAGACAAAATACCCAGGTCTACCATACTTCTTTCTTTGACCTTGTAGGTTGTTATTTTATACATTTGTAAAGCTCACTCGTGTTTCTCATCTTTCAATGAGATATCAAACTCACATGCTTTTCCCTTCCTTATCACTCCTTCAGCTTTCATAGTATTTTCGTACACCTTTCCTGGCATGTTGTTTTATGATTAGCCCGCCAAGACCTTTGCATAAAAGCTAGGTTGAAAACGGTTTCTTTTGATGTTGAAGGTCGATCAAACATTACGTTAAAGTTTGGTCCCGCTTTGTGTCTTTCTGTGACCAGAGAGAGTTGAGTTTCTCATGAGAATGAAATTTTGTGAAAAGCAAAGTGGGGTACAGTCAGACAAAAGATCGGCCACATCGATCTATTCGATACCAACTATTAAAAGAACGACTAAATAACCATTTGAGGTAGCACATTCACTAAGTGGTATTTAGCGTCGTCTGTACCAGCCAAGGGAAGGTGATTCCAAAGAAGCAATCATGCTACATTTAAGGTGCATTTTTAGGTTAAAACTTAGCTGACATTAGAGCTTATAAATGGAACTCTAAGGGAAAAATATGAAACAATTCTCCCAAACGAGAGACATAACATGATCTTTCTTGGAATTTGTCCAGTTGGCAAATGTTGACCCATTTTAGACTTGTTTTTTAAGTTACAGCCCACTTACATGGTGACGGTCAAAAAATGAACTTGTTTTGGTTTAGTAGTAGACTGAGAGTGAAGACTTAGTAGTAGACTGCAAAGAAATCGTTTTTTCAAGGCCATTCACCATCGCTTCAGGCAAAAAGAGGCTGTTTTGCAATCTCCTGGAGTAGAGGAGTAAGTCTAAACAAACTTAAACAAACTGTCTTTTAGATTTTAAGGCTTTTATCCAAATGTGTTTGAGGGTCTAAAAGGAATACCAAAGAAAAATCGTGACACAACTCCCTTAATATCGATTCGTCATTTCCTATAAAGGTGTAATTTTAAGGAAATAATAACATTCCTAGAATAAACGTGAATCCCTGCACTGTACTCCGCGTAATGTTCATCAGTAGGCTTTAAATGATCGGCTAAAAGGCGGTAAAGCAAAAGTTAGTTTGTGGTTGAAAAGCAGTTAACAGAAAAACCACACATCAAGTATCTATGAAGCCTTTATTTAGTTATTAGCGAGCCTTTTGAAGACGTGTATACAAAAAGGAAATGCTAAGGCAAACCACACAAAAAAGTAATAAAAAGGTCAAGCGTTCTTTTTAATGTAATCTGTAACCTCTGATTGACTTTATACAGCAGATTAAACATTTATTTATACAGAGAAACAGAGTCCTTCAAATGTGTCTTGAACTTAAATTATTTAGCCTAGTCTATTCACAAAGTACTAACTTACGACTCAATTGGCCTTCAATAAAGCCTTCTCACAGCCTCTATGACCCGATTTCTTTCCATAAATCAAAGTCTTACTTAGGGTCGGCAATGAAAAGAGTTTTTATGACATTGATATTTAGGCCTGGCATTTACAAAACTTAACCTCATTCAAATACTCAAGCAGCGTATTAGTTAAACAATACTGAAATGTTAAGACTGTCAATTAAGTTTACACGAAGGTTCTTGACTTTCAAGTCTAAGTGTCTTTTGATGGAAAAAAAACCATTAGTGGGAGTCCATTTACGTTAAAAAGCAAAACAATGAAAGTGCTTAAAACGAAAATAAAAGCATAGAAAATAGATGCATTTAAATGTGATTGAAACTTAGCGTGAGATCGAGCCAGGGCTGACAGCTCCTCAATAATAGAAACAAAAGGTTAAAACATCATTTGCATAGTAGCACGTATGAAACTTTCAACTCCTACATCAACAAACAAAATGGAGCACCATCGGATTTGCACGGACCTTGGGCTGAGGAGATTTCGTATATTTCGCTATAAATGGTCTTGGAGATAGTTTTGTAACCAATGAGGATGCCAAAACCACACAGACCCGAAGAAACATAACCTGAAGATTGTTTTGTTATTGTTTTTCGGTTAACACTAATTGACGATGATCCATTTATTGCAAATGTGCCGGCAAAGTGACAATTCAACGATTGATATGATTAGTCCGCCCAATTAGAAAAGTCACGCTAAGTGTGTAAAAATAGTTCAACGAACACTTACATATTACATAAACGTTTCAAATTCCTCCTGGGCAAAAGTTGACGATCAGAAGTACCACCAAGCTGACAGTATATTGTGTTCATGTGTCGGTATTCGCAGCGCGCTCATATCAATTCCAGCTAAAATGTTAGGTCTGATGTGGTACCACTGCACCGGAAATTGAAATTTCAACACAGGGGCACCCCCAGCGACTGTTTTCTGTAAAATATCTGTTCGGAGAGGCAACGATTGCCTAGAATTTTCTAAAAATTTCTAGTTGACCGTTCCATTCGAGTACAATTTTATCTGAAGTTCAATTTTTCACATTTTATATTTAGGGTGAAACAGTCGTTGGATGCCCCTGTTTGTAGCCCGAGTGGCAGGAGACAGACTCTCTCTCCCCGATTTTTTTGAGGAGAGGGGGACGTCTGTGAGAGTGAGACTTGCCCTGAAGCAAAGGTTCTTTATACGAAGGTATAGTTAGTCATTTCAAACACAGGGCCGATTTAAACGTCATTAGTTAATTTCAGAAGCCCATCCTAATTTGATTAAAAAAGGTCCATCTTTACTACGGTCTACCATAAGCAATGGAAGAAATCATCACAATTTTTCATTTCATTCAAAAGAAGAAGCAACATGAGCTCGACCTTCAAAAGAGTATTAAATGTATGACATGCACGTTTTTTTTTCTTAAAATGCACTTTGTAGAACTGCGATGAGCTCAGTTTGAGTCCCACGTGAAATAGCATATCAGTCTAAAAGCGAAACTTTACCCACAACGGCTGTTTTGCTAATTATTGTGTGGCTCTTACTTTAGAATTTGTGACCCGATAATATTCTTCAGTTTACTGAACTATTTAAAAGAAAGCTCCAAGAAGTATGTCAGCGGTCCTTGGCGCAAGGTTTCCGCTGCGCTGTTGAGTTTTGTCCTTTTCAAACCATATTTAGAAACACCATTTTGAATTATGCTTAAAAAAGAAAGTGTCAGGTTCGCTGACGACACCACTTGAAATAACGGGATTTAGAAGGTTTTATTTCCGATGCAATAAAAAACACTAGCCTGCGTAGCAAGCGTTTCCAGTCGAGTTGTTAGAGCGCCAACTTTCCCGACGAACTCGGGCGGAAACGCTTGCTATGCAGGCTTTCCTTTTACAGACCTAGATCCGGGTACATGGTATGGCAAATACAAAATAAGATCGGCCGAAAGGAGGTTTCGCGAGACTGAGCAACCCCCACAAAACCTTGTTTTCACTAAAACCGCTGGACACAAAACCTTCCCCGGTGGTATAGATAGGGTACTAAGGAAATAACAAAATACCGTCTTTCACGACTCGCCGCAAGCGAAAAGTGATCGAGCCCGATCATTAAGAAATTCTCACAGCTATACTCCTGGCATACTAAATAATAAATACAGCAAAGCTTTAAAATACAAACAATGATATTTTGAGATAAAAAGGGTTGATATGCATTTCTTATGTGAACAAAAATAAGTTTCGAAGGCGACAACTGTTCCCTAGTTGCGAAATAAATTAAAGCATTTGACACACTATTGTTATTGTCAATAGTTCAAACTCACAATTGTTTGAATAAACATTTAGTTAATAAGCTAGAGTGTTGAAAATTTGCTAAAGTCTTCGATATAAGCTGCTGTTTTAGCGTATAATCTACTACTATGTTTGTCTCGGCTTGTCTCGTTTGCCGGATCATTAAATTGATTAATGATATATTTAAATCCCGAGCTAACGTAACTGAAGGGAAACATTGACATCAGAAGGACCTCTAAATCCCTTTAGTCTCGCCTCTAGTAGATTATGAAAATAGCAACAAACTTCTGCGTTTCGTTTTTCACTTTAAAAACGGTTCGCACAAACAGCTTAACTGCGTAGGACAAATGTTCGCATTTGAAATGAAACAAGCCGAGACTGACACTTTGCAAAATGCTTGTGGTTGTAAGTTATTAGCGTGTCCTGGCCGCGGTTTACACAAAATATGAACCCTACTTGAACTCAAATTGTGTCTTATATGGCAAGAAAGAACGCGTAAACAATACTTATAATAAGGAGGAGAAATATTTGGATCCGCGCCGGTAAACTATTTGTCTCGTTCAGTTGATTTATGGTAATGGTAATGATCTTTCCTAGGACCGATTTTACAACAGTGTAAAGTCGAATACCTGTGTATTCAGCGAAGCATTATCTCGAGGTGTCCATAAAATCCACTGAATTCAACATCATGTCGAGAGTCGGGATGTACGTACAGAGATATCATGTTGACGGTTATGAATCGCAAAGCGAGTCATGCGAGAGATGTGTCACTCGAAACGGGAAAACTCTCCATGAAAGATGCCCTTGGCATTGATGACGTCACGCTAAACTAGCTCTATTTTAATAAGACAATTACTTTGCAAATCTACGCCGCTCTAAGTCTGTTTACCATCAACATGATTACGCGAATTAAAATTCGCGATATTGACGGTAATAATTTTGATCTGTTTAATATGATCCAGAGGTGATTTTTATATCGATGTAACTTTGACGTTTCAAAATGACACTGTTACTGTATTGTTTTGGTTTGCCAAAGTTTATTAAATCAGATTATTGATCTAATAAAGTGCTAAAGAGTTCGATAAGTACTGAAGCAACTTGATGAAAATGTCGTCTTCTCTCTTCATCTTACGGTGGAACGGATATGTATCACCAAGCGAAGGTAAGGGCCATAATATATCATAGCCGACTGAGCGTCTGCGCGAGAAGGGCGCAGATCATCCTAGAAGGGTTCATCGTTGTGATCCACGGCATCTGTCAGGGTCATAAAGATAGACTTGCTCTATCAAAAGGCTATCACCATAATCCAACAGAGTCAAGATTCTTAGAACTTAATAGCTTTTTGTTGTAAACTCTCAGTCCTGGGTTCTCTCAAAATCAAGCTCTTGTGACAAGGTTGTCATCTCCAGAACTCCAATTTCACTTGGTAGAGTTTTTTATTATGACCTTCAGTCTTGATCCGTTTTGTCACGGAAATCCAATTTCTTTCTTTCTTTTTCTTTTTTTAGCCATAATCGTTCTTGCGATCAAAATATATGACATTAGAATGAAATCCCGATTTTTCGAAGCAGGTTGGTTCCAATTCAGTCAGTGCCGGAGGTTTGTAAAAATCGTAGGGAAAAATTACAGACATTACAGTGTTTGACTGGTGAAGTGAACAGTTAGGTTTCAGGTTCGAATTACTGGAAAATTCCAAAAAAAAACCGAGTATTCGAGAAATCGGGATTCTATATGCAATCAAACTTCCCTAAAACAGACCCGGGGGGGGTACTCAATATATTTTTATACGGCGAGGCACCGCCCCGAGGTCCTACCCGTTACCCTTTCATATACTATTTTTCACGAAAAAGGTACTCCTTTAGTATACCTTCTATTGACAAATGGTACCCCTTTCATATACCTCGTTTAGAACTTTGCATCCCTTTAAGTTTTAACTGCTGGAAATGCATTGTCATTTAAAGAGGAATTAATCAAACCTGGCCTTTAGCCATTATGTCTTAATTACTTGGATTAGAGCGAAAAAAAAAAAATTTCTTCAAATGCATTTGTAGTTCGCATTTCTATTTCTTGTTGTTATTTGTAAACACATCTCACTTTATATTCGCTAAAACTACGTAGGAGTTGTGTATGAAACTTTTGTAGTGTGATTCAAAACACTAGTCATTGAAATGTTCATCATGCCCGGGGGGTACTCCCTTATAAGGGCTTAATCGGGACGTGCGGCCAGCCAGGGTATGTTTTTCGGGATTTTTGTCTTTAACAGGTTATCGATTTTATCAACTTTTGTCTTAAACAGGGTATCTTTTCTTAGACAGGAGCCCATAACCCTGTTCTTAGACGATAAACAGCCTGCGCTTATGTTCTACGAATGTCTTAAACTGGGTATCAAAAATCCGGAATTCTGTCTTAAACAGGGTCAGGGTATGAGGGGCCGAGCCGCACCTCCCCACCCAAGGATATATCGAGTACCCCCCCCGGGAGCTGATGCATGTTTCGTGGGGAGATAAAACAGCTGCTTCGTGCAAGCGAAGATTACTAAATAACATGACATCAGAGCGTGAATTAGGGGGGAACCACAATACGATTTTTAAACGCCCTTTTAGTGATCATGTGTACCACCAAGAGTTGGTGCTCATTGGTACCACAAACATTTGCACACCACATGTCTAGGAGCATCTTTTGATCAGCTAATTTGCTGAGACCTGGATAGAATTGCGAACCTTCAAGAGCCCCCTTCAAGTGCTGAATTTTCAAATTCGCATTCCTTTTGAGAGTTTTCAGACTTAACACTCCTTCCACCGAACATCCGTATTTCCTACCACCCCACCGTTACAGCACTGACGCCAATCTAGTAATTATCTCTTCTGGTCAAGAACAAAAATTCAAAACAACAAAAACATTAACCTTAGGCTGTGAAGACTTAACTGAACTGTCAAAAGGGAAATTGCATACACATTCAACGTGAGTTAATGCGGTGGTAGATAACTTATGGTCTCCTTCTTTGATTTCTATTTTCTGTAGGTTAATTGTTTTGACGCTAAAAGTACAATTTAATACCTCCATAAGTTTCCAATTAGTTGTTTAAATTCTCATTTTTCTAGTCACTTGAATAATTGAAGAAATTGTTTTAAATATTTTTTCCCTTTGTCTCTCCTCTTAAGCAATATTATCTACCATTTCCATTGGCATCAGCAAAAGCTCGGGAGACATGGTCGATTTTAGCAGTTTCAACCCACCAATCCCACATCATGCCCTCTCCATACGCTCCCCCCTCCCTTCCCTACACACGCACACATATCCCATCTCTCACGGTTAGATAAAAAATCAGTGTGAAATGGTCTCTCTGGAGGAACGACAGAGAGCTGCACTTCTAATGTTGATTTGTACGTACCATGGTGAAGACAGGACTTCTCCGATCCGATCTTAGGGTGAAAACGTAACTGTGTGAGTTTCGTTTTGTCTATTTTGTGAGTGTCTGGGCCGCCTGAAAGACTTCTTTGCCGAACAAAATCTTCTTTGCAATTCGTAAATCTTAATCAGCCTTGAACATTCCAAACACTTAAAGCAGGCAAGGTCAGGCATGTCATTCCACACGCTACACTTCCTTATCTTAAATGAATTTCACACACATTGATATATAACCAGTAAATAACTTTTAATTTTACAAATATGAAATTTATTTTATTTATCTATCCAAGTTAAATGGCTGGGTTCTCTAACTGGAAGGAAAATCGTGATAGTCATTAATTTTTCTTTCATATACCGTATTTCCTCGAATAATAGCAGGGGGCGATTATTCCGGGGAGGCGATTAATTGAGGGACGGCTATTATTAGGAGGAATTAAATACGGTAAATAATTCAGACGTTCAGCCGATAAGATCCGAAAAACGATAGGTTAGTCAAGTCAGTCGTCCTGTATCCGGCTTAAACTTGTAAAGAATCTGCAGTCTATAAACAGGCTACAGACAACATAAATTTTGCACTCAGACAACAGAAGTTACCACTCTCAGTCCAACGAACATTATGAGGTCATACCCGGGGGGTGTTGCCCTAAATAATATGAATGGGGCCGCGTGGTCGTCGTAGCAAGTAAAAATTGTGGATTAGTAGCGGTGCACAGAAGGTAAGGGACAATGGTAACCTATAGTAGCGAGAAATTTTGACTCTCACGTGACTACCCGTCCGTCCGTCGGCCGTCCGTAAGTCCGCCCCTAAATGTAAGCTACTATGAAATTTCTCTTTCAACCACCAGTACGTTTTGGCGGACCTAGAGACAAAAAGACAAGTAAGCCGAGTCTTTATTCGACTTAGTTTTCATTGTGTCTATACTGACGTGGATAACAGAGAAAGAGCTAAAGCGAGAGATAAACAAAAGGAGACGTATTTCGTTGCGAGAACAACAAGAAATTTTTGTAACTGCGGTAAGAACTTGTTAGATGCTAGCAACCAGTAGGGTGAAAATGAGCGTCAGTGAAGAACAAAGCGAACAGGAACACAAACTGGCAACAAAATCTTTTGTGAGCACATACGACATTTCATCCATAAAACATGTAACTAGGAAGTTTGCAGTCGCGAAAAACGACGACAAAAATAAATTTATAACAAAACGCGATGCACGTGCAAAGTTGTGTTTTGCTAATTAGACCTAGTGATTTTTTGCCCTTCCTGGTGCCGTCGCCGTTTGACATTAATAATATGATTTTTGATAAATAGTGCAGTTTCCCTTGATTAAACGCGATAAAGCGATAAAGTTTAAACACTTGTCATATTTATGCGAGAGTGGCTCAGTTTACGTGCATATTTGTGATCGAACTAATATTAAGCATAGATTTAAAAGATTTCTTCGCAGTGTTTCAAGACTTCTTTCAAGTCTATTTTTTCTTTAAATAAATTATAAGTATGTCAATACGAGAACTTCACTTTTAGCCTTGGCACCAGTTTAGGCGCTAAAAAATCTAACATCAGTCAGAGTTGATTTGCTGTTCTACAATTGGTTTTTAACTTGTTAGCGGTAACAAGGAATTTAAGCCACGTCCACAAAACGGTATCTTTGAAGAGCGTTTTAGAACTTTTTCTGGCAATTCTCCCAGTCGTTTATTTCTAGGGGAATTTCTCCTTGGGCTATCAAAACGTGTTTTTTTGGTGTGGAAATTACAAACTTTTGCAATGACTATTTGGAATAGAATCAACAATTTGAAGAAGATGGCATTTTCTTTGTTCAAGAATAACGCTTTGCCGTTCTTTGCGGTAGAACGGAATTTAAAAAGCCAAAATTTCATTTGCAATATTCTTTGAGACAAAAATTCATACCAAATGAAAGTGCTGCTGAAGACGTTTCCTCTAAATGGCTGTACCAAAGGTTATCTCACTTTCCCAGTTACAATAAACGTGCGTCGTGTAGTACATCCATATGAGACTGATTTCATATTAAATTCATATTTTGCCTGGTAACTTTCATAATAAATTCGTAATTAATTTTCCTAAAGTAAAGTGAGATTAATTTCACCTAAAAACATTCACAAGTCGGAAAAGATTGATAGCTTCTTGTTTTCGGTTTGAATGAATCCGTCCGGTTTGGCACTTAAAAAATTTAGGTTGTGAGAATTTTCCCTTAATTTTCTGAGGCTAAGATGATCTGATTAAAGGATAAAGCTTAAATATAGCTGCACATAGTCGTCGTGCATAGTATACCAAGTAGTATGCAGAGATTTAAAAAACAGTGGATAGAACTCTATTATAAGTGTTTTGCTGAACATCCTGCTTTGGGTGGTCCTCAATTCTGACAGTTATGAATCAAGGAAGTTAATAAAACACTTATATCTTGCAAATGAATAGAACAATAAAATATTTATCTATTGTTACCAGCTTAGACCCCATTAGGGACCGGGGTTATACCAGCATGGTAGTTGGGCTATACGAGTTTTATTTCACCTCCGTTCCGTGTAAATCACTATGGCAAGTGAACACCGGGTAACCCGTGATTTGTTGTTCTTTGTTCTATCTTTTTTTTTTCCTTTTTTCTAGTTTTTTGTTTGTTTTTTTTATTTGTTTTTTTTTTTTTTTTCATTAGTGTTTGAGTCGGTTTATAGCCCGTACGTACACGAAAATGAGGACATTTCAGCATTTGGCATTCAAATCGTATTTGTAAAAAAATTCTGTGTGAAAAATAGAAATGTTTTCTTTTTCAATTATAATACTCTGGTCATGATACCACAGCAATTTATTTATGAAATTTATGAACTAAGACAGTTGGTTGAAAAATGAGTCTATAATTACTTATTGGCAGATTTACATGCTGTTACCATCAGATTCTAAAAAGCTTTTCATCTACATGCCCCTTTAAAGCGAGCGATCTTTTTTCATCCTCCAATAAGGAAGCATGTGCTTTTCGAGTTCGGAAGAAGCGGAAGATCAAGAAGCCATTCCTTGAATAAACATTTCATTCTTACATATTAGTTTCTTGTATATAATGTTTTTAAATAAAATCGCAAGTGTATTTCTTTTGGAAGCATTCAGCGTTCACCGCGCACCACTATATCTCCCGCCATTACAGCCTGTATTCCAATACTTGAAACACCTTCAAATTATTTCATTAAAATAAGTCAAATTTGAGACCCTCGTTGTTATCATACATTCACTCAAACTACTAAAATATTTATGGTCCACGTGTGTAGATAAGAAAATATAAAGGCGAGTACAGCTGAAAAAGCTATCAGTTATCCATGCGATATGGATGATATCGTGCTGACTGACAATATGAAGTATGCTAATATCAATCTTTTTTTTTACATTCGTTACTCCACCATACTTTATGTTCAGGGATGCTCTTAATTACACACTGCATTTAATTTTCAATGTTTGCGTAAGACAGCTTCAGCATCCGGGTATTAAATAGTACAGAACGCAGTCGAAGTTTTCCCTGAGGGAAACCCATATGTTCAAATTTCGGCTTTTATATGCTTAGTTATCTTTGTTTGTAGAGATTAATGCGATGCGCAGCGAAGCCGGTAGAGGGGCAAGAGATGCTTCGAGTTTTCCTCTTACATTTTTTGAAAAAGCAATTGACATTTTAAATTTGTCTTCAAGTCTTCATCGAAAGAATATAAACAGAAAAAAAAGTATTTCATGATTCTAATTTTTGCCTTTAAATTATACATTTCGTGTTATGCTTAATTTACCTTCGATGAATCAGTAATTCAGTAGGTTTTCCCTTCTCAGAATTTTGCCTACTGGCTATTTTACTGTCCAAAGAAAAACCCATGAATCTTTGCTCAAAGAGCTAATCAACCACAAACTACTATCAGTCCAACAAATCAGAAGACTTACCTCACGAAGAGGAAAGATTGGAGTTTCCCAGTTTCTCTTATCTCTTTCTTGCTAGAAAAGGAACAGCATGGACATGTGGCCGTTCACAACTGGCACTTTAAAGAAACACCACAATGGGAACTGTGTTTACTTGCATTTTTTCCGTGTAATTATACAAGCAAAGCCAATTGTTTTCAAACTTTGAAGATGAAAAATCAAAACATACCTTGTTGCCGGAAATTAAAGGCGCCGTGATTATCGAATAAGAGAACGCTAAACGCTCGCATTGGATCGTTCATTTGCTATTCAAGCTCACCAATCGAGAACAATTCAAATGGCTTCCCCCTGGGGCTTGTTTACTTTAAAAGACTGCGAACAAAACTAAAAGAAATTGTATGTTTTGCTAAAAGAAATTGAATGTTTTCAAACATCTTTAGCAGGCTTCATATACGATTATGCCCCTCTGACGATCTTTCGCGGCAACCTCATCACTACAATCCTAAGCTGTGAAACCCCTTGAGGAGAACCGTGTGAATCCAGAGAAAATGAAAAATGTGTGGTTAAGAGGATAATGAAAAAGTTGTCACTTGGTGAAGAATTTTTAATAATCTTTACGGAAATTAAAAGCTAGAATAAGCACAGAGGAAGCTACTTATTCAGTGAGACAAAAAACAGTATGGAAGTCAGGCTGTTTGAAAACGACAACCGATGTGTTTTCTTTTGTGGTAAACTGATCTCGAATCTTTAATGAAGCGAATAAGTTGTCACTCTAAAACGAAAAATAACCTCCCTAAAGGACCATAAAGACTAGACTGTTGTGAGAAAACTATTTGTGTGAATATTTGGCTTAAGAGGCACTGAGCAGCGAATCGATTTTTAAAAACCCCAGAAAAACACTCATCCCTACTCCTCACCTTGGCGTAAGATATGCGTTTCCGGGATACGTATTTCTAGTGCTCTTTGTTTTGAGGCTTCCCACGGGATAAATAAAGATGAAACTTTAAAACAAGGAAATAAAATTTAAATCTTTGCTTTTCGTAGCCTTAATTAGATGCAAACTGCAAGACTTTTAAAAATGTTAATACGTTCCATGTAGTTTGCAATTAAAAGATACATGTATGTCGACAAAGTACATGTTTATTTGTTGCTGAATAATTTGTTTGAGACGTTTACAAAGTTGTTTATTATTTTTTTCATCGAATTTGTTTTCAATTACTAGCTCTTTTTCCTCTTTCCTATTTTGTAATTCCTTTTCATTATTATAGAAATCCGTTTTTCATCCTAGTAAAACATTTTCACAGTTCCGTAAGTATAAAAAGCTAATGCAATGCATCAGCGATTTGCAACACGGGCAAACGTTTCGAAAAAGAATAAAACGATGTGGTGATGACAGATTATTTGATCACATTGGCAGGTGTAAGGGCTTAGATGCTTCAATCAGGAGTACCCAACGACCGAATGTTTCCAAATACGTCTCAAGTGTCTCAAATAGTTTCTCTAGACTTTTAAGAAGCCTTTTAAGTTAATTTGGAGCTGCCCTAAAGGTTACTCAGCTGTTCGGATGTGTAAGGGGAACTTTGGTCGTCTCGAAAGTTTTAGGTGGCTTTTTCCTCTCGTCCGAAACTTTTACTGACTACCCTGATGGGCCTGGTCGAAAGTTCGATGTCATAGAGTAGCCGTACCTTCGAATTCATTAACGATTCTAAGGGGCGTTTTGTCTTTTTACCGATTTAAGGCTACCTTTTTTTAACTGAATAATCGCAACATTTTGATGATAAATATGAAAAACCAAAACTTGGCACCAAAAATTGTGAGTAAGTTAGGACATAAACTCACGGCTCCGAATATGTTAGACGAGTGGAACGGTTGTCCAGAACATTTTAGGCTTTCTGGAGCTTTAGAAATTTCTAGGCAATGATTGCTCCTTCGAACAATTATTTCACAGGAACTTAAGTCACTGGTTGCCCCCCTAGTGTAATAATGTTTAGAACATGTTGCCATGTTGCCATGTGCGCTTCACTTTTAGTCCTTCCCACGGTTTTGAATCACATGGCCTTAATCAGAATCGAACTAAACTAGCAAGTCCTTACACAAGTTATTCTCTTTGCTGTAGTATAATATTTCAACACGCGTTGAGTCGTAGGAATATTACAATATGATTAACATAATAGTCATGCTTAAAGCTTACGAAAGTTAGTTTCACTTGAAATGTACTAAGTACTTCACATGCAGTATTCTCTGCTAAATAAATAGGATGTGTTTCAGAGTTAGAACATGTCTCTCCAAATGCCTCAATCGGAAGATAGAGGAAGGGTTTCGATATAAGTCTTCACTTCCTTGAGCAAAGGCTTTGAATTAAAAGCCAAGTCTGGAGAAAAAGACTGTCCAGTCAAACATAAGAAGTTAACAATGTAGGTACTAACAGTGACCACTTGATTATAGCAATGCTTTTGCTTTAATCAAACACAAAGGACAACCGGAAAAGGAAGTGGACATCACAGATAGAAATGCCAGCTGGCTTTTAAACAAACTCGTCTCATTAACACCATAAGCAATTTACAAGGAAATACAGTGAAGAGTGTTAGTGCTGAAGCATTGGTTTATTAGGACGCTAAAGTTCATTCACCTAATCACGTCAATCAAGAAGAGCCCCGCGATGCACATTTATAATTAAACGACATCTTTATCTTTTTAAACGCAGATCTTGCCACCTGTTTTAATTTTGGAAGGTCATATTGAACAAAAATATCTTTCTAAACATGTCCTTCATCTAAAACTTCTGAAGGGAGAATTTTCAGAGAAAGGAGCGCTATACCTTTTCTTTTTGCCTACGTTAGCATTTCACAACATGATGGCGAAAGAAATAAGGAGTAAACAAATACAGATTGCAAGACAATCAGATGTGCAATGCATGCTTCGAGACTCGACCTCAATAACTCTACTCCCTTACAATAACACTGACACAGAGTTGAGGCTCTGTTAGGGTAGAGTTCTGACAAGCGACATGGCGTGGAAACAAAAACACAAGAGTAGATGAAATGGGGGGAAATGACATGAAGATGGGTTAAATACCGACACGGACATGGCCTACTCCTCAAAATGTGAAACAACCATGTTTAAAATTTAGACAAGGGACATACGTCTCCCCCTCCCCACCCACCCCTCAAGAGGGCCTCAGAGTTCGATCAAAAAAAAAACACCCTTTGAAAAAATACCCCTGTACCAATTTAGAATTCGACATTTCATCATGGTTTTAGCTTGAAGTCTTAAATAGGTCAGAAGAAACGATAAAAACTGATATCGGAATCGTACGGTCTATATGTGTGGATAATAAACCAGTTTGAAGCTGAGTGTGTTTGAATTGCCCAGCGAAAATACGAAAATTCGTTTTTAAACGATTTTCATGAAATATTTTCAAACTCCACTAAATACAAGGCTACAAATATTTTTCCACGATTATTCTAAGAGTCTGAAAAACAACTTACCTTTATGATTATGTTTCTACTCAGTTTCCTAATTACATTGAAAGTCTTGCATTATATTTTATAGCATCCCGGTCATCTTCCACTGAGCGTAACTGAATCTGAAACAACGTAAGTGAAAGGAAAATGATTTTAATCTGACCTATATACCAAAACCACCGTCTCTGACACGAGGCGTGTCCCTTTCTCGTTGCATAAGCAAGCAAAGATTTGTTTACTATTCTACGATTTTTCCTTTTCTTTTATTTGATTTGTTTGTTGTTCCTAAACAGTGAACATAGCAACATGATTTATTACGTAAAATCTAAAATCTCATTGGCGTGATTAACAAATCGATTTAACAAGATTATATAACAGACAGACAAACGTTTACAGCAAACGACTTTGTACACAAGTGACCAAGTTTTCTTTTTACTTCAAGATGCATGGTTTTATAACAGTATCATCTATAAGAAATATTCAACACAGTAATCATACACGCATTTCCTAATTTGAAAATAATCAACATGAACCTGACATTTTGCCGTTTGCTGCAAACGTTCAACTACAAGTAAATAAATAGGCCATTTCCTGAATTTTTTAAATCATTCCGATGATATTGCTATAAATGTTACATAACTGAATTAACCCTTTCACCGCCAGAGTGCTTGATGGAGGTTTGTAAGGTGACTCTAACTTTTGAGTCTGTGGATGAAATCCTACGATGTGACCATTCAAATGAAAGCTCCCTGCCTGCACTTCCACATAGTGCTATTTGTTTTTCAAAACTTTACACAATGAAATTTGCAAACTTGCTCGAAATTTGCCTTTGGCTTCATTGGCAGTGAAAGGGTTAAGTCATTGCACGTGTATTACTCTACGGACCTGTTCATTTGCAATAACGACTACTTATAGGTTATGATTAATAAATGAAGTTAATGATCGCTTGAGTACATCCACTCCTGTTTCTAGCATTCATCTAAGCAGAAAAATGGCATTCGGCATAACTTAGATAATAAAGTTTGTGCATGCCATTGTTATTTTGTGAAACTACTCATTAGTAAAAAATACCGAGTGTAGTCTTAAATTGCTGAAAGGTTTTTATATTTATAATCATTCAATTAGACACGGTGAAACAACATTGGGAGAACTATTTCAAAAGCTTTTTGCTTATTCAAAGACCACCCCCATGGTGACGAAATAAGGCCCGGCCCACACGTATCCACAGATTTTTTGAAAACGGAGATTTTTTTCCTTCTTTTCCAAAAAATTTCGTGTCTGCACGTCGCGTAGCCTCCCACGCAGACGTTCTTAGGAACGCGTGACGAACCCCAAATAACGTCTGCGTGGGAGGCTAGACGTAGCGTATTTGAATCATTTTTGCCGGCTCACATGAAAACACTAAAACGATGAAAATACGATAGTATCTCTTACAAAGTAAGCGTAACGGTAGTGTTGTATGTGTGACATCATTACATGTGTCATTGTGTTCGAAAACCTCCGTTTTCGTCCTTACACAAACGATAAGTCGGCGTTTTCGAAAACTTCCACTCTGGGGAACTTTTTTGAAAGCTTGCGTTTTTGGTGTCCGAAAACGCCGTTTAGGTGTGCATTGAAGGCTAAAACGAAAATGTCCGGATGCGTGTGGACGGGGGCAAAGTCCATTCATGCTTATTGGCAAATTTTCGTTAAATAAATGGTTTTTTTTTTTTCACTAGCAAATTTTCCTTTAAACTACTTTAAACAGTACGAAAATATCAAAAACCATATTTTCAGTTAGCAGTTCCCCCTTTTAGCGTTAAAAGGGACATCTCGGTCTCACTTTCGTGGCATGATACACAAGGCAAGTCATAAGGAAGTAAAAAAAATCAGTTTTGATCACCAACTACATGACCACTAAATCCTCAGTTAAAACAATTCAAAGTTTTATTATCATCCCTAATATTGTTCGAAAAAATACGATTTTTTAAAATATCGACTTGAATAATAAAAATGTAAACAAGTATTAATATTAACAATAAAAGGATAAAAGTTTCCTATTTGTGATGTAGTGTTATCAGAATATGAAATGAGAAAGAAAACGAAGAACTGAAAGTGGAAAAAATACCATATGATTTTGCCAGAGAGGTTAGAAAACTGACGGGCTACAAGACTAAAGGTGATACCTGCGACTGGTTAAACTTTTAGGAATAAAAACATTAGTATTTTAGTTACCAGCTACGAAAATCAACTGACCGTATGTTTCTAGAATAGTAGTAATAGTAATATTGATTTCCGTTGACATCTCAGAAACGTCTCCGAAGATATCCGAAAGTACGTCTAAACCGCTATTGTTTCCGTTAGACCTTTTCGTTTTGTATTGAGATAGACAAACCAACCACGAAGACTCAGTCTAACTAAATACCTTAAGAAATATTTTTCATCTGATGGAAATTAGAAAATAACATGCATTTTTGTTAGTTGTTTAAAACGTCCTGTCAAGTGGAAATCGTAAAAGGCTGTTTATTTCAGCCTATAAATGCAAAATGTAGCTACAACAGTGATTGGGTTAGTTTGACCAAGATTGTCTGGTGTTTGTGGGATTATCTGAACGAAAAGCTCTGTTATCAGTCGAAGCTATGGAATTAAAAGGCAAAAATAACGATAAATTGAAAAACGAGTGAGATTAAGCTTTCCGATTGAAAACTCAACTTTTTTAGGGGAAAAAAGTTTTCTCCATGAGGAGTGTTTAGGAGGTGTATGTGGAGACCAGCTCATTCTTATTTTTCCCAATATTTTCTGTCAAGTTAGATTGACAGAAACTCTGGAAACTAGCAGAAAAGCTACCAGTTCCGGCGAAAACGTTCATTAAAACAAAGAAACAAAAAACCTTTGACATCCTTCTGAAACTATTTTTGTCTCGCTCATTTGCGACTTAAATTTAAGTCAACAAGAACTGACAGGCATCTAACCTCTGCATTAGGCACATATGTAAAGTCAACTGTCTCTTCCTCCATCAAGTTCAACGGCTAAAATTCGTCCCGAGACTCAAAATATCAGCTCTGCTATTATATTTCAGTAGTTATTTTGACATTTCATGTGAAATTTTCACATAAGCTGACACAAATCCATGGCGATAATTGCAGCCCAAAGGCATCTTGATGCTTTTCTGGATTTTTTTTAAATACTAAATAATCATGAACTTAGCGAAAAACAGTTCAAATTGGGAGCTACGAGGAAACAATGATTTTTGGAGAAACAAGACCCAAAAATACATTGCATACCTGACTAACAATGTCTTTCAAGTAGAATTGCACACGTATTTGGAAAATCTATAACAAGTTGAATTGTTAGAACAAACGGCTCCGGCATTGATTCTCAAGGATTTGATGAGATCTTGTCATTAGCGGTTGCTCCTGCAAAATAACTGGTTGAAGAGAAAAGGAACATGACATTCGGTTGAAAACTTACCGATTTTCATGGGTGTGTAGTCAAAATTCTCGAAATGCGCTTTAAGGCTGCAAAACAACTCGTGTTGTTGAGGAACCTGATCAAAGCTTCCCGAATCCTTTGCAAATTTAGTTCCAAAAGTCGAGCAGGTGATATTAGCGGATGTAACTGATAACAGAAGTTGAATGTACACTTTTTAATCACTTAGTTACGATGACAAGATACTTGACCACGCAAACAAAGCTTTGTGGCACTCCTTTTGACAATGACAGACTTGTTGTCGCAACTATAAAAGGATATTCCGAGATGAGAGTTAAAGTGTTTTTTTAACCTCCACTTGCTCTTTCGGAATTAACGTAAAACGTAGCCTCTGGTGAGATGGTAGTGAAATCCTGCTGCTTTTTAGCGTATATAGATTCAAACTGCCTTATTTAACAAATAAATACTTAAAAGCTCTCTCTATAATTATATACAACCCCAAGGTATAAATCTATTTTCCGTCCAACATTAAAGCAGGGAAAGCCAAACGAGAGATTTATCTTGTGCGTTTTCGAAGACGAATAATTTTTTTAAAAAGGGTGACAAGATTGAGATGCATATGGTACACAAGTACGTTTTTCCTCCATCCACAAACAATAAACAACTGTAGCTAAGTACGTTTAAATAAAGTGTTCATCAAAAAAGTTTAAATTCGTTCGGCTGTTTTCCGTTTTGCTTCAAATCACGTAGTGTTTACTCCGAGGCAGCTAAAACGGAAAAAACAATTTAAAGGGGTTTTAGACAGAATGATTTATCATAAAAGTGGCATTTGAAAGGGAGGAGACGGGAGGCGATTACAAATCAGGAATTGAGCAGAGTGGTGTTCGTGTAACCACCCCTTCGGAATGGGCAGTCAAAATAACTCCTTAATCAAAAAACAAAAATGTTAAACAATAAGATATTAGAGGCCATGTGTGACTCAACCTGAGCACTCTACAAAAAAACGTCGTGGCTGTAAAATAATGACTGATAAACGCCCACGCGAGGTTCAAACTAAAAAATGTGTTAGTAGAAACAGACTTAACTGACACTATTTTTCATCCATTTGTAAGTTTTGGAAAACAGTTAGTCAAAAACCTCTGAATTATCAGAGAAGAGTAAAGATTTTGACAGAGGTATCTGTAGCTTTAAATTACATAAAAACATTTTAAAACGCTCTCTGGCGCCCAGGGTATGGTTTATGAGACAGTATCAATAATCGGGAATCGATCACATATATATATTTTACGGTATAATGTTAGATTTCGCCAATTTGGGATAAAGTATGTCGGGTTTTACTCAAAACAGCGTGGAACACTGAAACGGAATGACAATAAATTCCAAAATTGTATCAGAGGAGTCAATAATAATATGGCAAAAAGTTAACTGGTATATTAGAACAAAGTTCCTTCTACTCTCTCACTGGATAAACGTTGAGTAAACTTGATTTCCACACCAACCCAGGTAATCCACCTCCGAAAAAAGGGCGTGGCTACAAATTAAATAGGCCATTTCCGAGTTCCAAAAATTCTCACTTCCAAAACGAGGCTAAGTGCAAAACCATTCTGGGAAAACTGAGTGTTGTTTGCATGACAAAATCATTTTCATATCAACGGTTTCGAACTCAGCCTCGCTTTGAAACAGAGGCCTCAAGGCCGATTTAAAGTGGACTATTTGCACTTTAGTAAAATCCAGGAAAATCCAACTAGTGGTCTATTATCAATGCTGCGTTCTGATTGGTTGAGCTACTACTAAGCTATATGTTGTAGCCCACTAGTAGCGAAAAGCGCGGGCTTTTTGGCGGCAAAAAGGGATTAAAGTCTAGCTTTAACGAGCTAAATTTTTTTTATTCTCGATATTTTTGACCAACTACTTGGATTTTACAAAAACAATTATTCCCTCGCCCTCATCATGGCCTCTGAGTCAATAGCCCATTCGGCCTTCGGCCTCATGGGCTATTGACTCAGAGCCCATTCAGGCCCGAGGACTGAGTAATTGTTAAAAACTCTTATCTTTCGCAACATTCTCATTAATGATACCTTTTTGTGTTAGCACAGAAGAACATACTAGAGATGAAGTGACTTTTGTTTTTGTGATATTGTGAGATTCGTTGTGTATAGTGAATTGAATTAGCAAAATATTGTGGAAGATTAAGTCGATAATGTTGCATGACAGCCCTAAGTGGAACCACCGCAAGTCAGGAGATTTAATTTAATTACTGGCCCATATTTTCACCAAAATACTAATATAAACACTGTACTTTTTAAGCCCATTATTTAATCATATTTCCCATTAACTTGCGATGTGTTTGTGATGAATCTCTATTGAAACGACGATAACAAATAAAATTGTCCAGCTATCAGAGTGGTGTCGAGTTCTTAGAGTTAATGCTTTTGGTCAAAGCAAGAAAACTGCTATAATGGCATGCTATAAAGAAAATTAACGTCGAAATTAGACATAGAAGGCTAGGCAACTGGAATTTCTCCCTTACGCGTTAAAAATTTAGTGCCATTCTTATAGGTGAAGTAACTTTCCTGAAAAACTTGGTTGGAACCGTTGCAAATTTCCTGTCAGTTTTGGTCACAAGACACATTTCATGCACCCTAGAGTGCAGCTACTGTACAAACATCACACTAGCAAATCTCATGTACCTCCTGATCGTCCAAATGTGAACAAACACGGGCCAACTTCATCAGTATCGGGAGATATAAATTGTCCTTTTCATTGCTGCTGTTAAGTGAATTTATAAGTTAATTTCAATTCTTTGTCAATATTAACGTCCCCAGAGTATTAAAAACTAACCTGCCAGCAAGACAAACGTCTAGATTGTTTGTAATATCAAATTGATAATTGCACTGTATTTAGTTTAGTCCGTAAGTTGTTTTGATGTTTTGATAAAAAAAACGCTGTATACAAGCTGTATACAAGAGAGAACTAATTCTTTCTTGCGGTATAATGACAGCCCATAGTTTGTATGCTACGCCTTCTAATGATGTTGATGTCTTTCAAGTTTGGGGTCACAAATAATAGAAAAACTCAGTTTGGGTTGGTTGCTCAGCAGTGTATTCAAGTGGATGTTGTATGGCAAAGATGAAGGACAATGCTCCAACAACATTATGACAATCTTACAGCCATTCACATCAATAGTCACAAAATCAAAAACGTCTCATTAAGAAACATTGCGACTGCTGATTTTGACTTAAAACGTCTTTGATACGTTAAAGACGTATTACGTTTCTTGTTAAACGTAAATTATTTTTCAAAATACTTGGACGCACTAAATAAAACCATTAGAAACAATGAAGAGGTAATTGAAATTCTCTCTTATTTCATTGACCGATATTTTGTTTTCGCTTTAAGCAAATATAACATTTCTAGACTGTTTATTTACGTCTTACAACTTGCCTACTTACAATTCTTCGTCTATTAGAAATTACGCAGACTGCAAGATATTGCGCTTTTTAAAAGGTACTGAATATATATACGGCGCAGTTTTAATTACAAATTTTGGTATATTGCATTACGATGCGATGCGCACTTTACGCATGAACATCAGCGGTCTGTGCTCTTCCAGACTTGAACCACCGTTCTGTAGAGGGGAAAGGCAGTGATAAACACAACCTTCCCCATTCCACACGATCTGGTTCCAGAGATCCTAAAAAAAATTAACTCTATCTTAAATCCAAACGACTAAAATCTATACCCACTGTCAAACCAAAAGTGGTCATAAAATACACCTTATGCTTGGTGCCGCACATGCCTATATATAGTTAATGTAAGGGAGCACTTCTACTCCGGAATTCGAGGGAACTTGTTTACCACGAGGGAATGTCTTTTCCTTTCAATATTCTAAACAGGTCTCTGATTTTATTACATCAAGGCAAACTACAATTGGTCTAATATAAGGTTAAGATAGATCGTCAGTGGGTTCTATACGTTGCGGGCATCTTTGAAAAAAAAACAAATTTTGGAGAAAGAAAAACATTTATTTTCAAGCTTTTTTCATAAATGTAAACTGCATACAAATCTAATTTTCCACAAATACTGAGATTAAAATTCGAATTTCGGTTTTTACAATATTCTTCATCTGAAACCATTTGTAATTGGTCCTATAACCAAAACAATGGTAATTTCATTCGCAAAAGGCAATTCAAGATAACTAACAAAACACCTGCAATTTGGGGAATATTTTTTTAGGCAAGCGGCGTTAAATATATTACAACAGGGTTATGTGTGGGTGTATACGGACTTAGAAGTACCTATAAAAAGGTATAGGCGAAGTCTACCTGACTTTGTTCGTCGTTTGAGAGCATTTTGCGAACAAACTTACCAAAAATATAAAGAAAACATCAAAATCTAACCTAAATTAAGTTGTGATCTTAAATATTTTTCAGTTTTCCATCTTTAAATAAATGTAACTCCCAGCAAACTTGGAACCAATAATAACCGTGTAAATAGTTCGACGATCTTTGTTCATTTTGCTCCTTGGTGTACTCGACGGTTATTCTGTTTACAGTTCTATTAGCTTGAGTAATTAATCGCTTCTCCAAAGCGGCGTACGGAAAGGTTGTAGAGCTTGAGTAAAATATCATTTCAAAGATTTTCTTTAAGCTATTTCTGACCTACAGCAGTTACAAATATACCTTATCGGGCAATGCGGGAAAAATTATAATCGTTACCTCTTACGCTTTCCCAGTAGTAAATAATATAATTTAGGCTACTCGTTTCTCTCACGAAATCACGCGATTATTATCTCTCTCCTGCCTCTGTAACTGTTGACGAAGATACACGTTTTTTAACGCGAGATCGCGTTCTCAAAACTGAACCAAGAAGGTTATGTATTTGAAACAAATCGAAATCCAAGTAACTCAAAACATCGATTCATACCGTTGACGGCTTTACCAACGCAAATCTCGAGAGAAAACATTGAAATTTCAAGCTCTATGATCAAGAATTGCACTAAAAAGCCTAATCTAAAACAGCAAAAACACGACCTAGCTACAGAGTGACAACCCGTAAAGAAAGGTATTTTTGAGTCTGAGGTTTTTCCATTAATACGCAGGAGTAAATCTATAGATTAAAAGCTCAAAAACGTGCATCAGAAAATAATCCTACCTTTCATCTAAACGCATGTCATGTCTGTGATTTATGTAACCGTATCGTGATTCGAAGTAAGGCGAATGTGAAAAGTATTTGCAAGATTTGGGCATAATTTATGTTTATAGCTTATTGAATATTCATAAATTAAAGTTTCTTGACGTAAATGAATCGGACAAAAACATTCTCCATTAAGTATATCAGTATCTATGGAATTGTGTCAAACTGACGTGACTTGCCAGCAACTCACGTTCGTTGAAAAAACTTGTCCTAATCTAATTGCCTTAGATTCGCATTAAGGATAACTAGTGAATATTTCATATTCACAGATAATATACTTTCTATATCACCGAGAAGCTCTGTCTTTTCTTCCAAAATATCTCTGACGACTATATCAGCTTGTAGAGCCTTTTAAAATGGAGAAAATTAATTTTGATTATTGTCGAGTTTTGGACGAAAAATTTGAACCACCTAATTCGAACAGAAATCATTTTGCAGTTTCAAAAGAAAGTCATTGATCTTACCGCAAGGTCATACCTTTAACGAAAATATAAAAAAGCTGGCTTTATACTCACTGACTATTTTTTTATTATTATCCATATCTAGTTTTCTTTTTGTTTTTCTGTTTTTGCTTTTTCTGGTGTTTAATTTTTTGTTTGTTCTGTTTCATGCTGACGCCCATTGAATAGAAGGTGCATGGTATACATAATGGTAAAACTAAGATATGTGCGCCGAATTATTTTGTTTTCACTTCTTTTGTGCTATTTTTATCATATCTCTCTGAAAAATTAATGAGTGAAAACGCTCTACGTGACCAATCGAAATGTCTGCATCAGCAGCTCATTAGTGCCTAATTTTCGTCCCTAACAGCTAGTTCCTGTCATCTTAGAAGGCGGTTGGTGAATTTTTACGGTACTCTTGACATCAACGAGATAAGTAAGGAAAGAATTTTACCTAGAAAGCACATAAAAAATTCCATTTCCATCAACTTCAATGATGAAAAAGGTACTGGGATTTTTGAAATATTAAAAAATTAGACCCCCACGTGAGAAGAGCAGTTATGCGCTCGGAAGCTTAAGGAAGTTCATCAGTAATTTCTGTGAGAAGCGATTAGTCCATTTTTACATTATACGAAAATGTTCCAAAAGCAATGGCCGGTGAAGAACCTTATTGTAAAAGAACAGATTAAGAAAAAACCAACCAACCAACTTTGTACTGTTCGCTGGTTACAACAGGGACCTTACGATCCAACACAAGAGAAAACACTACCTGATTAAAAAACGTACTTCACAGTCATTACAACGAGATCAGTTATCAACAGGTTGGGAAATTACGTAGGTGCTGAACGAGAGGAAACCGCATCCCAGCTCATGTAAAAGTGCAGTAAAAATTTAACTCCTTGTCGTTCACGTTCTCAAGTAACGAAAACTTTGGTCCTTTCACGTCCTAGTTTCCCAAAGACAGAAAAGAGAAACTCGATACGCGTGCAGAGTTCAGGGGCACCCAACGACAATTTTCGGAAGACGATTTGCTATCTAGAATTTTCCAAACATTTGTTGTAAAATTTCTTGCTTGCCTACCTCTCCTAATATTTTCGAACATCTAAAAAATGGTATAATTGACTATTTTTAACGGATTTTTACCCTAAAAAGGTCACCTAGAATTTTCGGGAGCCTTTTTTCTGGCTGAAATTTTCGAAAAGGTAAGTTTTGATCCCTATAATTTTTGGATCACTAGACTTTCAGCTGGGAAATCCGAACAGATGAAAAATTTTTAGGGGATAAAAATATGCCTATATCTACCGTTTAAATACTAACATACGTTTAACAATACTATGTTTAAGTGGTTTTGAACGATATTCTCGTTGGGCGCCCCTGAGAGTTATGGTTGTGCTCAATAAACCTCGTATTTTTTAGACTATCGTCGTAGTTTGGGTCAAAGCCTTTAATACTTGGTCTCCTGTTTCTTTCTAGAGAGTTTTAAAGCTTAAATACAGTGCACAAGACGACTTTTAGTCCCTTCGTGAGCTGGACATAATGATGTTTTAATGGGCGGTTAAAAGCTTAACTCAGGCAAGCTGCTTAAATGCCTTAATGTGAAAAACCTCAGATTCACATTCAGGTAAATCTCCTTATAAATTCTAATGGCGAGGACGTAGCTCCACAGCTGCGCCAGCCATGATATTTACACCTTGTCAAAGAGCTTCTCAGCGGTTTACCATTAAATTTTGACAGTAACATGGGAAAAACACTTTCTTACACGGTAGTGTTTTATAAAAGCAAGGGCTAACATGCATATTGAGAAACGACATATAAAAGATATGTTGGTTGCTAATAAAACGATTTTTGTATCAAATTACTAAAAATAACTGAATATTAGTTAAATATTAATGAAATAGAGTTGGTGGTGGTGCTCTATCAACGCTGTAAAATTTCGGAAAACGTCGTCAGCCACCAGTTTATCCTCAGTTTCTTCGCAGTTATTTATAAACAAAGTCGAGCTAGACAGGCCAATTTTTCACCGACGTGTAATGGTGTGTCTAGAGCCTCAATCCGTAAAAGAAATGATATTTTTTTCCTACACGTAGCTCCTTGACTGGTTATACACATTTTCGCCTGACTATCTAAGTAGCGATATCTTAATGTCATTTCAGTATTCCCGGCAACATTTCTAATACACAAAAGCGTGATACAAAGTAAAATAAAAAATAAAACAAGCATTAAAACTTACCACGTTAACGTCCTAATTACAATTATTGTAACGGTAAAGTTATGGAGGAAAAATGTTCAGCGGCTTGAACAGTCTTCGACACTCTTGACTCTCCAAGCTGAAGATCGTATACAGTGCATGTTTCAGCAGAATGAAAGAGAGAAGATAGGCTTATTTTACCATGCGTTTTCTTCGCCGTCGACTCACTCTGGGGAAAAAACTTTCCCACATAAAATATGCTTAAATCACTTTAATTGCTAGCAATTTCATACAATGTTTTTCTTTCTGATGGAATGAGGCATTCATTATTAAATTTCAAGCGCAAGCGAAAACAAAACGATGCCGTTTGTAGCACGAAAGTTTTTTTCTGTATCCTTCGAATGGGCTACTTTTTATTTAATTCAAGAGAAGAGCAATTTAACAATTTTTTGACAGTTTTTTTTATAGATATATATATAGAAACGCGCCATTCAAATCGGTGAGGAGAAATCTTAAGGTTTCGGGTTCGTTCTAAGAGAAAACAGCAAATACCGTCAAACCAGAAAGCTTAAGAAAATGTAAACAATTTTTACCATAATGTATTTTTCTAATCCTTCAAAAGGAATAAAATGAATTCAAAACCTTTTGAAATGAGATATTTAATAGCTTCGGACTGGAGCGTTGAATCTTTCACCTGGAAGGGTCCAGAAAAACTTCGTGGCTACGAAAAGTTTTTCGGGTCTTTCGAGAAACGCAAGAATTGTTTTCTTTCTTTCGCTTTTCATGCAAATTCTGGGGGGAGAGTTATTGTTTATACCTCCAATACAATGGCTACCTTGTCACACGGTTGCAAACCTAGAGATCTGAGAAAACTGTGTTCCTTTAATTTATGCGCTTTGCGCTGTTATTATCTACAACAATCATACAATTTTGATCGGCACGGTATTCCTCCAAGTTCCGCATATGCAACTAATGAATCAGCCATTCCAAGTAAACATCCAACCATATAATTTCTCTAGAAACATGTATCCTCGAAGAGGTTCGAGAAATTTGTTGGAATTTGGTAAAAAGCTTGGAAAAATCGGAGTAAATCCGGTAAGGGGAGGTCTGTTTTTGTTCGAAAGAAGAATATTGAGGGTTCAAGAATTCAGTATTATATTGTACTTCCTTTTTTTGTTTTTTTGCTTTTTTTACAGTACTTTCATGTATGATAAAGTTCTTCTAGGGATGTGGCAATTAACGCTTTCAGCTTGCACTAGTTTCGCGAGGTAGAACTGAGAGGGATCTTAGAAATGATCTAAACAAATAAATAACATCAACTAAAATTATCATCAACTGGTAAAAATTTCTTTCCTCAGATATGTACACGAACGTGACGTTCGGTACTTGATAGGAAATGTAAGCTGCAGTCCACAATTTTGTTTAGTGCGCGTAGACATTTTCAACGTTCTTGCTATGTTAGTTTTCTTACAATATACATAAAATTATAATGTCATAAAAATAATAATTCCATATCATTACTGGGAAAGCTTTTTTTAAGGAATTCAGCAGATAAGACAGAAAAGAACCGATAAGCCGCATTTGTGTGCAACTAAAATGAGCCAAAAAAGTGAGCTAAAATGAAAAAGAATCGGACAGTCCTGACCTACCGAACGAAGTTTCCTGACGCCATGATTTGCTACGTGTGGGTTCATGAAAGTCTTCCGAAAGGTTACTTAAGTCAATAAGGAATTTGTCTGTGTTGAAGTTAAAATAAAAAAGGGACTTTAGAGGCAAACGTTTTTGTTTGCACAGGTGAAACGACTTGTTTGAAACACCGTCGCACCGCCATCCCACTCTTGAGTACAGAATAACAACAGCTGAAGTAAAACTAATTAGGCTCGGTTTAAACGACGAACCTTTCAACCGTTTATATGGCACATGAAAACTGTTTCACCTTTGCTTATAAAATAAATTTGACAAATTTCATTTTGGTTGACCGGCTCAGTCACACAAGAGAACCTGTTTCACCTTTGCTTATAAAGTAAATTTGACAAATTTCATTTTGGTTGACCGGCTCATGCCCAGTCACACAAGAAAACCTATTAAGACTGGTTTCTTGTCTTTATTCATCGAATAACACGACATATCAGATGTTATAGTGAAATGACAAAAAGCAAGCCCAAAATACAGTTGTAAGCAGGTGAACTAAATTCTAAAATTTCTAAATGAATCTAATATTTATACAGGTAGGATATATTGATATGATCGGTATGATCGCTGAAGAACGTCCAGCAAGCTGCAACGTATAGTATAGATCGTTACGATACATGGAAACCAACCTTAACCCTATCTCATCCTTTTGTGAAATTTTATTTTCAACATTCCTAGCGATAACAGCGTTATCAAAGCAACGATATTAGAACCCGGATAAAAGCAAAATAAAAGAAAATACCAAATTTCATGTTGTAAAATATTGAAAAAAAATAATACCATGTAATATTACAGCTGGAGAGGTTTTGAATGCTCACGCCATGAATTTTCATCAGTTCACAGTCTCAAAAGATAGATATACACATATTAAATAAATAATACCATGTAAAAGAACTACTGAAGAGGTTTCATTTGAATGGTCACACCATAAAATTTCATGCACACTTTCAAAAGTTAGAACTTTTTTGTGCTCCATGATTGACTCTGACATTGAAAGCGTTGGCGTAAAATTTCGAAACAGACGTCGGGCATTTAGTGCAAAAAAATATTTTAACTTATTTCCCGCCCACAATTTTCGTTGTCGCTTTTCATTGGATACATCCAAATCAACTTGTCGTCTGAATCGGCGTCGAAATCAATTTAATTAACCTTGCCGCCCGTTAAATAGAATGGATCCTCTCCCAGCTGGACAAGAAATTTGACGTCCTAATCATCGTGGTCAAACTTTAACTCATTTGGGTCATCCGCCATGTTAGACTAGCTTTTAATATCATTCCTTTTGGGCCGTTTAATTGGATGTAAGAGTAATTCGTGGGCCGACCCAAGTAAGAGTTTTCTTCAGCATATGAAAAGTTTCGACGTTTGAAACGGAAAGTTGAGTACGAATCACGAAATTCCTTAACTCTGATAACTTGTTTAAAAGAAAAAGGACTATCTAGTGTGACGCATTTTACAAATTATTTAGCGCCAACCGTACAATCGACATTAAATGCCTAGATTTCAGATTCAGATTATTTTTTGCAATATTACGAGAGATTACTACATAGATTACAATACATTACAAAAGCACAAAAACAAGAACAACAGATTACACAAATCACGATCAAAGGTGAAATGTGCGCAGTGACCAAAGGAGCTTAGGCTTTCGAGTTAATCAATGCCACGTGCAATCAATTGGCATATACATTTACATAAAAACTACAAGTAACCTACAACGGGGAAAGGAAAAATAAAGAGCAAGAAGTCGTACTTACGATTTTATATAAAAACAATTATAACAATCTTTATGATTATTGGTAGTGATCGAGGGCATAGAAATCAAAAGTTTGTATTGCTAATAGCAGTTGTTTTATACGGTGACCCAGAAGGGTCACACATACAAATTAAAAATGTTGCTGCAAACTAAAGATTTTACCAGCAAATTAAAAATGTTGCTGCAAATTAAAAATATTACAAACATGAAACATGAATGGGAAGACGGCTGTAAGGCCAGGTCGCACGGCTCGGACCAGGTCTTCATCACTCATACTGCACGCGCAGGACTTTTCATTTTTAATTTGCATCGATATGTCTTCTATTTTCAGTTTGCAGGTAATATTTTTAGTTTGCATGTACTATATTTAATTTGCAGGTAACATTTTTAGTTTGCATGTACAATTTTTAATTTGCATGTACTATTTGTAATTTGCATGTGTGACCCTTCTGGGCCACCGTAGTTTTAAGATAGCTTTAAACTGCGTTATTCAAAAACACGCGAATTTTGAAGTTCAAAAGCCAACTGACGTTTGCTTTCTCCGCTGAGATCAATCATCTTAGCGAACCTCTTGAGAAACAGAGGTTTACTTCAGCGGGTTCAATGACGTTTGAGAAACGAGCGCAGAAATTCCTGGATTCCAGATCTGGGTAGTGCTTCTGATTGGTTGAATCAAATTTCCCACGCGGCACGACCAATCAGAAGCACTACCCAGATCTGGGTAGTGACGCGTCATCAGTATGGAATCTCTGCGTTCTTTTGTCAGACGTTATTTGGCGGGGAAACCAGTGGTAGCGTCGCCAAATGTCGGCTGTTCTCTCAGGCTATTCAAAAGGTCAGACTGGACGCTGGACGCCGCCTACTGTTTCAAGGTTCGTGCTTGTGATCGTAATTATGATTGAGGGCAGCAAAAAACGCAACTGTGAGGGCGGCTTTTATACCTTAGAGTTCGCGTGTTTTTGAAAAGCGCAGTAAATTCCTTAGCTTTAAATGGCGCTTTCTACTATCACTAAAAAAAGGTTTTGTCACCTTAGACCCCCTGCGTGACTCTGACAAACTTTTCATTGTACACCAAGGCTTTGTCAGGGTCGGCCGGGGGCAGGGGGTAGTGGTATACCAGTATACCCGAAGAAAAAAATTCGCCAAAATACCCAAAATTCATCCAAATATACCCAAAATTATACTCAGGTATACTTTATACCTGAAATTCAAAGAAAGTGATATACCGAATACCCGTTTTTAAGCTGCAATATACCGTATACCTGATTTAAAAAGCCCCTGTATACCGTATACCCAAAAACCCTGGCCGACCCTGCTTTGTATGGGAAACATACGTTTCCGACATGAAAATTGTTCATAAAATTCGCAGTGAGCGTTTTTAAAATGTTTTTTAAGCATAATTCCAATATATAAAAGGTCCAGTAACTCAAATAAATGATTAAAATCAGAAAATAAAGCGACTCGATCAAAGAAGGCTACTAAAACTCTGTGTCTTAGGCAGAAAGCACCGCTATGCACTGAAACATGACATAACATTATCAGCTGTAAAATACTCCAAAACCGAAATTGCTAGAGGAAAAATCGAGTTTGGATGTGCTTCTCCGAAGCCTGTGACAGAATATTTAAGGTGAAAAGCACACCAATATTAGCACACACCGGAAATTGCATAAGTTTGTTCTGTATGTTGTGCGGCCAGGTAGACCCCCCGGGGGGGGGTACTTTAGGGATTTCTGGGTGGGGATGTGCCGCTGGGACCCTGGAACCCTTAACCTATACCAGAGCTACAATCTTGGACAAAATAAATGGAAAACCTAGACCCCCCATCCCCCCCAAATCAAGGATGGGAAAATGGCGCGTTTTTGCCCTTCGCGCGGCTTCATCCTTGATTTGGGGGGGATGGGGGTTTGCTGTTCCATTTTATTTTGTCCAAGATTGCAATCTTGGACAAAATAAATGGAAAACCTAGACCCCCCCTCCCCCCCAAATCAAGGATGGGAAAATGGCGCGTTTTTGCCCTTCGCGCGGCTTCATCCTTGATTTGGGGGGGATGGGGGTTTGCTGTTCCATTTTATTTTGTCCAAGATTGCAGTTTAGCTGAATTTTGCTACCCTATACTAGAGTAAACTCCCCAAATCCCCCTATCCTAGAGTAGCTGTTTCCCTTGTCTAAGTAAAATCTTCAACCAACTGATCAGTTTCCTGAAAAATGATACCCTATTCTAGACCCAAACGCTCTGAATTATATACCCTACCCTAGAGTAAACTGCCTGAAAACCATACCCTTCCCAGCGGCACATACCTATATAGCCCATATATGGCAGTACCCCCCCCCCCCGGGGGGTAGACCATATGAATCCGGGACGAATACTTTAGTACTTTATATCCTGTAGTACTAAGTAGCGTAACATAAGCACTCGCAAAAATAATTAGGCAACCTTTGCCTATAAATTTAACCAAATGCACCGTTTCACGCACAGTTATGAAGCCCTGCTCTCCACACATTTTAACATAATTTTACTCACAGCATGACGCCGCATAAGAAATAAAACCACTCATCTGTACAGTTTTTTCCACGTTTAACGCTGTCTTGGCACGCGTTGATTATTTTCAGGATATTTTTTATCGAAACCAAGCTGCATTTTGTTTCCTTTAACGATAAACATCTTCAAAGACGACGAAAATTTGTTGCCGAACGTGACTTTCCCATACCAAACTCTTACACTGGTCAGGTTTAATGTCTGAGTCACAGCAGGGACCAGAAAATTGAGACGTCATTAGCAGAAAGAGCTATTCGGAGGGAATGGCCGGTTTCCCAAATTTTAGATCCAACAAAAGCAAAAGTGGCAGCTTCACCACTATTGCTTATATTTGGCCGATGAAAATTAGCCAAGGGTTGCTTACAAATCTGGTGTTGTAACAGTGAATCGCAGAGGCAACGGTAAGGGTTCCGTTGAATAGATTCCAACTTGACGTAAAAGTGAAATGCAACAACCACGGACCTTTCTAAAGCATTTTCTACCTAACGAAATTCTTCTTTTAGTCCTCAAAAGGAAATTCGTACGTATTACTGTCTACTCTTCTCAAATTCAAGGGCCATTTGTTATCGCCAAGCTCGCCACTATCACGTGACCACCAACTGTCGAAAACTACAACTTACTGTTGATAGTTTCAGAAATTTCAAAGAAGTAACTACTCCGGAAAAGAGTGAAAGAGTGACATTGATTTGGGCTGTTAAAGAAAATAGGCATCACTATTGACCGTGAAATGATTAAATTCGTGGAATCGTAATGACGTTTGGACGAAGTGTAACATGTAAACAGTTCGCAAGGTTCGAACTGGAGGAAAAAACGATCACTTCAACTAAGAAAAACTTCAAAGAAGAGAAAACCTGATTTAATATATGCAATAACTAATGCCGTGTGAGAAACGTCATAAAGAAAACTTTAAGGTAACTAAGATCAATGCTCACCTCGGAAGTGTCCCAGTGATGGCAACATTCGAAGACAAATTCAAAACCTCGGTGGACCAAATTTCTTTTTTTTATGGCAGCATTGTATTAGAATGTTTTAACTGATTCGATGAAGACAATGTGAAGACGTTTACCTTAAAAATCATAAAATACACAGAAAAGTATCAATATTACTTAACATGCGTCCGTAAGCAGACCACTGAAGACTGTTTCGTGAAGTGCACTCACCAACACACCTGCTCATTTTTATTAAAAGGAGAAATTTAACCGCAGACACAACAGGGAAACTCGTGATTAGCATTGCTAAAATATAAAATAAACACACGGTCTGCAATAAAATGATGAAAAATTTCAGTGAAGGACAACTACGAAATATAATCGCCTTATTTCAATACGGATAAGCCTGGAAAATGCTCATAGGAAAGGTGGTTTCCATATAACATTCAAAAAGGGTATAGCTATAAAGAAAGTTAACATATACTGGCACTTCAACGCTCAAAACAGCTGCCGCACTTTTTGTCGGGTAGTTTAGTTTGCCAGAACCAATGACAATGACAGCTTTTGACAGCAATATGCGTGTGCTCTGGCAGATTTAGCAAATGTGTTTCTGTCGATTATTAAACTTCAGGATCCGGTTGTTCAAACGTTGGATAGCGATATCCACCTAGCCTGCGTAGCAAGCGTTTCCGTGCGAGCTGGTCGAGAAAGTTAAGACGAGAGCAAAAAAAAGCACCTTTTTTTTGGCTCCCGCTATAACATTCGCGCAATAAACAATAATAATCGAATAAATCGATTGGAAACGCTTGCTACGCAGGCTAATAGACCAGTTGCGTTATCCACTGGATAGATCTTCATCCGGCGGATAGCGTTATCCACCTTTCGAACAACTGGGGCCAGGCGATTAGCTGTTAACAGTGGGTGGTGGAAATTTGGAACCCTTTCGGAAAGGATCGGATGTTTAATATGACTAAACTGGGTAACGGAGACTGGGGAACGGGAGAAAGAGGACGGTGAACGTGAAAATAAAAATTGGGAATAAAACCTAACTTAACCCTTTACACCCTAAGAGATCAAAATTTGAATTCTCATTTGTTGCCCCTATTCACTTTCTACAGAGGTAGTGGGGAGAAGTTGATAAAATATCAAGCAAATTCATCTTGTGTGATCATGTCCGTAATTCTCATGACCACTCTGTTTTACAAAGCATTGATATTACAAGGAGAAATTTGATGCTGGTCACTCTAAGGGTTTAAAGAGTTAAACCCTAGCCCTAACAGTAACTTCATTTTCAATTCTCTGCTTTTTTCCCACTTTCATTTTCCCATTCCCTTTGCTTATTGCCCGCTCCCCGTTCCTCGTTTTAGTAACATCCCTTCCGAAACCGACCAAACATTACATATTTTAATGAAACCTCAATTGCCTATCTTCAGCTTACTCCGATGACTGGAAGGAGCGGCCACCATCCATGCGCTAAATGTGGGTATTACTGAGATATCTCCGTTGTTGTTAATTGTTTTGTTTTTTTGAGTCGCTCGCCAAGAGTTTCATTTGTTTCGATAGATTCAATGTTGAATTATGGCTCATCCTGTCGTGTCGGGAGTTCTTATATCAAATATGAAATTACTGCAAAGTTTTTCTATAAGAAAATAGTATTCAATAAGCTACAAAAGTTTCAGACGAAAAACTATAACGGGTACCTGTCAGAGTACAGAAATAAAAAAAAAAGTAATCTTGTAACTTTATCGCGCTGTTGATACAAAAAGTGTGAATACATTAAAGGGAAATAATTGTGAAAAAAGAGAGCACAGTCACTCAGAAATAGCAAAAGCTAATCGCGCTGAGTGGCTGGGGAACGAGATTGGGAAACCGGGACTACAGGAACGAAAGCAAAGTGAAAGAACTGCGCCGTTCCTTTAAGCAAATTTGAAGCTAGGCAGTCGAAGCGAGCAAGCAGACTGACGCTTTCCCACAGAAACAGAGATGTGAAGTGCGGTAGACAGGATACATATAGGTGTAAAGATAGAAAAAAGATACTATGTCGTCACCGATAATGAACAAGTTCGATGCACAAGTATGAATATATAATATATACATATTTCCGGCGTTTAAGTGGATACAAATTAGCCGGAAATAAAATATTTCTGCGGCATGTGAGCAGAGGGGACTGGGGCGGTTTCAGTTGAAGTGCAGCATGGGTAGAATGGAGTGTTTTTAAAAGGGATACTCATCACGTGGGAAAGCATTCTAGGCCGACACCTCGTTTAGCCTGTGTTATTTTTTATTTGCTTATTTATTTATTTACTTTCAATTTATTTAATTTATTATTTATTTTATTTATTAAGTGACAGATCGAGTTCGGGAGGGTTTTAGCTTGTTTTCGTTATTTTTTGTCTGTTTTCGAATAATAAAAACCCGCGTATAAGAACCTAACATTTAAGAACCTGTTCAAAATTTCGTTTTTAAGCTTTGAGAACCATTTTGGAAAATAAAACAGGTTCTTACTTATATATATATATATATATATATAACACAGTCTGGACAAACACTACAACATGGTTACCTTTTACCATAGGTTTGATTGTAACAGAATCAGATTAAAATAGTATAGTATTTTGCGTAACGAAGCCTCCAAGAATACTGTTTTTGGACATTAAACACCAGATTATTTAAAAATTCAGCATTATTTCTTGAACAAAAGTTAAGAACCTAATTAAGAACCTATGGATTTTACCTAAATACCATTTATATAAGAACCTGTTTATTTTCTTATACGCCGACTTTTTTGAGTTCACCGTGCTTTGTTGGAATACATGGGTTTTTCCTTGTTTCGTAGGATGGGCTTTTCCATGGATCCTACCGAGATTTCCCGCCGACTTTTTTCCCTAAGGGTTTTTTGTTCGGCAGGTTTTTCTTGCCTGCGTTCTGACAGTATTCTTCGTAAACTCGCTCAGCTATGTTCTACTTTATCTACCACATTTTTTACTGTCATAGAAGTTGTAGTATAACATATTCTTTTTCTCTTGGTGCTCGGCCGAAACAGCCAAAATAAACCCAATGGTTTTTCGATTCATGTTGTACTGGGTAGTGGTGCCAAACTGTGGAATGCTTTTCACCGCCGGACAATATGCATAGATGTTCCGACTAGGTTTGCGTTGTATTAGACAATTTAGCAAGTTGAGAAAGTAGTACACAGCGCATGTTGTTGCCCCTTTTTTAAGCCGTGATCCCCCTCTACAGACTTTGGTCTTTGCCAGCCTCAGTATCCGACACGGGATAAGGATTCACAGTAAAGTTTGGCTTTTATCAACTTAGTTGATAAAATAAAATCAGTAGACCTGCACCGTTCTAAACCTCCTATTTCACTGGTCCCTTTAATCTGATTGTTTTCCCAGCTGATCAAAAACAATCTTTCAAATGGGTGCGGGATCGTCCAATAAAATGGCCACCACAGCTAGGGGGAGTTTCCAGCGCTAACCTTTCGTCAGAACGAATCAGGGGATTGTCAGATTGTGGATTGTGTACCGGTTTATATACCGGATGTTGGAGCTATCATATATTGGTTGGAAAGTGGTAACGTGATAAAACAGGAATGAATTAGTTAAATGAGTGAAAAGCGTTCGATGATGCCCGGGAGATTAAAAATGCCGATTTGAAAAATACGATTTTCCTACAGTTTTATTTTTATTTTTTGCGGCTTCGGGTGTCGCCATGGTGAATGTCGAGACCGCAGACTGCCATGTTTCAGCTGGAATGACTGGCGATATTCAAATGGCGAGCTAATGGCTGGCGCTCAGCTTCCTTATCCCCCTATGGAGTCCAGTCTGCTAGTTTTTGTATTTTACTCCCTCACCAAAGTAACACTACAGTTTCTTTCGATACAACCCTTCACTGGTCTCCATCAGAATGGCTGCTTGTGGAGAGAAATAGGCAGCTGTTGTAGGTATAAAACAAGGGTAAAAGTATCCGCCGGGAAAACAAAGTGGCCTTTGTGAACAGGTGGTCGTTGTAGAGAGGTTCTCGTTGTTTCTCTTTGGATGACACCGTTCCGCGAAGCATTTGAGCACTTAAAGGAAACCCAAAACACAGTAACTGTCATAAAGTGGTTAGATAGAGAACAGGATTGGCCTAAGCATTGGCACTTAGTGTGTTGGTAAACGATCTTTATTTTTACAAGAGAACACTCAACTTTGTTAGTTAAAATAAATTGTGACAGTCCTCAGAAAAATTGAAAATAAAATTTAAAAAAACATTTAGGGTGAACTCTCAATCTCTTAGACTACACCTATCGCAAACCTCTCAGAGATGAAAAAAATGTTTATCTTGTATATTTTTGTAAATATATTTTTTTACACCTAATAGTTTTCTCTAACTCCCTCAAACTTGCCCTTTGCATATATTGTTTTCTTCCACAGTGTGAGGCAGTTCGTAAGAGAGGAATACGGTATCAGTACATAGTTGACGGGATAAAAACATTGCCTAGTGCTTGACAATATCGTCCATTTTTACATTGAGGTGAAACTAAAACAAGACAACGTAAATTCTATTTACAATAACACTGAAGTTGGGAATTTTGAATACTTTTTGCTAATTGTACTTCTCTGTGCTCCAAATGGAGCTCATCAAGGCAGGCTACTATTATATTCGTACTGCTTAGAAGATATCATCAACCTTTAACTAACAAAACGTAGCCTGAGCGTTACAAGGCGGTTTCAACTGATTGGCCTTCCGCTGGTAATCGAGCCTCCTCATTCAACGCTATTTTGCCTATGACACTAAGGCAATTCGTTTTGACGTATTTACAAATCAAAATAAAAATCAACTGACTTCCATGCTTTACAGCGCCATTCTATATTATTAGAGGCTGTCAGTTGCCTCTTATCTCTCGGACGTGGATGAGCGAGGAGGTTGAGGCCAACTACCCGACCCCGTCCACCCACTCAAGTCACTTAAAGCCGGAGCCAAATGTCTGTACCAAGGTGGTTTTGGAGACCGTTTTGTAACGGAAACCATTTCTAACATATTAACCACGACAGTAATCATTGCAGTAAAAAACTCAAACTCTAACGTTCGGAAAACTAGAGATTCATTTTCTTATTGGAGATCCGTCGCACAAATCTCACGGTAGTACCAAATTAGTATTATTTGGAATAATAATAACGATGATGATGATGATGATGATGATGATGATGATGATGATGATGATGATGATGATGATCACGATGATAATGATAAACCACGGCATACTACGCGCTATTCAACGCAAACTAGTAAGAACCCGCAAGTGAGAGACTAGTTTTTCAGCACCTGTTCGGCTAAAATTTTCCAGTTAGACCCCCGTTGCACGGGAACCTGTTTAGCCTTTACAACTGAAAGTTTTACGGATTTCATACACCCAGCTTTTAACATCTTTCAATGGTATGCAATGAAATAAAAACTGATAAGAGTAAGACGCTTTTGATGAACTGCGGATTTTGGGGGACAAATGAAAGCCACGGATTACAAGTTATAAACCATACAAAAACAAGCGATAAACAATGCAACCACTTGCGCTAACTATATAGAAGCGTAGCTTAAGAGCTTCCCTTCATTGTCCCAGATCCTTGCGGAGAGCTGTGTGTTCAACAACAAGGTCTGGACAGTTTGAAGTAAAAGGACACATATTGAAATGAATGGGTTGGTTATAATACACAGAGTGGAATGTTCATTAAGCAACGTATGCAAGTCTCGACGCTTTTGAAGAGCACACTACCATATTTCGATTGAAAAATCATCTGTATATCTTTCGTCGTAAAAGTTCACAACGATCAACGTGAAAACATGAGTTGTTCCACATAGCCGCAAATCAGGTGACGACTTCTGGGCGACTTGTGCAGTACAACCTGCTTGCTTGCTTCTCCTGACAGCATTCAGATTCTCTTGAGGAAGATCCCACGGGTAATGTTTTAAGAGGGGAAAAAGCCATCTTGAGCATTTCTTAGAAAGCCCATATGCATTAAGAAATCCCTACCATCCCCCAAAATATGCCAAGTATTTCGGTAAATCAGATTTATCTTCTGCGTTGTGATGGATGTCGATGAAGGACTCGGAAATTCATGCATTGGTCATACTGATGTTTGATTTAACAGAGCTGTGGTTTCGTCCTCAATCGTCACTTTGTGCATATTTTTCTTCATAGGGCAGGGTGAAATATTCTTCCCTCCTCGGCGCATTGAGTCTTGTCTTTTGAGGTTCAGTGAACTGTTGGAACCGAAATGATGGCCTGGAGTTTGGAGGTAGTTCACTAGCGGGGTACCATTTGGATGAAGGAGCTTGTTCACTTTACCGCTTAGCCGTGGAACAGCACTTATCAGCCAGTACGTCTTCCACGTGCCTTTTCCCTGCAAAAATAAATTTTTACGGAAAAGTTCTAAATTTGCAACTGCACTGTCCACTCAGACTGGCTTTGCGATAACGGCTATGTTTGTTTTTGGGTAAAACGCTTGTTCGAGTTTTCTGTACGTGTGGGTGAATGAAAAAAAAAAACAAAGACGATAAACATTACACACCTTTAAAAACACTTCTCCCCTTTCCTCAACTTCGAAGCCGCCGAGGTCATCAAGAATTTCTTTTGTTGCCTCACTGATGTGTATGCGGAGAGCTATAACAAAACAACAAAGCACTAACTATATTGAACGTTCGCTACAAAAGAGTGAGGTGGTTTTACGACGATCCATGGTACAAACCTTCTCCATTAGATTCCATTCTTGAAGCAGTGTTAACTGTGTCACCAAATAAACAGTAACGAGGCATCGTGTTCCCGACCACACCCGCCACACAAGGACCTGCAAGGGAAAAACACACACCCACTGGTATGAGAAAGTGTAATGACTTTACTAGTGCGTTCCACTCAAGGATGCGCAACTTCACCCAACGTCTCGCCCCATGTAAAGAAATCTAAGACAGTCTTGCATTCTGGATTTCACGCCGTGGATTCTGGATTCCAAGTAGTGAATCCCAACTCTCAGTGGAACAGTTTAAATTCCCGATTCCAATCGTTAGTGGGATTCCGGATTCCTTGAGCTGTATTCCGGATTCCAAAGCCCAGAATTCCAGATTCCACGAGAAAAATTTTCCCGGATTCTGGAATCCGCATTCCCTTACATGGGGCGAAACGTCATTCACGTGGTACAAAACCGCCATGCTAGAGAGCAAGACACGCACTGGGACAAGACAAAAGAGCTCACATCATTTAAAATGGTTATTTCCTTTGTGTTTCTTTTCCCACTGCGTCTTCAGCGTGGCGGTTTTGTACCACGTGAAGCACTAGCTGGAAAGGGCCTATTGCTACACGTAAGTTACCGCTATGAAGTCCAACTCTGAGTTTCAGTTGATGATCCGGTTTGTGACGAACTTTGAAGTCTTTCTTCACAGCTTCTACCAAGTGTAACGCCATCCGGGATATCTCACCAGCGTGCTCATGGCCGTTCCTGATTGGTAATCCAGATACAACCATGTAGGCGTCACCAATTGTCTCAACCTTAAATAGCAATAGAAACATAAAGCAGATTAACTTGGAGGGAAGCAACTGGATATGCTTCAACTGATGACAACACTAATGAACAACTTTGAGCCATTCAATCCTATAAAGCCCTGTGTTTGTGAAAATTTCCGTTATGAAGATTACTAAGGAAAAAAACGTGAGGAACGAATTGCTGAACTAGCTGTTTGCCATTTTTTGGGCTGAAATAAGCGCGTTATAAGGGTTCCTGGCGTGAGAAAATACCCGCATTTCACGACGTCACCACTGGTTTCCCCGCAAAATGACGTATGAGACACCAGCACAGAAATTCCATACTCGGGACATGTCACTACACAGGTCTGAGTAATACTTCTGAAGGGTCGTGCCGCGAGGGAAATTTACGTCAACCAATCAGAAGCACTTTTCTCTGGATAATAAGCCACCAGATCAATTCGGGAAATATGGAAGAACGAGGGTGATAAGTGAGTGGTACAACTCTCCCCAGTTACTATGAGTATACAAGGACTGTAAATCCAGAGGGTACAACATGCGATGTTCCTGCCCAAATCGCACTGAAAAAAAGCTTCGAGGGTGCTGGAGTACAGCACCGTCATAAAATCATTGCTTTCTTGCAAGCGACAATAAGTAAAGCCTGAAAGAGATAACTAACGAGGAAAGAAGTCCTACGTCATCAGCTGTGTTTCAACCACTTACTTTGTACACGTCATATTCTTGGATGATGTCATCAAACAGTGTATAAAGATCGTTGAGAAGGGTAACAACCTGCAATAAATAAAAACGTTTCAGTTCAGATGTCTAAATATTTGGAAAGTGGTCAAACCAAGTGTACTCGGGGAGGATCCACCTTGGGAAGACTATGCAAGACATCTCGAAATGTTTTGAGAAAAAGAAATTTGCCTTGCCAGTTACAGGGGTCGAAGAAAACTCTTTGCTTGCAGGGGGCCACTTCTTGCTTACGGGGTTTGTACCCTTTTTTGAACAAAAAATTCAAGGACTTTTTGAGGACCTTCAAGGACACATTTAGCATTTTTAAAGGACTCCATTCAGTGCAAAAAAGAGCCTGGAGTCTATGTCTTTTTTAGTTCTTCCACAACATGAGAAATTTTATCCCGAAGGTCTTTCCGTGTTTGCTTCTTTTCCTTTGCAGTTCTCCTTAAACTATTAATTTAGCATTGAAATTCAAGGACTTTCCAGCACCGACTGCAATTTGCAAGGATTTTCAAGGTGAGTGTGAACCCTCGCTTAAGTAATGATTTTATTAGAGGGTGACTTGCCTGGACTCCTGCCCATTGGGTAAGTAAGCTTTAAATGTTACTTGCCCAGCAAGAAAATCTACTTGTCCCGGACTACCTGACGGGACTTTTTCCTAGCCCTTCAGACAAACAGCACGGGAACGTTTTCTAGCCTCCTGCTTAACAGGGCTTATTTTGGTTGGACCTACTCCCCCAGAAATTGCAAGTCTAGTATACTCGAGTGATTGACAGAGGGCAAATAGACACCATCTTTTTATTTTTACAATGGCGGGAAAAGGAGTATACAAGTGGCAAAAACACCACAAGTCTTCCCGTTAAGCGGTGGGAACAACCTGAAGACAACAGTTTTTACCACTTCTCCTGATGCCACAAGGAACGCAACATGTGATAAAATGCGACAATGTTGTACCTGCATTGGTGTACTCCCCGATGACAGACTAGTAAATCCTACAATATCGCTGAAGTAAATTGACACTTCATGGAAGCTCTCTGCTTCAACTGTCTGTCCTTTTTTCAACTGCTCAGCTACAGGTCTGTAAAGCACGCAAAAGCAGAAAGAAATTAAGGGTGCTCTTCTTACCACGCAATGAACTGGAATATGAAATGAGTTTGAAAGAAACAAAACTCACCCTAAAAAAGGACTATCTGTCTACCTCATCTACCAGATGTGATGCATATGTATACCTTGCACTAGTTCTTCCTTTTCTCTATCAGTACAAGGACGATTCATTCTCACTTGATTTCCGACATCAAAAGAGTGCTATTAAAAAAAACCGTGATAGTGCAAAGGAAAACGATTTTTCACAATATCGCTGTTGTCTAGCAATCGCAACAATCGACTTGACCAGTCAACGACATGGCGAGAAGGTAGAGCTTCCAGTCCCGACACCAAGGTACCGTTCGTTGTGGTGAGGAGTCGGGTAAATCAGAAAAACGTGATTATTGATAACGATAATCATGAATACCGCATTCGCGATAAGCTCATAAACTGGTTACTTGGGCTTCCTGTGGAATTCGCAGGTCTAAATAGTACAGCTTTCTTTTTCACTGAGCCTCAGACCTGTTATCGGACTTTAATGGCGTATGCCATGAGCCGCTGAGTCAAGACGAGCTCAAATTTCGAATTGACCAGCGGTTTCCGTTGAAATAAGAGTTTGGCGAGGGGTGAGTAGGTGGGAGGGAGAGCTCACTCTTACGAGTTCATATTAGTTAAGAATTGAATCCCCAACTATGCACATGTTTTCACTGCACAGTATTGACATATTCTCACTAAACAAAATAAAAATAGGCTCTAAGCCAACAACGACCTCTGCTCCAAAGTTCCTTCTAAATTTTCTACGCCGACGAACCCCAGGTAAACGCAATAACAGAAACTTGTCAACTTGGCTGTGATATCTGATGCCTGCAAACAAGACTGTCAACTAAAAACTGCAACGTGTCTCAGTCCCGGTTTTATGGTTTTCGAGTCGGTCTCCCTACTTCCTATTGGTGCACTTCTCTCTACCTTCCTATCTGCATTTACTTATTTATTTATTTATTTATTTATTTATTCATTTATTTATTATTCTTAATAATGAAAGAAAGAAACCTTGGTAGCATCCTTTCCAAGAGAGCGTCTGTCTTTTTCTTCTCCTCGATCAGTTGACCGGTTCTTTCCATGACCAGTTCCTCCAGATTATCCGCATACTTCTCCATCATGTAGACTATGTTATCAAAGATGTTGGTTTTCCTTTGGAGAGAAACAACAGAAACGAAGTCTTGAAATCACTCAGAATATCTCAAACCTTGGAATTGAGCCTTTTAAATGGTACAGTTTATAACTGAACATAATTTCTCGCTTTACCTGCACTTCAATAAACAAGCAGTCTTAACCCTTTTTACCCAATATCCCCATGGGGGATTCTCCAAACTGATCTCTATAACCCGCCTTAAGGAATAACCCGAATTTCCATAAGATCAAAAGCATTTTCAATTTGATCATTTTATTAACTCTCGTAACCATTTCTCTTGGTAACATATGGATATTGTTAGGAGAAAATTGATCTTGGTCACTATTGGGACTTACAGGGTTAATCAAGTTTAAAAATCTGTTTAGCCAACTGGTTAAAGCCCTGCTGCAACAGGCAGGTCATCTTGTGCAACGCTTGCAGCAACTAAAACGTCGCAGAACCTGTACACCGCATGAGTATTACATACGCAATTTCATAGATATGGACTCTAAAAACAAGGTAACCACACTTCACTGCGAAAAGAAAAATGACAACAAAAACAACACATTTAAAGTCGATAGGTACTTACATTCCGTTATTGACTAGCACCTTGTGCATGGTCTTCTTGATCTCATGGAAATCTGGTCTTTCATCCGGGTTCTCAACCCAGCACTGTTTCATGACTTCCCGGATCTCCTCAAGGCCTGCTATCAGTGTTGTGACTGTTGGCCGAAATGGTGGGAACTCTGCTTCTTTAACTCTACGCATGATGTCTACAGAGATCAAAATAAATAATTTTAAACAATTCATACGAATGAAATAGCACGTGAACAATAATAGAGCAGTGATTTTGTTACAAATAGTTATGGTGGGTGCTGGAACTCAGCTTCTGAAAAATCATTAGTCCCAGTCAAGAACTATTAAGTCCCAGTTAAAAAACACGAGTCCCTGGGTCTTTATGTAACCACACAGTTAATCTTTAAGACAGACTCCAAAACTCTGTATTACAGTTTACTGAAAAAAAAATATACTCCTTCTATTGTGAAGAACAACAAAGACTAAAACAAATATGCGCCGTTAAACAACAGCCACAAGAACAGCCACAGAAATCGCACAACACGAACAGGATATTCTACGCGACGCATACCACAAATTATTTTGCGTCTTTGAGGATTTTTATGCGTCAGGGACGCACGACGCAAAGGTGAAAAAATCACCGATATAAGAATAATTTTACCTAGCTCGTGAAACAGATACTAACAACTCATGCCAAATAGTTACAAGTGAACAAAACAAGACAATGGAATTGGTTCACAATTGTACGTGGTAGTCTTCTACTTTCACGGGTTACGTAGCGTCAGTACCCTGTCGTTTTCTTATCAGTGATGTCGTCAGCTGGAAATACTCTAAACAGATTCTTACACGGTGTTAAAGACGTTGTGATTCATCCAGAAAAAAGGGGAACGTTATCAAACTAAATAAGACAATAGAAAACGTGTTTTTGAAACAGCAAGAAACGCTCGCTCGCATCTAGATCAGGAATCTGTGTATGGGTCAACTTAAGTGAATTGACGCGAATATCCAATCTTGCCTACAAGAAAGTCTTAGCATCCTAACTACTAATAGTAACAGACAACTTACTAAAAATCAAATCAAGATAAAGTTAAAGGCAGGAAAAAGACCTTGGCATTTCGCCAACGATCATCACCAGCAAACTACTAACAACAGAAAAGCATAGGTGACTTCCCTTTACACTAAACATTAAATTAAAAACCGAAAAAAAGTTGATGAAAACATGAGTGACCTAAAAGCCCCACTGCCACTTTAGAATTTTTTTCTTTGGCTAAGACAATTTTAAACAGCTACCAGCCTACCTTTAGGTTCCATGAAATTAGCGCTGTAAGGCCCTTCTCTGGTGTGGAATTCTTGTAAAATTATAGCAAAGCTATAGACATCACCTTTCTGGGTTCCCTTCGGAGGCCGATTAGGGATCCGCAAAAGCTCTGGAGCAACCCAGAGTAAATCTAAAATAAGATGAGGGAAAACGATGAACCAATTACACTTTAGTACCACAAGACGTCGTGAGGCATATAATTTGATTAAAAGGGTCATTAAGGAAGGAGAGCTCCTTTGCAATTGAATTTGATTAGATGTAACCACCACGAGCTTAGCGACCGAGCGGTACGCCAGCTTAGCGGTCAAGCGGTCCACAAGATTCGCGGTCAAGCGGTCTATGAGCTTAGCGACATCCAGCGGTTAATCCCATAAGTGCAGGCTCACATGGTACGTGGAAGCTTTGTACACTGCTGGGATCTTAGAGTTCTTCGTTTAGCGTTTGTGCAGCGGTCTGTGGAGCGGTTGCTTTAGCGTCTGTCCCCCACCCCCACTGTTTCATCAGTGTAACGGGTGCCTTGAATGGGGGCTCATGACTGGGTTGCGGGGCTTTGCCAGCCATGGGGGCAGTATTCCATCTAGGGGCTGGCTGGCCACAATGGAAGCCCCTAGGTATCCCAGGCACTCACCTTCCACTTAAGCGAGGCAGTTGGTTGAATCTTTTTTTCTAAGTTTTTCCTCCTTGGCATATATTGAAAGGGGACAGTCTTTCTTCTTAACTTTTTAAAAAGATACCAAATAACGTGACAGAGACTCGTTAGTGTAATGAAATCCCATTGTGTTACCTCGGTAATAGGCGTAGTCTTCCCGGTTCTTTTTTACTTTCGCTCTAAACGACGGTAGCCCATAATCTGTAATTTTCAGAACCCAGCGGCTGTCCACTAAACAATTAGATGATTTGAGATTGCCGTGAGATTTCACGTCAGTGTTGTGCATGTATGACATCCCCTAGAGGAATATAAATAACAGTTTGTAGTAACAACAACAAAACAGAGCAGTAATAATACTAGTGGCAAAAGTGGCAATACCAAGCAAAAACATTGGAAAATCACAGGATGCAACAACAACATACCTTGACTATATCTGCTATCAGTGACGCCATAAACATGTGATCCAACTTGACGTCTTCATTTTCCAAAATGTCCTGATAGAAGCAAAAATTAAAACTGCAATTACGCTAAGTGCATGACAGCCCTTTCGAACCATTTTGATTGACCGTAACAATACACGGGCCCTTGAGGCTTTCATCATGACAAACAGAGTCCTGCTCCTATAGCACATGGTGAAACTACGTTCAGGTTGAAGATCCATGGAGAAACAGGAAAACTCTGACTGGACACTCAAATGGTATTTTTCAAGCGAAAAGGAAGAGCTATCGCTCACTTATTTCTATGTGAGAAGTGGCCACCTATGGTTTCGAAAGCAGAGAAAAGAGAGCTTAAGCAAAGACGACGGACGTCAACCGGAAGCGAGTCCTCTTCCCTCTCAACACGCCTTGATGATATAAAATTTGTACTCCTTTGCTTCTTTACTCTGAAAGAGACGATTTGACTGAAAATTTTCGGCGAAACCACCGCTCAAGAATGTAAAAAGTCCACTTCTGGTTGACATGCGTCGCTTGAGCTCCCTAAACATTACTCACATCCCTCCCCCATTCCCCACCGGCGACACACACACACACACAAACACGCTCCTACAATCCATTGCGAACCAAGTTCTTGTGCCCAAGTCACCATTAGAAAACGCCTGCACTACAAGGTGCGAGTAAACGGCAACGGATTTTAATTGCTACCTGAGAGCTACGGAAAATAGAGAACTGAAAACTAATTGCGGCTGTCAGCGATACCCCAACAGAGACTCTTAGAGGTTACTGAACAGCGGCGTGACAAAAGTATTGCGTTACATCATAGAGCTTTGAATCTGAATATGTAAGGCCTTTAGCTCTTGGATGAAAGGCGAACCTAAGTCGCCTGTATCTGAACTCACATTTGACTGATACGTGTGAGCCTCAAATGCCTTTACGGCTAGTTTTCGTTAGCTGAGAAAGAGGAGACTACAATGGTTGTTACCTTGGGTTTTGGGAGTTGTAAGGACTCGTCTGGAAAGGTGTAAAACATGAAGCTGAATAGACCTATTCGGCTAACTCAATGTTGTACCCAATTCAAATCTCCCGGGGATAAGATTCTTTGTGTATTGTATTTGCATTATAATGTGGCATTCACATTTAAATGATATGGAAATTCCTGAAACAAAACGTTTTATTCCCAAAGGGTTTGAATTGGGTACAACATTGAGTTAGCCGAATAGGTCTATTAAATCCCGAATTTCAGTTTCTTAACAGCAACAATCTGACAAGCTAGTGGCTTACTGTTAATTTATGCTAACCAATGCTGCAAACGGAAACAAGACGGTGGTAAAAATTTCCTTTTATAAATTCCCGTTACCTGTAGACTTCCTCTTGAACAATACTGCATAACAATGCAAATTTCAGGTTCCACACAAGCACCAATAAATTGGTTCAAATTATCGTGTCTTATGTCGCGCATCTAAAAGACAAAAACAAGAGCTCAGTTAAGTACACAGATCTGGCCAACACAACGAACTGGGAAGCTAATGAAGCACTCAAGCTCAACATGACACTTATCAAATACCCGATATTTGGGGATTTTTTTTACCCAAATATCACTACAAATCACGCTATTACCTATACTAATATGCCATGACGCTTCCAAATTTGAATTGCTAACGGCCTTTCGTCTTATAGAGATATTTGGGCAAAACCACGGCCCAAGAATGCAAAAGGTCACCTTCCGGTTAAGGTGCGTTCCTCTTAATCGTGAACTTACGCAACAGGACTGAAGAGGGAAGAACACGGCAAACCTTGTGTGACAAGTGTGAGAATAATTTTGTTTGAAATAACTTTTCGCCAAACTTTACTTTCCTTTAAACAGATCTTTTTAGTAAAAGACCGGAAAACATTAATGTTAAGTAAAGATCACGACAAAACACGTAAGTAATAGCCCTGTCACGTTTGTCACACACGAGCATTTTGCCGTCCTCTTCTTCCTGCCGTCCTGTTGCGTTAACTCACTTATGTATGTAATAAATTTAAATTAGCATATCACGTAGATTATCATTAGTTACTAGAAATACGTGTATCGCAGAACCTCGCGAAGCTCGGGGGGAGGCCCATAAAATGCCAGGGATGGAAGGGGGAGAGAGAATTGGAGTCAATTGGGTAGCTTGGGAGGCCGAGTTTCAACAATGGCTCTAAGATTGGAAGGTAAGATGTAGTTAATCGCCTTTTGGTTGGAGTAAATTTCAACCCAGTGCTCCTTTATTAAAAAGGAGTTTCTGGTAGCCAGTGTTTCATTATTATTAATATTGTATTATTTTGCAACTTAGTGCAACACCAATAGGCCCTTTGACCGTGGTCCGGCAGTCACGCGTCCATGATTTACAGTACAGTCCCAACGCGTTTCTAGCATACCCAGGATGGTGATTTTGTATCACGTGACTAACAACCTGCCCAGCGTCCATTCCGAAACAATGCTGACAATGATTCTTCACTAACACGCAAACCATTAAACCAACACCCGGAGCCGCATTTTTGGTCATACAAACCTGTTTTAGCTCTAAAAGGACTTTCCTCGTCAGATCTATTTGTCCTTTAGGAAGTTTGGCGATTGTCACCATATTTCCCTACGGGTATAAATAGACACACTTCACAGTCAAGAAGCTAACAAGGCAGAGATAGGGTACAAACAATGGATAATAACTATACATAAATCCTATCAGAACACAGCAGAACCTGTGCCATGTCATCACGCAAAACACCTTCGATAGATTACGGAAGATCACAAATTTTGATGGTAGATTTAGGAAGATATATCATCAACAGTGAAGTTAACAATATTTTATTGGTCACAAATTTAACATTACAACGTACTCAACTGTTAGTAGGGTTGACCACTTGTCAAAAGTACATTACGCTCACAGATGAATCGAATAGATTTGTAGAGAAGCAAACTGTGCGATACGAACCCAAGAGCAGAATGTTCTGTAACCGTAGCAGCTCTAGGTTTGTCTATAGAGGGCTTAACTGCACCCTGCTTTAGGCGTACTCGAGAAAGACACCGCATGAATCGAGTAAGATCTTGAGAATGCGCTGCACGTTGCTAGGATACAGACTCGCACCCAGGCCTAATAACCGTGCGCTCTGTACTGCGGGCTTGATTATGACCATCAATAAATGAATGCTCGCACTCGAAAAACCAGTTTGACGAGGAAAACAAGTTTGACTAGTCCAGAATTTCGGACTGCGGCTTTTTCAGAGGCTTGATGGGATACATGCAAAGTCTCCATTTCTCACCCTCGGTCTACTCAAGACGAAGCGAAAAGACAGCTCTGCTCCCACGGTGGCTGAACTGCAGAGTGGGAGGTTACAGGCTCGATTTCCGCACTAGTCTGACCCAGGCCTCAAAATAGTAGAGAAAACTGGGGCCAGGGGGAGAAGTAAAGCCTGTAAGCATTGTTTTTACTACCTCATTCCGGTATACCAGCTCCTGGTATACCCTATGATTGGTCAATTGTAACAGTTTACTTCAACACTAACGACAATCATTTGGCTTCGCGAGCGCAGAGTCTAATAAACACGTCGTGCAAGCGAAGCCCTCCTTGACCGCACCTTTCCACGTTTTGACATTTCACAATTTGACACTAGAAACCGTTTTTCAAGAAGTGGGCGAGGAACCGGGCGGATTGAGGTATTTGAAAAGATGCTTACAGGACTCTCCCCGTTTTTCGCTCGTTCGCTATTTCACCGCTCGCTCGCTTTTTTCGCCCGTCCGCCCTGACCAAGACCCAGGGTCTAAATGTAACTCGGAGGTTCAAGCACATGGTCGAACTATGTGACGAAGGCAAACAGCATCTTACCTTATAATAACCAGCGGTTGTAACTTTACCATCACTACTTTCTTCTCTCATAAGCGGTACATTCTCGTCGTGATCATGCGTGTCTTTCTGCATGAAGAGAGAGAGTTGCAAAATTCATCAAGTCAAGTAAATTAAACAGTATATAAAGAGTAAGAGTTTCAAAGTTACAAGACGTTGTAACTTGAAGATATTGGAGAGATGTAGGGTCACGTTTACTGCAAACGGCAAACGTGAGTTGCAAGTTGAGAAATTTCTCAAAATGCAAAATGAGGCAATAAAAACTGTCCAAAAAATATCTCATGGATGAACATAAAATTAAACAACCGGTTTTTTTAGGACTTCGCTACAGAGGAGTTCTACCGTAGTACTTACATTAACAATGGCACTTGCTAAAGATGTATTGGAGGCCCTACGGTCAAAACCCAATTGATTATAGTCAATTTTCCACAGCCTGTTCTTCAGCTCCCTCTCTAACCTGTAATTTCTGGAAAATGAGATCAAGGACAGTGAAAAGCTTTGCAGTCAAACGTACAGAACTAATAGGTGGCAACCGGCATAACTACAAATACCAGCACATAATGCAACTGTATCTTGCCTTCTTGGGCGGTCAAACGATGCCCCAACCTTGGACAACATTAGCCCTATACAGTCATATGAGGGGGGCATGGAACGTGTCCGTTTTAACGGGTGTCCGTATTGAGCGGATTGAATTTAGAGAAGATGTAAAGGCCTTCTTTCCACAGGGACAAAGCTAACTGTCCGCAATAATGAGCTGTCCGTATTTGCTAAAACCATAGTTTCAATTTAATGGTTCGCATCGTCTCGATCGCCCAAGACGTCTCTAAATGTGAAAATCACGCTAAGCAAGTAATCAAGGGTGCCCCCTCCCCCACCCAACAAAAAAGAGAGATCATAATTATTGACAGAGGCATATAAGTCCCTTGTTATCCAAACTAGAGCGAGCGAAATACGCGAGCGCGAGTGACAAAAGCGGCCCCAAGCGAGCAAGGCCATCGCGAACGGCCAATTTCACGCGCCTTTGTTTATTTTCGTATGCTCTGATATCCCAGGATAAAGACAAAGGGTCTACCAGTAGTCTAGCTTTTTTGAGAATTTGTTATTCTTTTGTATTCAAGATGATTGGCCCCTAATGCCTCGTTTAACATGAATGTCACAGAAAAGAAACGATGCCACCATCTTGGAATAAGCTGTAGGGTTCACTAAGGTTCATTAACAATTATTCCTCGAGCCCGAATGAGCTCTGAGTCACGAGGGCGGGAGGAATAATTGTTTTAGTAAAATCCAACTCGCTGGTCAAAAATATCGAGAACAAAAAAAATTTACCTAGTTAAAGCTACATTTTAATCCTTTTTTGCCGCCAAAAAGCCTGTACTTTTCGCTACTAGTGGGCTATAACATATAGCCCAGTAGTAGCTCAGCCAATCAGAATGCAGCATTGATAATAGACCACAAGTTGGATTTTACTAATAACAAATACCCAGTAGTACCTGACAAGGTTAGTTACAAGGAGAATTGCAAGGAAGCCAAGTCCACATGAAACTCCAGCAATTATTTCCGTTTTGTTGTCTGGAAAACAAACAAGGGCAAGAAGCATTATGAGCTTCAGTTACTCTCGATACAGTCAACCAAATGATCAAAAATCAGGTAAACCACACAGTGAGCCATAGTAAAAGTTCAGCTGAAAATGTCCTTGAGTTTGAGTTAGCAGTGTGGGGTATAGCCTCCCACGCAGGCGTTTTTAGGGGAGCTCGTTTTTCATCCCTCCCGACAAACGCCTGCTCAACCGAAGACAACATTCCTTTCCCATGCTTAGCCAATCACATTGTACTTTCCAAAAATCAACACTGGGAAACTTTCTGACCTCTAATAAATGTTAGATTCAGAGCGGCAAAATAAGATTTGGTCAAATTTTAGAATACTCCATACACTGCATAACCTTAGTGAAGGAAAGAGAAAAGAGGGAAAACGCTAACTCTAGGGTCACGTCTCGCGTTTTGCCTGTCAACACTTTATTGCACTACTTTTGATTGGTCACTTACCACGCAAATAAAACAATGGGAAAGGAATGTTGTTTTCGGTTGAGCAGGCGTTTGTGGGGAGGGATGAAAAACGAGCTCCCCTAAAAACGCCTGCGCGGGAGGCTGTGTGGGGTATAGGACGAAGAGATGGCTAGAAAGCGCGAGCAGCCAGGAAGGGGAAAGGGGGTGGATCATTCACCGCGGTCACACGAGAGTATTTGACACAAATTAAGCAAAGTAATTGTTACACTCACTATCATACAGCTAAACCTCTTTAATACGGACACGAAAGGGACAGAACCAATAGTCCATTTACAGAGGCGTCCGTATTATAGAGGTAGGGAATGTATGATTTTTGGCATTTCTCGGACCAAACGAACTGTCCGTAATAGAGAGGTGTCCGTATTACAGTGGCGTCCGCAAGGAGAGATTAGACTGTAATTGAGACCATAAGAAAGACCGTTCCCGTGTACGGGTACGGATAAATTAGCCGTACATGCCGTAGCCGTAAATAAGGGTAGATTACCTCTTACCCGGGAAAAACGGGTAGGCTACCAGGTAGAATTGTTACGCCATTATCACATCTGGGAAATAATGGTTGCCTTTTATAAAACTACGAGGTACACATGTTCGCTTACCCGTACCCGTAGGCTGAAACGGTGTATCTTAAGGTCACTATTAATACATGTATACTACTAATACGCCACTAATTTACTAAACTTTTAAAAGTTTCCGAAAAAAATTTCTAAGTTTTGAAAATTGAATCTGGTAATACGTACTTTGGCGCCATTTGTCAACAAAATTTTACACGGGCGAGAAGCGTTTTTAACAGAAAGAAGCTACTTTTTTTGAGAAAAGTTCGAAGAAAGTTGCTTTAACTTAATAAGGCCTGTTAACAAGGAGGGGGGTAACCGTAGTGCTACGGTTACCCTTTTATGTTGCCATTAATGCCTAACAAAATTATTCAAAAAACGCCTCTGACTTTTGACCGCAGTGGAGGTGACCCTAACCCGCCGGCTCCACCGGTAGCCTGGTCCTAGGGCGTTCTAAGAAGCCACATGATAAGCACAATGATAGAAAAAACAGACAGCTAACAAGAAACTAAGTCAAAGAAAATAACTAAGTTCAAACCATGCAGTACAAAAATTATAAATGTTAATACACCTTGAGCCCTTTTTCTTGAAGAGCCTTGTATAAAATTTCAGAAGGGGGACATGTGGCCGTCATTAGCCAGATTTCTAGAGTAATTCTGTTAGCGTATAAAGGATTAAAAAGTGTCATTATCAATAAACAAACCTTCCTGCTTCTCTGTTGTAGGAGGACATAGTTCATTATTGAAACCGCATCTTGGACGGTCTTTGGGCGGAATTGTAGTCCCACCAACCCAAATCTTGGTCATATTGTTGCGAAACACAAGCCGAGGAAAAACTTTCTTGGAACCATTACCCGAGGAATTTCCATAAGTGATTTGGAAGTCTGCAACTGGTACCATTACTAAAGGAAGGAGAAACAAAGAACCAACTGAGAACGGTGGGTTTTGAATCAGTGACACAGGCGGCTCGGACGAAAAAGTATCAGTACTCCCAACAGGAGAGTGATTGATTAAAAAATCATCTTTCTCATGTATTCACCAGGCTCAAACTTCACCAACGCATCTCTATCAAAGAACGAACTGTTGGCTCCAATTTGCTTATGCACCGCTGCATTCTTACTGGAGATGTTTTTAAGAGCAGTGAAGTAAAATAAAAGAATTTACTCTGACCAATCACAATGGGAGCTGACTTCAAATGGACCAATCAAATCACACACAAAGCGCAGCAAAACGTGGGTGTGAACAGCTCATGATTGCTTTTAGTTTTCGGCCTCTAGATTGAGAAATGTCGCGAGATTTTTAAGCCGGCTGAAGATTTACCCAACGAATTACGGATTCTAAACCGCTCTGAGACCTCTGATTTTAAAGATAAGCCAGACCTGTTATGTGGAAACGTATTATTCCTAGTTCTCATTGATCACTGAAGGGAAAATTCTTTGATCTTTAATCAAATTCTCTCAACTAATTCTTCAAGTAAATGTATGCAGATCAGTCTGGAGAATTTTTAAGTCGAAAACTACCCTGCAGAGGATGTCCTTGAACAAGGGTAAAGTTTAGTTAAACTTCCTCCCACAGCTGGCTGTCGTTTGCAGCTCTGTTTGATTGTCTGCTGCCTGAGGCTGACTAGCTAGCCACCGACACACTTCTGTTCAAGACCTTAAGATATGGCCCTGTATTCTGTAGTTGCTCCCAAGAATAAATTAACTGAAAGAAAGCGTTTGTTGATTCCGTGCCAATTTGAAATATAACTTTTGGCTGTAGATTTCTTTGGCTTTCTGTGTCGCCTTGGTGAAGAAAGAGACTGCCGCTTTCAGTGCCCTACAGAATTATAGGGTTCAACAGTTACCGGTCGTTTTGATACAAAGTCGCTCGATACAAGTTTACTCAGTTGAGGCGTAAATACTTCAAGGTACTTGACTTAAAAGGACAAAGATTATCCCCTAAAATGTTTTGCTTGTTCACGCGCAAACTATCATTTAAGAAATTTTTGTCCAATTTCACCGCTTGAGTTCATCTCGAAACGACTTGAATCGAAACAATTGGTTTCCGGGTTCAACTTACAGGCTTTGCCTTTAATCTTTCTTACATCCCATAAAGTCAGGTTAAAATCAGCATCACCATTCTCATCCAGGTGGGTCCTATAGCCCTGAATACCTGCAACGAATTAGTGAAAACTGGTGAAAAAATTGCAAATACAGGGTTGAACTTACGGCAACTGCAAGTGGCGGCTTAGTAAAGATTGGCCGCACAACACAGATTTGTCATAAATTAGTATTAATCTATGGCAGAAACATCAGTTTATATTGAAACAAACGCTTGTTGGGAGCAGCATTACTGATCCACAATCGGTCGTCAGCTTCTATATCGGACTGTATTTTCCTTCATAATATTCTTGAAATGAAGCCAAACAAAGCGTATGAAGCGCTTGATGGCCGCTTAATAGAGTCGAAAACAACGGAAAAACTCTTGTTAGGAAGACCAAAAGGTGACCACAACTGCTTAATAGAGGTAGTTTAATTCCCCATTCCCAGATCTACAATTATTTAAGGACATTGATTACTGGATGCTTAATAGAGTGTGGCCGCTTAATAGGTGAACACTGTCTTGGTCATGCATATTATACACATGGCATTGCGACATATGGCTCCTGGCACGTCATAAAACATTTTCCATAGGGCAATAGCCACAGATCATTTAGAGTGTGCACCTTTCATAATTATGTCAGGTGGTTTTCATAACTCTTTCCTCCAAGGACCCAGATTTTCAGAAGAAAGGGACCAGGGGCTCCCCAGCCAAGTAAAATGTTTGGTAAGAACTCTTAAAACCCCTCTTGGCTGGAGGAAAATATTTGGCTATTTAAAGGCATCAGGCTAAGGATCCGAACTTGATAGTATATAACCCCAACTAACAGTAAGAGCCAAGATCACCCAATTGCAATGCTGACACCCTGACCACCCAGTCACACTCCCCCTGTTCAAAATGACAAGATTATTACACAGTGGCAGATCTAGGGAAGGGGCCCGGGGAGCCCACCCCCCCTTATTTTTAGACCAAACTGAGGCCAGAAGGGCCAAAAGAATTTGGGGGGAAGACCGCCACCCGCCCCCCCCCCAAAAAAAAAACCGAAATGTGGTAATAACAATTTAAATACCTGTAACTGTTATAACTTTGATCACTAAAGAAAAGGAGAGTGTTGTAGTTTGCATGACTACAGCAGGGTACATACTCTTTTCAGCTTTCAAAATTCCACAACTTTTCATAACTTTTCTCATGACTTTTTCCAGTTCTCCATGACCTTAAGAGCAGCTGTCACTTTCGAAAATTTTCAAGCCCATCCTTGTTTTAGGGTATTTTTTTACCTAGCCCCTTTCAAAAAACACAAAAATTCTTGTGTCTACCATAACTTGATCTGTTGGCGCTATTTAATTAGCGGTACTTGTCTCTATTTTACTTTGCTGTTGCTTTGACATCCGCAATAACTAATTTACTGAATATAACTTTGATTTTCCAAGAATTTCCAGGCCTGGAAAATGAAATTTGTAAATTTCATGACTTTCCAGGTTTTCCATGACCTGTACAAACCCTTTACAGATGAAATACACTACATCAGCACTCACTTTCATAGGTGTAATCGCGAAGTTGTGAGAAAACCTCCTGCCCTGAAGGAGTCCTATTTTGTTCTGCAGGAGGTAGTTGTCCAATGGAGATATTCAAGGCTACAGCAAACTGATAAACAGCATCGTACAGGTAGGCTCCATATATTGGAGGCTGCAACATAATGCATGTAAATAATGAGTCAAAATGTCATGCAAACTAAACACAATAGCTAAATCAAACTGTCAAATGGCACGCCAAATTATGACTATGTGAAAGTATAATACACACTGTATAATTGACAATATGATCGGCCCTAGCAGCATATTTAGAGTCATTAACTTACTTTCCCCACGAAAACTTTGCCAAACACTTTTACTAAGAAGTCATGAGCTCAGTCCAGAACAATTGAATCCCAGTACAAAAAAACCAGGAGTCTTAAATTGCAAATTAATGCTTGGGCCTCTATGTAACCAGACAGTTAATCTGAAGACAGACTCCAAAACTCTGTGTTACAGTTTACTGAAATAAAATATACTCCTTCTGTTGTAAGGCTCGACAAAGACTAAAAGAAAATGTGTCATTAAACAACATCATCGGGTATATTACAAACTCACAATGGCCTGCTCTCCCATTGGCTTGATTAACTTAATGGACAGACCATAGCTTCCAGTCATTGCAAAGATCAGGGCTCGAATCCCGGTCAAGCATGAGTTTTTTTCATGTTCTTTTTCAACCACTTAGGTTGTTCATTCAATGGCAAGGATCGTGTTCACTTTCATAAAATACAGCTATAGTATTTATACTTACACGATAACCCCAAGTTGCTGTGCTAGCATTGTAGTGCGAGCTGTTGAAAGGGCTCTGTGATGTCTTGAGCTTCAACTCTGTAACAAAATCCTCATAGCTCTTCCCTTCTGCACTTTTTACAGCAAAAACAAGAGCAGCCTGCATGGCTTCCTCGATGTCCACTCTTGTCTCGTTTGGGAATCCTCTTCATTAAGGAAAAGGAAAGCAAAAAGCTTTTTAAAAAAATTTGTAGGAGGGATCACATGAAACCTTCATTAACACTTTTATGCCACATCACCAGGATAAAGGGAAAAAATTAACTCAAATTGCCAAATTAAAGCCAACTTCAAGCCAGACAAATTGCAGCTTTTAAGGACCAAGATTTATTCAATAAATCTCCATTCTGTAATCCCCTTTCGAATTTCTGGTCGGTAAAAACAATCAAAGGACAGTCATCTTTGATTTTTATTTCTTCAGCCATGGTTAATCACATTATTTTTACTTTTCAAGGCCTTTTCAACACCTAAACTGTAATAAAGAAAATAAGTACTTTTCAAGGACCTTAACTTCAAGGACTTCAAATTTTCAAAGGAACTTCTAAAATTCAGGACGTTTTCAAGATTGTACAAACCATGAAAACTGAGAGCTTTGCTCTATGCTGACAGGGGATGAGAGATTCAAATTTTCCCACAATAAACAACATTCATACTAACTGTCATTTCTGTCAGATGACTTTTGAGCATCTTTCACTACTGGTTAAGATATTTGGGAAGCATGCGTAGGTTAGCTTTTGCATTAGAACTCAACTGACTTACAATATCCCTCTAAAGCAGCGAGTGTTTCAATGCATTTGACATTGTTTGGGTAAAAGAGGTATTAAAATGAGGGAATGACCTTTCAGACAACTTAGCTCCTAAAGCTTTTCCCATCAAGGGTAGAGCCATGTCCCTCACCCTATCCCCACCCCAAAGGACAGTGCACTTCTAGTGTTTCTTTTTTCGCCTTACTGGTCAAGAGTGGTCCCATTACATTCTTAGGTTCTGTTGGAAGTCCTAGGAATTTTGGGGGGTTTTGATTTTTGCCCCCATTCGAGCATCCTCGTCACTTGAAATCAAGAGCACCTCCCTCCTCCCACCCCCCCAGGCAGAGGTTACCTACCTGTACTTAGCATTCAAATAATTGAAAAACCAGAGAAATTGGAGTCCAGGAGATGTTGCCTTCCTGATAAAATTGTGATTGAGATGAAATATAATAAATGCAAACTTTCCATTGATCATTCCCACTTGCTTGGCAAGATAAAGGGTCTCCAAACCAATGAAGTAATCTCCAATAACCAACACAACTATAAAAAAATGAAATGTCCAGGTCTAAGAAGCGAGCACATTAATGTATAAGTAAGACTAAAAAGTCACAAAAATTTTACTTGTGAGTGAATGAACAAGTGAATGAAATTTCGTGGATAAGAGGAAAACAGACATGTCCTCTTTACATCTGGGACCTTAAGATACACTGGACGTGGCGGTGAAGAAAACGTGGGTTTGCGGAGAAAGCCTGGAACGAGGACGCTGCCACCTTGGCAGGAAAACTGCAAATTAAGGTTGAGCAGGCTGCATTGAGTGCTCGCCTGACAAGAGAGGATAAAGTAACTCTTTCGTGTGTTAACTCCATGATGTCTTTTTGAAAAACTCGTGAAGTCTTGCTTGATTGATACCTTAACGATCTTTTATTGGAAGAAAAATTTGTGCTGCCGGCTATGACTCCAGTTTCTCTAAAAACCACCGAATTTCTTCGAGGGAAACTGGACGGCATGATCAGAGTTCAGGTTATCAGCTATTTGTTGCCAGACGTTCCCCCTTTCCTTGTTCTTGCTTTAAAATGATATGGTTCTGTCATGAGAACTTCCCACACTAAGGCGAGATTTTGATCTTCAGACCCCTCCATCACTGAACTGAAAGTGAACAAAAAAGAATTATAAAAGTTAATAAAATAATGAACCATGGCATCTTGTTTAAGATCTCAATTTTCTCCCACATGTTCAAGTTTATTACAAGCCTAGATTTTTGTTTTCCAATAATTTTTATTCTTCTCGTCTCTTAACTTTTTCAAATACTATCCTAAAGCAAGAACGTTGTCCCCTTAAAAATAAGCAGTTGTAGTGTTACATTTGTATCGAAAGACTCTGCGCTTTCATTCTCGGTTGCCACCAAAACACTGAACCCAAAAGGCTTGATAGCAAAAAAATAAGAGTCAATATTGAGGGAACACCACACTAAAAACACTTAAATGTGTCTCTTGAAGTAAAATGGATTGAAAATCCTGAACGAAAAGTAATTTCTGCACTGAAAACAAGAAAACCAACTCACCATTTAACGAGGCAGCCAAACTTTTAGTTTTCACCATCGCAACTTCAGGTCGACACCATGACATTACGCTAATTAGTTCCAAGAATTGAACATTTCACTTGCGGTTAACATCCTCCTCGGCCGCGTCCAGAGTATCTTAAGGTCCCTATTATATGTTGACATACAGTTGTTACGTGTACAAGGGCACCACTGGCTGAGACATTATCAGTCCATTAGACCATTACGTAGGCTTCAGGAGCAACCCTTAACCAAATCCTGCCATTAGCCATAGAAAAACCCAAAGTTTATGGCATGTGGTTATTGCCTAAACTAATAAAGGTTATCATGAAGTCATGTACTTACTTCTTGCTGTTTGCTTAATTTTAATCAGAGCTTTTCTAAATTCCTCTTCAGCTTCAAGCTCATAACTGGGAACATTCGCTGTTTTAAATTTCATGGCCACAGTAATACCATTTTTCTCAAATTCCTCTTCCAGGTACTCTGTTAAGGATGTCCACCTCGTAATATTTTGGTAAATGATAGCAATTCGAGTCCACTTATAAGTATTTTTCAGAAGGCTGATAATACTTGGTCCAATTCGTGAGTCCACAGAAAATGTGCGTCCAAATGTGGGAAACTCATTTTTGTCAGACAGTTCAGCAGCACTGCACATCTGAATACAAAAAAAGGTAGAAACTATTAATTAAGGAGTCCATACAGAGCACTATCACAGTCAGTATCAGTAAAACAATGCAATTGCCACTAGGCCACTCCCAGGCAAGAACTGAAAAAAAACAAATACCTTTTGCTAAAGCTCAAAGATTCCTTTTTGTAAATGCCTAGCCTGGCAGGGAATTTTGAACAAGTGACTTTGGAGTAACATTGATTCAGAATCAATGTTTCTATCATAACATTCATCTGAATCAACAAGGAACACCTATATTTCAATTTGGAATGGCTCAGCCATTCTTCCTGTCTAGCCTGGAAGGGAATTATGGACAAGTGACTTTGGAGCAGCATTGATTCAGATGCTAAACTTTTCATGTGCTGAGCCTAATGCATAAATAATGGCACGGCAGTCATTACGAGCCAGGGGCCAGGGATTTCCCCCGGCTACTTTCACTGGAAAATAGAAGAAAAATGGAATCAAAAGAAATCTCTAGCTGTTTGATTCCCCACTTTCTTGTTGTGTTAACTCGTTCTTAGTGACAACCCTGTATTATAACATCTTTTGCAAGCAGTTTCACCAAAATGAGCATTTTTCTTCTTTTGAAATGAGTTTGCCTAGAATTAAGATCGGTGTCGGCAATCAATTCAGCTGGTCTAAATAATTTGGGTCGGCCTTAATTCAATTCAGTTGGGTGCCTACAAACAGGGATTTTACCTTCACCATACAGTGTAGAAGAGGGTTTCTATTTCATAGAAACCCTTCATGAGTTAGACACCTCTCTAAGGCAGAGAGCTGTAGCTGATGCCAAGGTTACTTGGCTCAGGAAAGTGTTCCTATACGATTCTTCACACCAACTCCATCAGAGCCTCCCAAGCAGACATTCTTAGGGCTTTGTCATACGTTTATTCCCCTTTGGCAGTGTTCTCTTTGTCAGGCAGTAACCGGTAAAATTTACTGCCTGAAGCAACACTTCTTACCGTCTGCAAGTTGTGATCCGATCCGATAGAGAGACGAATGAATATATAGAAAAGTACTAAAGTATACACAGCTTTTCTTTTTGGGGGCCACGCATTTTGGTAAAAGAACATTGAAGTCTGCATAAAATTATTGGAATCAAACGTTTTAAATTGTTGTCTTTATAACAACGGCCCATTTGCGTGAAGTAGGTCTTAAAATGAGGGAATGACATTTCAAAGAACTTAGCTTACTCTACTACCACCCTCCCTCCCCCAGTAAAGTGCACATTGTCTTACTGGCTATGAATGGTCCCTTAGCTGCTGAACTAAAATTTAGGGAGAACACTGCTTTGGTGGGGAGGATTGCATGATGAGCCAAATGAACATCTGCAGGGGAAGCTAACTCCATCAGCCCTATGAGTATGTCAGAGGCCTAATAATTATAGGCATCCCTCTAAAACCTCTCCTTAACATAACACAAATAAATCTGACATATTAAAATACCCATTTTCAATGCCATTTTATCAAAGGGGAAAGAGAGGAAAATACAGATAACAAAGAAACATATTTACAGTTAAACATCTCCACACCAGCCACCTAGGAAAACGATCCTTGTAACAAGGTTGTGGGCTATAGGGGGGTAGGGTTATAATGCTGCAGAATTTTTTTTCTTTTTGGGGGGGGGGGGGGGGGGGGTAGAACATTATAATTTAATCTAAAAAAATGTTCATTCTGGTACACAACACAATCAACACACCAAAAACCAATTAAAATGTTTGACCAAAAAAAATTCAAAGGAAAAAGAGCAAATATTGCGGTCAGTGATTACATCATTTTTGTACTAAATTTTGCCTTCACATGGATAAAATGGTGGTGAGGTTATTTTGGTAGATGGGACCACAATAAATATTTCTATATTTAGTGGACGTTAGGTCATTTTGAAGAGGTGGCTGTTGTAGAGATGTTAAGATAAGACAGAATAAAGGGGTGTACTTTGCTATAATTACACTGGAACCTTAATACAACAAAGGGCCAAGGGACTGATAAAATTTCTTCGCTATAACAAGGTTTCGTCATATCAAGGTTCTTTTTTATATATCTTACTATTACTGGAGTAAAGAAAATCGTTCGTTTTTCCGAGGACTTTGTAATATAGAGGTTTGTTATATCGAGATTCCACTGTAAGAACATGGCATGATCTGATGTCTAAACATGAAAATTTTATGCCCTGCAGTTATTTAGTATGTATTATCTATAACAGAACACTTGAACATCTGAAGAGCCATGTGTTGGACATCTTCCAAATTTCCCTTTATTTTCAGGAAGGGATATTTTTACTCAAGTGGGATTATAAAGGTCACTGTGTGCACTGTGATGGAGTCAAAAATTAAAAATTGTTAAAGAATGGAAACATACTATAAAATATCTGATTGACAAATTGAATAAATTTGACTGAAATTGGTGAGAAATGTTTAACATATCTCCCTGATCATGAAATGAACCACAAAAATAAACATAGGGAAGGTCAAGTTTGCAAAGATTAACCAGCAGATGGTATAAATCGTTTTCATTTTTGGCTGTGAGACATCATGTTTTAATTAGATATTTGACCACTATAGACAGCCAATCCTGCTATTTATAAGTTTGCTTGTTTGCCTATTTGTTTTTATTTTTCCATTTAAAAACTCAATGACCCTAAAAGTACTACAGCCTAAATCATACAATACACCTGTCATGCAAAAAGTTTTTGTCAGAGGTTAAAATCATTTCAAAGTAACAAAAAATGGTGTGCTGAAATTAATATGTATTTTTTTTTTTGGAAAACCCAAATCAGGTCAAATATTTATTTTCCTTTATTGCAGCTTTTCGAAGAAAGGTAAAAATACGGACAAAAAGTTGTAACAAAAAAATAGATAAATTTTGACTGAAACAGTTCTATTTAACAATAACCCTTCGCACATGTAAAGCTAACAAATGCAAAAAAACTGTTGAATTCTATTCTGAAAAGTATTTACCCTTTACATAAAAGGATCAAGAATACTCTGATAATGATTCATCTCTGTTTTTAGCACAAATCAATAGAAGTCCAGAACGTAAATCATACTGACAGATGCAAATCTTTTAAAACCTTTTTGTTAAATGCAAAGTACGTAATACACATTACACAAATAAGGTGCATTTCCTTCTTCCATTCGCTTGTTCAAAAGATAATCAAATGCGTACAGTAATAATAAAGAGAAGCCTAGCTACAACCATTTGCGTTCTTGAATGTTCACAGTATCTTGCCTTTGCCCATAAATTGCGAATTGAAAGGACAAAAATAATAAAAAAAAATTCGAATAAAAATTATGACCGCTTATTTTTCCAGCTTTCTGCTTGCCGATGTACAGTTTAACTCACCTGTTATGCGTATCTCAAGCTTAATCGCCGCTTGAAAGTGGGATGTATCTCGATCGAGTGTTTAGTTAGTATAAAATCGTTCAGTTGAAACAAAAGCGGGATGTAAACGAGCAGCGATCGGGACTGGTAGTCTCAAACAAGTAACATTATAAATCAAATACTATATCACATGATACCTCAAGGAGGTCGATATGAAACAAAAACTGAGCAATTAGTGCGTTTGTAATACAAACTTCTCGAAAACTGTATACAAATCAGCTGGAAAAAATGGAAGACATCAGTCCAAATATCCAACAAGATGATTAAGAATTATTATTTACCGTTGTTGAAAGAAGACCTTTGTAATTCGTTTCTGATTTGAACTGTTAAGATATACATTTTATGACTAACAAAACAACAAAATTTAGCACAAAACAAAATCATTCAGCGTAGAAAAGCCGATATTAAACTGCACAACATGAAAGATTGCATACTCACGAAGGATATCATCGTCATATTGAATGCCGCAGCATTTTTCGCCGCCGTCTGGCAATAACAGCCGGGTCCTATAAAAGCTTGTACTCCAGAATTAATTTGATTTAGCTGCTCGCGAACAGCAATCAGTTCGTTGCACTCTGTGTCTTTCCACTCAAATGTCAAATTATAATCTGACAAGAGCGTTGGGTCCGCGTTTATTCGTTCCACGGCGATTGTCATAGCAGCTGCAAACGACTCCCCCTTGTTGTAATCGTTCTGAAAATGTGGAGTGACTTTCCTGAAGGGAATGAGAAGGCCTAGTTTGTATTCCCGTTTCTTCTCTCCCAGCACTAAACAGTTAACCACAACGAGGAAAACAATAATCCATGCTGTGGCCGCCATAACCCCTACAAACACTGAAACTAGTTGGTTTGGACGTTCGAAAGCAACATCTAACCACGAGTAGTGAAATTTAACATACGGAGCGGAGATTTCGTTGAGATAATCCGTCGGTTTCCCAAAAATTAGCAGCGTGTTGGGCTTTCTCAATCGTCAGGTGAAACCAACTGTCAGCCAAGAATATAGTTTCGGCCAAGGGCAAACTGGTATCTTCCGTAATATTAGGCTTGTTTACCGCAAAATTACGCAGAATTACGAGATGAGGCTTGTCCGGTTTGAGGTATGACAAAGTATTCCCATTGTTCTTACTTCCACATCCATAAATTGCAGCGCTGAGATTCAAAGGGCCGCCCGTCGATGTAAGTATGTGACTAACTTCCCAGAGAGTTACGGTTCACAGCCGGTTTGGCTCATTTGAAAGACAACCAGGCAATAAATGCAAGCTGATGAATAATGCAAATTTCACCAAGGTGAGCCCGTAACTTGTCGCCGGAGCAACAACAATCAAAGAAGGCTGTCCCGCAGCAAGTCAGGATTTGTCTGACGTGAAGCTCGCAGCGTTTCAGCAACGATGATAGTGAGACGTTTCACGCAAGCTGAGTATTTCTACCTGCGGAATATGAAAACGCAAATCGAAAAGTCAACTCCAGGGCTAAGTGATCTATACCGCAATTCCTTTGGGGCAGCAAAAGCACCACACTTCATCTTCGCATACACGAAGAAAATACAGAGTGTTAATAGGCACTTAGAAGTTCCTTCCGAAACTAATACATTTTTACTTAAATACGTGATCACGCTGCCTTGCGGCCACAATGTTATTTACCATGCAAAATGAAAACAGAGCCTGACATCAATACTGCTTCGCCTGCAAATTTCACGACTACCGTTTTACGACAGGCAAACTGACAAAATCGAGACAAAAACAAACAAACAAACAAACAAACAAAAAGCCTGCGATCATGTTCTCCTTTCCTAAAAAAAGCGGGGGAAAAATCAGGAAAGAAAGAAAGAAGGCAGGAAGCACGATACAAGTTGTTGACAATTTTGTTTTAGAAACCTACTTCGTAACGGAAGTCTTTTAAACAGAGTTGACCAAGAGAGAATGTAAGTAGCCAGTCAGTTCAAACTGACGTGTGAAGCCATGTACACCTCGAACTGTTATATGAACCTGGTTTCAAGAGTTCTGTTACCCTACATTAAAACTTTAGAACTCACGAGTTGGACGAGGTCTTATTTCTCAAGCGATATGGTTTTTATATCTCTTCAAGCGCGTTAACAAAGGTGGGGCATTAATTTGTCAATACCCAAATTAGCACCGCGGCGCTTATTCGAGAGCGGCTCTTATTAAATTATTTTCGGTAATTCGAGTAGCGGCGCTTAATCGGTCATTTACGTTACTTCTCTAAAGATAAGGGTTAGAAATGTCTCGAATTAAGTTGCAGTTATCTTAAAAAGGTCGAATAGTTTTCTCCCATGCATGCTCTTTATCCACGCGTGAGGTCAAAATGTCAATATCATTTTCCTGTTCAGTTTTGGAGATGTTATTGCGTTTTTATTTAGTCGAGGTCCGACAAAACTAAAAAGGAAGAGAAAAAGCGTAGAAACATCCGCAAAAGATAGCGCCTCTGGCTGATGCACGTTCAGTTACAGTCGTGTGAGGCTTGCTTAGATCACGTAAGACAAAGAAGATAACTTTGTACGTGTTAGAGTTTCATTGCAACTGAAGAAATGCAGAGAGAATTTTAAAAACGGTACGTTGGTGACAAAGTATGTTCTTTTTTGGTTGCTTCTTACTTCACTCAGTTCTTAGTTGCATCATCGAATAAACAAACGGTGACTTGAGCTCAATTTAGGTTTCCGGGAAACTGACCACTTACCCTTCCCCTAAGCCAACATTTTGCTCTAAGTGAGAACTAAGTGATAATGTTGGCTTAGGGGAGGGGTAGGTGGGCAATTTCCCAGAAACCTGAATTGATCTAAAATTATAATAAGCCAAAAAGCACGTAAAATATACTGAACGTTTTGTATTCGTATCATCTTTCGAAAACAAATATCTCATTTATTCGTGTAATTTCTCTTTTCCCTAAATTTATTATTTATTTTTCCCTAAATTTATAGCTGACACGAATTACTTTGTACTAAGTAAACATAACCAGTCAGTGGGATTAGTTTTGGTGATCAAAAACTAAAGCTGTTTCTTAGTCCCTCAGTAGTCCCTTAGTCACGGGGTGGATCTTCAAGGCTACTGTGTATGGCAAAATTTTAAACTTGACATTGTTAGCCATCGAGACGTTAGAGAATAAAAAACAGACATTTTTTTATGGCTTAAAGATATGAATTTTGTTTTCTCGCCAGTCTTAACAATATTAATTCCCTGACTCGCTGCGTTCACTTGTAAAATATCATAGGTCTTCGTATGGGTATTTCCGAAGAAATCGACGTCACGACGATCGACACGGATACTGAAGCGAAGATCTTAGAGAGTAAAAGCGACGTTCGCATTGCCATTTCAATCAAGTTTGACAACGTTAATCGTGCAAAGACGGTAAAGAAACCTGACAAAACTTGTCTGCTGCACGTTCAGAGTTTTCAGTTGTTTTGCTTATTTTCCCGTTTTCGTCTTCGTTGTGGTTAGTACCCTGAACTCGTTAGTCAGCTGATTAGGAGCGTTACCACGTAAAACAATTCTTGCTATGAGAAGATTAATTTTCGCCTAAAAATTGGACGCGGATTTGATGGAAAACGCGCCACGAAATTGTCGTCCACATGTAGGAACCCATCCAGAGGCTCAATCTTCAACAACACCAGTGTTGAAAGTAAAACCGGATACATATCCTCCTGCCGCTATGTCACTAACCATGAAAATACTTAACAACAGTTGTTTAACACGTAGTTTAATAATATTTTAAGAAAGATCTGAGCCTAAAATCCCTCCAGAGATAAAAGCGTTCAGTCCGGGTTAACCCTAAGTTCAAAATAAAACGATCTTCTAAAAAAGAGTCAGTGCTTCATCCTCACTGGAAAGTGTGATCCTGCTGATCAAACTCACAGCAAAAAAAAACGCGAAAAGCAGAGAATGAATGGTTTGGACCAACGGATATAATAAAAGAAGCATGGAGAGAACAATTCTTTAAAAAGAACTGAGAACCCATTAAAGTGAAGTTGCCAGTTTTTCAGCAGACGAGAAGCGAGTGCTGCCTCATCAGTTGACACATCCTCGGGTTTTCCATTAAGTGTGATCCCAATGCCTTAAATGGCACTGAGCAGGGAAGCTGTAGCATCCAATAGGATTCAACATTTAGCATTAGCTGTATTTTGTTAAAACTGTGGTGCAAGACACAAATTAACCACGACTTTGCCCCTAAATGGGACATGTAAGTGGAACTGACACGTTACGATGTTCCGTTAAATGCTTTTCAAAAGAGAGAAAAAAGCAATGTCAAGATACATTTGTACAAAACATACAATTTATTCAGTTAAGAACTGCGCATCCGTCGTCTTTTAAACGTTAACAAAAAATAATAAATTGAAACAATTTCCTGTGTCATTGTCATATATTATTGCACCGTGTTGCAAACTGCTATACTATTAAGGGTTTGTCGAGTTGTTTTGATGTTGAAAGACTTAAGTTTACAGACCGATTGCCTAACCGCTACGAATGAAGTGCGCATCGGGAGTATTCGGATTGTAACTTCCGAGCCGCCTGTGTCACCGACTGAAAAGTTGTCTTTCTCGTGTATTCAAATGGCTTAACTAAAATTCACCATCACATCCCTATCGAGAGTAAATTTGTTTCGGTCCATACTTATCCAGCGACATGAGCGAAGTGGTCATAACAATGTACGGCGCCGAAACCTGTAACGTTCCTAAAAACCTCCGGGTGTAAATTGCTATTATTTCACCTGCATTTCGACTGCATCAACTTAAATCTAAAAATTGCAAACCGGTTATTTCTCCTTTGGCAAATGTATGCCTTAAGAAATTCTGTCGGGTTCATCGAGTTTGTTGTATCTTCCTGATCGACTAGCAATCTCGGAAGTATCTCCGGTTAATAATTCACCACCTTTTCCTCGAACAATTTATAACATTATGATAACTAACAATTTCACTGACAAAGTCAGTATAACGTTTTAAAAATAACACTTTCCTCAGTAACTGCTCCTTGGTAAATTAATTGAGCTGAAAAACTACCTTATTTTTGTCCGCTCCCTTTGTTTATTTGCTTGTAATTTATTTGTTTCAGTTATTTCATAACTTCGACCTTGTTCACTTTAAATTCATTGCCGATTCAAATTTTCCCAGAGGATCTAATATTACATAAAAATTCATTATGATGCATAATCGTTTATCGTGTTTTTTACTTCCCGAGGTCTGTTATGGTAATTTAGTCACATCGTATAGTACTGAAACACTGATTTCTATTGAAATAACCACTGTCGATGTCCTAGACAATTGAAGGTAATCTGAGATGGGAAAAAAATATAATGTCATCATGTTAGATCTGATTTAAAAATCTAAGAATATTTTTATCACCGTGTAATGGATAAATATTGCGAGGGTTTATTTAGCAAAAAGCGCATAATAACAATAAAAAAATATTTTTTGTTTTTCTGCGGAATCTGATTGGATTTTTGTGAAACTGATTCTGAGGTACGTACATATTTAGAGTCTTTGATTTATTGTCTCGCTAACACATTTAGACAACACGCACTTGCATGGATTCATGATCCGCACAGTAATATTCATATTCAAATCTCTGGCTTTTAAAAACGAGGAGAGGAAAAAGCACAAAGCTAACGAATTAACATTAAATCCAGTAGCATTAAAAGGCATAGAAACAACAATATTGATAACAAAGAAATGCCGCGAGTTGAGTCGTTGAACACACGGAAACAATTGTTACCCAGTTACAATAAAGAATCATTTCGCATTGGACGTTATTAAATAAATGTGTCTGGCATTACCATTATTTGCCTTTGGGGAAACGACCACAAGAAAGGTTTTAAACCAAACAGTTCATGTTTCATGTTTCAAATCAGTTTGATTTCCTACGCGCGCGTGCTCGATTGTAACAATGAAATAAAGAGCACTGGATATCAGTTGGTTACAAGACATAAATGTCGGTTTGCACAAAGGCGTAATCTATTATCAAGACTGCTGATTTGAATCAAAAGTCTAACCAAACTTTTTTCTTATTAAAATTTCGCAATATTCGTACGCGATATTAAGCAGTATCGACCTGTAATA